TTCGACACAAACGATTTCCTGCTTTTATGCACTATTTCGATAAAACATTTCGTCTGGTGATCTCAATTTCGTAGAATCGTTCGAATTAGGTAGTAAAATACCACTCACGATATCTTGAGAAGGTATATATGTACTTACTTTATTTCATATAAATACATGTTATTTATTTTGTGTCAAGTAGGGACTTCAACTATTTAATTATTTTTTCTAAATACTTGAAAAAGCTCTCTATTTACTTGATCTGCAACCAAAACAGTTTTAAACATTTTAAAAATTTTGACATTAAAATATAGTCGGGCACAAGAGAGCAAAGATAATGTTAATTAAACAAATAATAACGTGTTAAGTCTTTTTCACTTGTCATGTTTTTGGCCAGAAAACAATATAGCAAAAAGAATGTTTCCCGGAGGAAAAAATGTAGACTCTTCGTAACAAGCTATTTCTGTTGCGGCGCGCGCGCACGCTGGAGCACGATCGTTTCACGGAACGTCCAGATTACGCGCCGACGTATTAATTTGGTAACAGGCAACAATTTAGGCCTAACACAAATACTGCCTATTTTTATGAAATGTTTGAGAAAGAACGAAATAAAAGAAAGGATGAGTAAAAGAGAGATCACGCTTCTTGGGTTTCATGAATTGTGTTAGGCATTTATCGTCGGCTTGTTAAATTGTAGAGGGATAATTTGAATAAAACGAAATACGATATTGGCACATAACGCTGTTGGTCTGGTAGAGCCCATCATGTCTGTTTTGTAAGTATCACGAAAACCCCATGAAAATAATTAAAGACGTTATAATGTTTTAGCTTAGAGTTTTACATATCAACAGAACAAACTGAAGAAAAGAAGACAACGTTATTTTTTAAGAATTAATGAGGTTGGCGATGCAGCAAAAAGCGGTTTCCTTTACCAGAAGAGGCGTCTAAACTACACGGTTCTATATTGTCTCTACAGTTAAATTATTATTTTCCCCTATCACGACGAATTATTAAACGTAATACATAATCATACTAAATATTTCATCAAAACTCTACGTTCCCCTACAATAAATTCGTAGTCATTAAAATGATCTATGAATTCCCTATGGAATTTTCCCTGTGTCTGACATTTAGAGGTTCGTTGACAGGAGCTGGATGACGCACGCCAGCGCAGCCTGTGCGTCACCGCACTATTGGACACTCCATCATACGAATAGCTGGATTGCTCATACCAGACCCTGCCAACAAACACTGTCATTCTTCGTCATCTATTGTCATAAACCGTTGTTTACCAACAACCTACCTGTGGCCTAAAGATAGACGTATATTTTCACACTTCCTTGACACAATCAGATAGCAATTATAAATGTATTCGTAGTTATAGAATAGGTACCATATTCTATTAATATTGCAAGTCGTACGTAAGGAGATGACCAAACTATTTATAGTTGAAACAAACTGTTGGCGAGGAGCAGACATTTAGGCTCGACGCACACCTGCCACATAATATCGTCCACTTTGTGATTTCAGTCCTTGGAGGGGTTTCCAGAATTTTCTGTCTTATGACCTCGACCTTAGCTTTGGTCGTTTAATTTTGGATGGTAAGTAGAATTTTGATAATAGGAGTGTACCTACCTAATAGAGTTTTTTTACTACTCTATGAATCGTCTACAAGTACGTAGCAGTAGAACTCCTACAGTGTATGATGAGCCTACTTCGAGAAATAACTTCAATTAATAAAATGGTTTGAAATTTCAATTAAGCAAGAAGTAATATTATAAAATTTGATGGAATAAAAGAGAAAATACTATTAATTAATTATAAGATTTCCGCTGAATATACCACAACATTTATTTCAAGATTTCAAGTAGGTATTTAAGTATAGCAGTATTTATTTAATGAACTTTTCCTTTCTTTTCAACCGAAAGACATCCACTGCTGGACTATTAATCGATCAGTCCTGCCCGCTTCCTGCATCCTTTATTATCCATTGTCTACATTGTGACTTCAGGTACGCACCACGCGGTAGCCATTAAAGAACGTCTCTACATCAACGGTCATCAATTAGTAATAAGCTCGAAATTATTGTACCCCTATACCCCCTTATTAATAAAAGTTACACGCTAGTTGAACTTTGGCTTAATAATTGTCATTTAGTATGGAAATGTCATTTTGATCTAGGGTTCATCCTAGGTGTAACTTTTTATTAATAAGGGGGCTAATGTATTTAATTTTATCTCTGTGTAAAAGTAATTTACCAATCATTGTAATTTTAAGGCTAGCTAATTGATCTATGTAATCTCTACATATTTAACAATACGTTACAGCAATTAAACTTCAAATCTAATTATACAAGAATGTACCCAGTTTGCTTATTTGCTTGTACGGAGAAAGTACTTCCTTCAAGCGCATAGCGTGTAAAACAAAGAAATGCATAATCACTGCATTTTGTATTAGGTTCTATCAATTACCTACTTACGCTACTACTGGATATCACTGACTTCTTTGCTTCTCGAAGAAGATGAATCAAATATATTTGACAGTAGAGTAGACTGAAATTATTAAATTTTCCTTAGGTACCTAGGCAATTAAATAGTTATTTACTTTTTAGCGTTAAGAGTTGCATCTCAAACTAATTTGAAAATTATAAACAGGTAACTTGAAATTAATGGGTCGTGGGTTCAATTCTCGCCTTAGGCAGTTCGATTTTTCAAGTTATTTATAATTTTCAAATTACAATTAAATAGTTACAACTCTTTTAGACTCTACATTTATTAGGCACGATATATTCTTTTTAATAAGCACAACTTCTGGGTGCTTTATTATTTATATTTGATTAGGGTGGATAGTGCTTTTACGCACTATGAAGAGTTTGGGAAAGGCCTATCATTTTATATTTTTTTTTTTTTTTTTTCGCGCGCGAGCTCGAACCGTTCGGACGTGCGCGAGGCCGCAAAACGCTTATTGCTATTTTGTGTAAAGCTGCCAACCTAAAGTGAAACTTATCACCTTGTAATAAGAGTTCTGTATAATTGCCGGAGAATAATTTGTGACTGTGAGTGAGTGCTATCGCTGCTGGACTGAACGCCGCGCCTGCTAGCCATCTCTTTCACACTCTGCCGGCACCTTCGGTTACGCGCTCACCGTGTTTTACACAGTGCAAACACAAGGGAGTATCACCACTATGTATCGCTCACCAAATAAACGCTGTGACAGTAATCCTGACCTTTCTGATATGAATGTAACCCGGAGGCGGAAACAAGACGATGATCTGTCTGATAACTTGAAAAGTTTCTCAGAGTCTATCATGTCGAAGCTAGAAAGCATGAATATTGAATTCGGAAAAAACATCTCACAACTTAACGATAACATAAACAACATAATTAAACACGATCTGTCACAACTAAACAACACCACAGCGGAAATGAAATCTGACATAAATCTCATCCGAAATGAATACCTAAACATAAAAACGGCTGTCCAGGATTTACACATAAAGCAAGATAATTTGGAAAAAGAAGTGACTTCTCTGAAAGAATCAGCGCAATTCAACTCTGCTGAACAGGAAAATTTGAAGAAGGATATCCGAACATTCACAACCACAAAAAAGGACATGGACAGTATGAAGAAGGAAATTGCTGGTTTGAAAAGACAGAATTTGGACATGCAAGCGGCACTCAATTATAAAGAGCAGACTGAACGCCTTCTCAATGTAGAAATTCTGGGCCTCCCCGAGAACATTAATGAAAACCTAAAGAGCATCATTTTAGACATGGGAAAATTGCTCGGCGTCACCATCGAGACCCAAGATATATTACAAGCCAATCGAGTGTCGCCAAGAGTCAAGATTCATGGCCGGCCTAGAGTTGTAATCGCAAAGATGAGTACACGATTATTGAAAGATAACCTGATATCTGCGTCGCGTAAGCGCCGGATGACTACAGCAGACCTCAATTTGGCAACCGGTGATCCAAGTCCCATTTACATAAATGAACATCTAACAATTTATAACAAGCAACTCTTGAAAAACGCAAAGGAGACAGCCAAACGCAAGCAGTACCTTTACGCCTGGACAAAAAACGGAAGAATTTTTGTCCGAAAAGGAGACACCTCACCAGCACTACTGATATCCACAGAAGAAGACACGAAAAAAATCATCTGAAGTTAACGTGTAAAATATTATTATCAGCATTTCTTTTATGTTTTCTCTTTGTNTATAGTCATTATTACTACCTAACTAATGTTTTTTTACGTATAGCATTTGCGAACCAAAAAAAAAATATAGGGTAGATTAAACTTGATTATACTTTTATCAGTCATATTGAATATTTTTTTTATGTTTACTACCCGCTCTTATGTTATAACGACATAAAACGAGATAAAACTTACCAAATTCAAAATAAATCACTCGAAAACTCGCCACCACAACAAAACAAAACTAACAAGCAAACAAATTAACAAACAAGCGAGCGAATCACGACATTGGCTCTGGTCGGATTCATTCACTCATTCAACGCGCCGAACATGACCGATAACAGCGCGGAAACTCCCGAATGCACATTCGGTTTCGGTCGTAGTTTCGGCAAGTTTGCCGCCGAAAACGAAACTAAACCGAAACTCGTGTTTTTACCGAAACTCAACCGAAAACGAAACCGAAACCGAATATTCGGTCGGACACTACACTATAGAAATCAATTGTTACACAATCTTATGCAACCATTTGGGGTTTGAAGAGTTAAATTGTGGGTCTCACGCCCGTTTTCACCATCAATCACTAATTTTTAAGTGACCCCTATGATAACACCTAATATGATTCTTTTCGGGAATACCGGGAGAGCATGCGTGCTGACTCACCTAACCTGTACCACAGACTGGTTTTTCAGATCTACTCTCAAGTAGGATATATGAAAGTTTTCATAGGGATCACTTAAAAATTAGGGATTCATGGTTAAAACGGACATCAGACAAATGACACGTAATAACGAACAAGTCTATTAAATTTTACATTAACCACACTTTTGTCGAACCCTCAAAATGTCAACGTCTTTCAGGTATTCCAAAATGAACCGTAAGAAGACTTCGGAGATAAAAAAATGTCCCGGCTGCGACAAACCATTCGCTGAGATGTTTCAACTGCGTTACCACATAAGAAGACAGCACTTCAACTTGAAAGCCAAGCTGCCTTACTGCAATCAGAAGAAAGTGAACCAGGTGTGGTTCGAACGAGTGCACAACTCGAATAATGTAATGGAGATACGGAAAACTGGACCAAATACACTGGTTATGAGGAAGCTCGATGAAAATACAGCGATTAAAGTTGCCGAGCAGAACACTGAGGTACATATTATTTAATCCTACTAATATTATAAACTAGCTGACCCGGCGAACTTTGTTCCGCCTTAATGGCAATAAATAACGGGATAAAAAGTATCCTATGTCCTTCTCCTGGCTCTAAACTACCTCCCTGACAATTTTCAGCTAAATCGGTTCAGCCGTTCTTGAGTTATAAGCGAAGTAACTAACACGACTTTCTTTTATATATGTTACGGCTAAAGATAGTTGTGAACATAAACTTAAGATTAGCCGGCTAAACTTAAGTTTGTCTTCGAGAAGCAGCTAAAGTTCGATAACATGTTAGTTTGCGTCGTGATATTCCATCTTTAGCCGACTAATGTGCACATTAGCCAAAACGAAACGGCTAAAAATGTATTTGATGGGCGCGCCAGGCCAGCGGAGGGCTTGAGGGGGCGGTGGGGAGACAACGCGCGCGCAGTTTTATTTTGTAATTTTAAATACCTACAGAAGATTCTGTAATGACCAAGTGGTTCCTTATTATTTTATTTTAATGATTAGGTAGATATTGTTTTAAGTAATTAATATTTTGTTATTGTAATAATTGTAATTTTGAATACCTACATAGGTACATAAAAGTATGTGTAATGAAAGTGATTATTTCTTAATAAAGTTTTCGTGTCAAAATAGTAAACATTATTACATTGTTTCCTTTTCCATTTCCTTCTACATTTTTAGCCAGGGGTCTGCGGTTACACTTAAGTTTAGCCGGCTAAAGATAGAAGAAACTAACATTAACACCTCGTCGAAGATAAACTTAAGTTTAGCCGGCTAATCTTAAGTTTATTTTCACACCTATCTTTAGCCGTAACATATATATAGATAGATGCGAAAGTTTAAATGGATGTCTGGATGTTAACATGTTTGTTACTCTTTCACGCAAAAACTACTGAACGGATTTTGATTAAACTTTGCAGTATTATAGTTTACTAGCTTTCCGCCCGCGGCTTCGCCCGCGTGGAATTTTGTCTGTCACAGAAAAACTTTATCGCGCGCGTCCCTGTTTCAAAAACCGGGATAAAAACTATCCTATGTTCTTTCCCGGGACTCAAACTATCTCTATGCCAAATTTCATCAAAATCGGTTGCGAGGTTTAAGCGGGAAAGCGTAACAGACAGACAGACAGACAGACAGAGTTACTTTCGCATTTATAATATTAGTTGGGATAATAACCCAGAATAACATATAGGCTATAAATTTATTTATGACAATCTGTGACAAACTAAATTTCATGCGGGTGAAGCCGCGGGCAAAAGCTAGTACAATACAATGTTTAGTCTTACATTTTATTCTTTTCAAAGTAAAATTTCTTAGTTTGGACTATTATTAAATTTAGTGCTTACGAATCGATTTGTGTTGTTCAATCTGTTGCCTTTAATGGTGCGTCCACACTGGGCGAACGGGCTCGCGCGGCAAACTCGACATCCTGCTTACTCAAGAGCAGGGTGAGCAGGATGACCAGCGTGCCGCGCGAGCCCATTCGCCCAGTGTGGACGCACCATAAGGCAAATACACTGTTAGGAAGGTTAAATACATTTACATCCATTGTCTGTTAGTTACTCATAGTTAAAATAAAATAAAATAAAATAGTTCAGATGATTACACATCAACAACATGTGTTAATCTTATGTATTTGTAACACGTCAGATATTGCGCGCAAAATATGCGTAGCCTAATATGCTGTTGACCGTATAAGGTTTGCTTAGTTTGGGACTAAATGGCACAGTTGAAGAGTTTCATGCCCGTTTTCACCACCAATCTCTAATTTGTATGTAAAATGAAATCAAAATTACTGTTATGTGTTACCATAGCGGTCACTTAAAAAATTAGGGATTGATGGTGAAAACTGGCATAAGGATATTCAAATTTAGGGACTTCCCACACTTGCGTCTTTCGAGAGTCAGCGCGCGCGCATTGTCGATTCGGCGCCAATGCTGAACGCTGCTGGCGTCGCGTTATTTAGTTTAAAAAGAGTTGGTACGCCGCGTCGACGCTACTTAGCTTTGGCGCTATCGAGACTACGACGTTCGAAAAACGCTAGGGTGTAGGAGGCCTAATTTTTACTCTCACTGACGAGACGCTTGTGCCGTATCTGCCCTTTTTGCTAAGATTCCTAAGCGCTAGACCTATAGTACTTAAGGTCCTATGTCCCCTAGATGGGGCAGAGGGCGTCCACAACAGTCCTCCATCGCGTTCGGTCTTGAGCTTCGCGTTTGATCTCGCTCCAAGTCTTGCCGATCTTCTTCGCCTCGTCTGCCACAGTACGCCGCCAAGTTTGCTTGGGGCGACCACGTTTGCGTTTTATAGTCTGGTCTGCGAGCACGTAGAATTTTGTCCAATGACCCCAAGCTACCCATCCTTATCCCTCGCATTTATATTGCTATCGCGACTGTGCAATGGGCGCCCGCAGTGAGTGTGCGAGCGCGACACCAACATAATTACGCGCGAGCGATATGGTGGATATGATTGGGGTCATTGGACAAAATTCTACGTGCTTACAGACCGGGCTTTAGTAGTATAGTTTTATTAGTATAGTAAACAACTTGAACTTGAATTCTCAGGAGATCGACCTTACCCACATTTACCCGACCGGCGAGATGGTGGGCAAAGTGGAGTGCAAAATATGCCAAAAGGAATACGAGAGGAAAAGCATAAAGAAACACATGGAAGAGGTACATTACAACAAACGGAAACACCACTGCAATAACTGTGACTCAACTTTTAAACGGTTGTATCAATTTCTGAAGCATGTCTGTACTAAGCAGAGGCCTCCGAGGGGTGTGAAGCAGGTTGGTATTATTCTTCATCTCTTTTGGGTTACGATTTCGACTAAAGCCCGGTCGTCGAGCAGATAGAATTTCGTACCAGTGGCGGATTTACAGATTGGGGGATGTTGGATCTTATTTGACTGGCCTGACGAACCAATGTTCGCCTACGAATAGATACGTCAATTATATTCGTATCCGAAAAACGTTTACGTACGTACATACGTTGTACTTTGTGTGTATGTAAAAAATAATTATGAACTAAATCTGCCGCCCTAGGCTTCAGCCTACTCAGCCTGCTGGTAAATCCGCCACTGTTTCGTACAATGACCCCAAACTACTCATCCTTATCGCTCGCGCGTAATTATATTGCTGTCCGACTGTGCGATGGGCGGCCGCAGTGAGTGTGCGAGCGTGACAGCTATAATTACGCGCGAGCAATAAGGATGGGTAGCTTAGGGTCATTGTACGAAATTCTATCTGCTCGGCGACCGGACTTTACAACCCGATCTGCTAACTGCGCACCTCGCTGGAATGCGACTCTCCCTTGCAATCACCCGCACTCCTCCCCGCGTTTGCCCCGTCCGTACCAGTGTCAATGTGACGTCACCGCTGCCAGATGCGCAGTTAACTCGATAGGGTTGTACAATTTCGCCTATATCACGTAAGTAGCTTTTACGATTTTGCCAATGTCACGTGTGCGTGTGCAGTATTGATAGTAAGTTTATTTTAAAAAATCTTACAAAAAATTTATCGATTTTTTATCTAAGAAGTGGGTATCCTTCCGTTTGGCCAAATTACTTTTCGCCAAATTTCACTTCGCAAACAACTTATCGCCAAAGTTTCATTTCCCAAATAAACTTTTAGCAACTGTACTTTTCGCAACTAATTCATTTGGTCAAATTAACATTTGGCCAAATTTTACTTGGCAAATGTTTATATAGCAAATGTTTTATTTTGCCAAATATTATATCCCAAATAATTTGCTTGGTCAAATTGACACTTCACATACTTACGAGTACCCACCGTTACCCACAAATCAAAGCATAAGGCACATGGTCATGGTTTTCACAATAATTTTATGTAAAACAGAGAGATTGCAGAAAATAGTATGGTTGCAAAAAGTAGGTATTGTAGAAAATAGTAGGTTAGGTTAGGTTAGAACAGTGACCCTTAATGCGCGAAGGCGAGCGAAGCGTGCCGCGGCAGCGGCCGCCGAGCGCTAGAATCATCTCTATTGTTAATGAATCATTTGGAAATTTCGATAAAAAGAATGAAATATGAAAAATTATTTAGAAAAAAAATTATATTAACTACCCACTAAACAAAATAATAACCACAAGCTAATTTATATTCCATTCTATGCACCAATCAAATTGTTTTGTAAATAGTTTATCGTGAAATATTTTTGCCAAATGAAACATTTGGCAAAACATACTTTGCCAAACTATAATTTGCTAAACAATAATATGCCAAAAACGACATTTGCGAATTAAAAGTTTGCAATAAGTTGTTTTGCCAAATGAGAATTTGCCAAATGAAAATTTGCGAAACGTTGTTTGCGATGTGATAATTTGGGAAACGTTTTTTGGCCAAACATGAGTAATCCCTAAGAAGTGGTATTTTTTCACCAGTCTTATATTACGATCGTTTTCCATCAAAGCGGAGATGCGAAGAAGATTCCGTTAGTCTGAACTCTGAATTAACTGATTAATATACTCTAAAGCTGAGTTTTTTACAATTCTCAGTACCACCAACCGATATAATAATATTGTCTCAAAGTGGTGGTAGTAGTGCAAAGTAGGGTGAAAGTACCAGTAGTAGACCATTTAACTACACTGACAATTTTTCTGAGTCTCTTACCACCCCTTTTTAGGCATGCAGCGCCCACAAAGGGGCGTTATCGCCCACTTTGGGAAAGGCTGATTTATGCGATTGTTAGGGCAAAAAAATAATGAGACATGTATAGGCTCCTTAAGAGCATTTGACGATTTGTAAGTACATATTACTAATCTAAACAAATAAAGATAACTTTGATTTGATTTTGTATCTTACTTTCACCTTATATTATTATTAGGAAGTGTATTTTGAATTTAAGTAATTTTGTTATTTATTCACAGCATTGACTGTAAATAACAATAATTCTTTATTTGTAGACTACGGAAGGGTCAGAAGAATAGTAAGTTACATACTACACTACAAACTTACTTATTTTCTTTAGAATTATCTTCTTAACCTACTTCTAATTACTGTGAAGGACTGCTTTCTATGTGCCTGATATGTATGAAACCCTGTAGTCAACAGACTTTAGTCGGCCGATAGTTTGGTCGGGCTGTTAATTTATGGACATGTATGGAAGTGCGCACATTACACCGATTTGGTATCGGCCGACTAATGCTGGATTTCTATATTCAATCTTAATCAAATTGGACGGATTTGGATTGTCAACTGTCAAATTTTAAAATGTTTTTGGCCAAAATATCTGCGGTTTTTGATGTTTTTACATTTTTATATGGTTTATAAGACTATTTAAACAATATTAAAGTGTAAATGCGTCGAACATTTTGGAAATATAATCTAAAACTGAATTCAATTTGACAGTTGTAATCCGGATTTGGACAAGGATTGAATATAGGAATCGGGCGTAAAAGTCAGGTCTGCGGCGAAATTAGATTATTATGTTTTTCATTGAAATGTATATTTATAATTTATATTCGTCCAATCACGATTCGCTTTGTGTGTGTAGATAATAAACAATGTGCTACCTTTTTTTATTTTTGGCGTTCATAAGTGCCAAAATATTGATCTAAACTGATTTTTTTTTATTTGTTTTGTGTAGTTGGGACAATAATTTACCTGCTTAATACGATTGTATTTGTTTAAAAAAGTACGTTTATTAATATTACAGGTCAGCGACGACATAATAATAGCCAGTTTCCAGAGCTTAGCCACGTTCCATGCATGACCAAACGACGAGTTGGCTGGTTAAAGGACGTAGCACACTTATCAACCCGGAAAGGGATCGTAACCGTATCAACTCGAGGCAGTCAGTATTCTTTGTATGAAACTCCATACTGCAACGAACATTCATCCGCACCGTGACGTAAAGCCTCGCGCGGAAGGCGATGACAGCTCGCGAAAGGCGTTGTTCCATTTCTGAGTTGATAATTCTGCTATGACCTGAAGTCAACTTTACTCTGTAGAAATATGAAAAACCTTCGGGGCTGGTAAGAATTAGATATTTGAGATATTTTATATGTAAATGTTGATATTTATGGGCATAATAATAGGTATGTAATAAACAAATAGTTAAATCGTAAAACCTATAAATCAAATTACAATGTTTTTACATAATATTATTTTACATTTAAGTAGCTCAAAAATGAACACCCTGTATAGAATACATAGTACACACATACATAGTAATAACATCACAAATTAATATACATCACATTTATTTTACACAATTCTATCCAATGAATAAGCGTCTCGCGCATTTTACTCGACTGCACCAAAAGGAAGATTATGTTTTCAAGTGTATTATATTTTTTTGAAAGTTTTAGCATAAACTTCATTTGGGTTTAAGTTTGTGAAGCGTCATTAGATTCGTCTCAATTTACGTAGTTTTTATTTTATTTTATAATGTGTTTCTGAAGGTTAAAATTAGCGTTTAAAAGGATGTGTGCCTTGTTTAATGGTGTTAACTAACATTTTTAACCTCTGTGCCTTCCAACTTTATTTCCACAGTGTTTATAATTGGACTAGTCCTAAAAATTACTTAAAACATAAAGTATGAGACACCCTGTATAGATGTAGACCCTTTCTATTATCATATCCATTTTCAAAAATCACAATATTGTGTTGGTTTTTACAAGCTTTTATTTAACTTGTAATGTTAAATTTTAATATTTTAGGTAAAATGCCACTTTCTGACAAGCGATTGAGCTGAAATTTTGCATACACATGTAATTCGGATGACAATGCAATGTTATGATAGCATGGAGCTGGTCTCATGATGAAGCCGAAAGGTGGCCATAGGAATTTTATTCTTTTAAGAGCATTTAAATAAAAGCTTGTCTTAAAAAAGGTTTTTAAAAGATATATATATGTGAAATTCTTTGTTGTTTAAAAGACTGATTGCATATTGCTGTTGCTGTTTTAGTGATAAAATCTTTTTATTCCATATCCGCCCTGCTACTAATGATTTGCCTTAGAATGTTAAGTGTGCACAATTTTGTTATTTATTTTTATTATAGTGTAAATAAGACCTCAAATATATGTTTAAGTCACACATGAATGTTTTGCCTATCTAAAATTGTAATTTGTAAAAATTTGGGATGTGTATAAGTGCCTGGAAAAGGCCTGTGTACTAGATAGACTATTTGAATTTGTAAATAACAACCTAAGTTGTAATAGACAGACAGGTCTATTAAGCAGTCTACATACCAAACCCGCCGACATGAGTCGTAAATTTTTTGTCTGCGTGTATAGTTTCCTTGTTGATTTGCCTAGACAAGATAATTATTAAATTTTTCTTACCGTTCGCAGAGAGAGTTCGCATCTCTCAAACTAACTTATAACTAACTTGATAAAATCGAACTGCCTAAGTCACGACCGTGTGCGTTGCCACCTTAGGCAGTAAAATTTAGTTAAAAGATAATCTATTGTTTTTGGGACACCCTGTATGTGGCTAGCATGTCTGTCCCTGATACATTGTCCCTTCAGGAATGAGGGTACAGTCAGCCTCCGTGGTTGAGGATTCCGGGTGAAGCTCGCTTCCACCTTCGGCCTGATCGTCACTTACCATCAGGTGAGATACAGGCCAAGAGCTTCCTCGTTGTGGATAAAAATAAAAAGAGAATTTCAATGTTTTCTTCCGTTATTGGGATATTAACATCTCAAGTTATAAAACATGGAATTGTTGTATTTATATTATAATTCATATTAATAGTTGGTAAATCACTTACTTCTGTTTTTTACACTTCACGTAACTTATAAATAAATAATAAAATAAAAAGCTTTTATTTCCACAAGTTTACAATTTTATAAATTAAGTTAGAAGCATTTGTCTTCACTCTTGTGGCACCCCTGTATGGGCAAAAGCCTCCTCCATTCCGCTCCATTTCTTCCTGTCCTGGGCTAGGTCGAGCCAATTTTCTCCCGCTACTCTCATTAATCATCAGCCCACCTTTCTTTGGGTCTCCCAACATTCCTCTTCCCCTTCGGTCCCTTCCATTCTGTTGATGTTATAGTCCATCTTCTATCTTTGTACCTTGCTAGGTGTCCAGCCCACTGCCATTTTAGTTTTAAAGCTTTTTGGAGGGCATCTGTTAGTTTTGTTTGTTGTCTAATTTTGTTGTTTCTGATTTTTTGAATTTTTCTTATTTTCAGAATGCTCCTCTCCATCGCATGTTGACATGATTCTATTTTTGCTCTATTTTTGGTCTGGTACACCCAAGTTTGGTTCACGTAACTTAAGCGTTTTTAATTATCAGGATCAATAGACAGTATTATATTTTTAATATCACCGTTTTCTTCAACCGGCACCTCAGTTTGAGGCGAAACGGGGTTTGTTAGGGCAGAGTTGGACGATGAATAGTAAGAATTCACATGTTGATCGATAGGGGAAGTATAACAGCTTGGATGGCTATGGGGCGTTGAAGTACTCGGTGAAGGTAGAAACAAGTCAGCTCTGTAACCAGTTTCGGCTTCAAAAATCATGTTGTTTATCCGATGTTTTACGATTGCTTTGGTCGTTTTCTCGAACTTTCTAAGTTGGGTTGCTATGTATTCACCGAACAGTTCGTCCTCATCTCTTAGTTTTGATTCATTTCTTTGTTGACCAACTGTTTTTATTAAATTTATTGCTTCTGAAATCTCATTATTTGGTTTACAACGTTTATTTGCTCGAGGAATGTGTGACGTTTGAGATGAACTATTTTCTGTGATGTAGCCATTGTCGTTAGATGTTGTTTCCTAAAATTAAAATAATACTCGTAAGCATTCAATTATTTATAGAAAAAAAGAATATTCATTTTTTTTACAGTGAATTGGTACAAATTTTTATAATTGGGTAAGAAAAAAAATTCATTTTTTTTCCACCTGATAAGATAAATAAAAATTATATTGTCATTGCCGAAATTGGGTACATTTACCTTATTTTTAAAAATTCACTTACCGAATCATTCGTCCCAGCTGGTTTATTTTTAGTGAGCAAAAAATTGAAATATTTGTATGCAAACCATTTGCTTTTATAAACACAATCTGTACTGGCCCCAGTCTTTCTTGATTTAACAGTTTTTTTTCTTTCTCTGTAATATTGGCTGGTTAGATTTTTTATTTTTCGCTCCACTTCTGTTACATTTGTTTTTAAAATTATTGCAATTTCGTTCCATGCCTCGTACCGTTTTGGCCGACTTTTGTGATCACTGTGGTTGGGGTTCCATAGCAGTTCTTTTTCTTGGTATAATTGTATTAATTTTAGAGTGACTTCTTCGTCCCATTCCATTTGTGCATTTTGTGATTCCGTGGATTCCATTGTTGCAACACAAAAACAATTTCACAAACAAACAAGCCGAATCGAATCCAAAATGACACTGACAGTGACAAATGAAATGTCAGTGTCAATTAGTTCCGATTTTCGCCACGAGAATCGGCAAGTCGCAGACATGGCCGCCGACATCTAGCCACAAGTAGAGATGGGTAGTGGGTAAAAACCCATTTCACCTGATTGGTTAAAACTGGGTGATTTGGGTAAAAACCCGGTTTTTACCCATTACCACCCATTCTGGTGGGTGAAAACAAAAATAGCGTTTTTTTAAAGTGAGAAGTGGTATTTGTTGCTAAGGGGGCGTTCTAGTGTTACGTAATGCAATCTGGGGGGAGAGGAGGTCTTGAAAAACGTTACAATGCGTTACAGTGGCGGAAGGGCGGTTCGATTTCAAGTTTTTAAGCAGAAGTACTTTTTAGTTGGTGTTGTTATTTGTAACTTTATACCGTAATGTCATCAAAGAGAGAGTTTGGCATCTCCCCCCCTCCATGTCCTTGCCATGATCACAAATTATTGTGTTCCTACTAAATTTCTTCTAAATCGGTTCAACGATTCTTGAAATAACACCATTTTATAAAATAATTGGTCACATCATCATAACGTGATCAATTTTACGATTTGGCCACGATATAAATGCATATTAGTGTTAAATTTGACTTATTACTTATTAATCAATAAACTTAAATGAGAAAAATTCAATAAAAATAAAGAAAAGATACCAATTGAAATAATTATAAAATTATTTGTTTTCACCCGGTGTAAACACCCACGGGTGGAATGAAACGGGTTTTTATTGGGTTTTTACCCTCATGTGGGTTTTACCCTTTTGTACCCTTTGCACCACCGGCCTGCACCACTGGTGGTGCAAAGGGTATTTTTAAATCCCTCTTGCACCACCAACAAATAGTGCTGTGCTACCATCGTGTGTAAAACTAGTAGTAGACTGTAAAATACTTAATAATTTAATTGTTATAAATAAATCAAAACCTACCTAAAAGTTTTAATTTGTGTGTGTGTAAGTGCCTATAAACATTTCACTTCAGACCCACGATACCCCGGGCCTACATCCTACATACAACGAATAAAGAACCAGGGCAACATAACCATAAAGGAGCTATTTTATGATACATGTTTATTTCTCGGGTCAACCAAGAAGAATTTGATATAGCTCCTTTATGATTATGTTGCCCTGGTACTTTAGGAATTAAATTATTCGTTGTATGTAGGTATGAGGTTGTTATTAATTTTTATGTTATGTTGTCAAATCTGTCCAGTAGTTTCAGAACCTATTCAGTCCAAATAAACAATCAAATCTTTCCTCTTTATAATATTAATATTATATCATTATAGATAATCGTTTTACAGTTAATGGTAGGGCGGCACTATTGGTGGTGCAAAAGGGATTAAAAAATACCCTTTGCACCACCAGTGGTGCAGGCCGGTGGTGCAAAGGGTACAAAAGGGGTTTTTACCCGGGTGGAAACCCATCTCTAGCCACAAGTCGCCGACACGAATTTTTATGTCGCTCAACGAAAGTTAAGGCGAATATAATCACACTGATGTAATGTTTGAATTCAGCCCCGCTAAACAAAACGCACTTTTTGGTCGAATCGAAAATCGAATCCGTCAAAACTCCATACAAAAAAGGGGCTTTTCGACCACTTTTCGACTGGTTTGCGATTATAATTAATTTGCACTTTGTCTAGTACACAAATCAGTCGGAATACGCACGACGCGACGTTACGTTTAACGTATACAAATCTTTGCTTGTGTTGATCGCCTCAATTTTCGCTGCGTGACCTTACAAATCGTCGACATGAAATAAAATTCTAGGCAACGGGCTCGGTTTTATTAATCTAAGGGCTCGGCAGGTTTGGTGTGTAGACTTCTATACAGCTACAAAGTTATTTTTCTGGATGTATCATGTCATGATGGTTATTGATGTATTTCTTTTGTGTGATTCGTTAAGTAGGTAATTGACTATTTACATGACTAATCTTGTTATTTAATAATATAAGATTTATTAATAAATGAATTAAGTATTACTTCTTTTTATTACCTATAACTAAGTACCTACTAACCCATAAGTAATCTTTGATTACACATTCTAACGAATAGCCACCAAGCTCTTCTTGTTAAAAAGCCTGCAAGCAAGAAAGTTGTTAGTCCGACTAGGCAGAAAGCGCAGAAATATATCTTTTCTGTGTTGATAGCTTCACTCAACTGTCGTTGCGCATCCTATACATTGCTACAAATAAAGTTTTATGGCAGACCAACAGACATGTTTTTTTACGAGTTGTTTTGGAGGAAATTATTCAACAGCTGAAGGGCAGTATTATGAACGAAATAAATCTAATAGATTGAAGAAGAGTATACAGAGGGGTTTTATTAATTAATTACTTCTCTTGTTTATTTATTGCGCATTTGGTCATGGCCATTCACTAGTTTGTTGTAGAGGGTAAGGTAAGCTACATCTCCTTAACAATAACTTCTCTAAGCTCAACAGAAATAAAAACCGGTAAAAGGAACTAGTATTTTGTACTTGTTATTTTTATCATTAAACATCCCTAGTTTTGTGGCTGTTTTTTTCATCTGTGGATTAATTTAAAAAAAAAAAAACTTATTGACGTTTTTTTTGTTTACAAACTTGATGAAATTATTTCTGATTAAAATTTTCTGTTTAAATAATTAAAATGTTTGAATATAGCTGCCATAATGCCTCCAATTTGGATAAAACTTGCCGCGGGTGTCTTAAAGTTGGTGACGAGGTGCGGATCATGACTACTGAGGAACAAAATGTGTATTTAAAATTTATAGAGGTTAGTTCTCTAATTTGTTTGTTTTTTTTGCAAAATTACCAGCTTTGTGTAAGTTCCTTTGATATTTACAGTTAATATCTATGTTTTAATAACCTATATACTAGATTTTCTTTCTGTGTAAAACATAATTAACATAAAACTTATTCTTATCAATTTCAATATAAACAATAATTTTCAGGTATCTAATGAAGATTTAACTATGTATGTTTGTCTTCTATGTGCTCATTTGCTAAGGAAACTCGGCAAGTTCTTGATTCAGTGCCAGGAATCTTACAATGTTTTGAATAACTTTCTAAAGGTGAGTTACAATACATATGGGCAAAACTTATGAAACACATTGATTGTTGATTGTTTGTTGTACATTTCCTTGATAGTATCCTATCTTCATGAGTTCTATCTTTCCTGTCATCTATTTATGTTGTTTATTGATATATGTTTTTAAAATTAATATTTTTTTACTGCCTACTCCATCCACAGTTCGTCCTTAAGGTTAACTGGAGGAGAATGCCAAAAAGCATTAAGTTCGCCTTATGTATGGCTTAAAAACTTATTTATTATTCTTTAAATTAAAACAAATAATTTATTTCCAGGAATCCAAACCGCACAACCACATTCCACCGTTCCTGGCGTTCAATCTGGTCACAACGCAACCTGTAATAAACGAGTTTCAGAGCAATGTAGCATTGTTGTATGATTTTACACCGGACATGGTAACGTTTGACGATGGGCCAATTTTTGACGATGAAGACATACCGCTGGTGCTGTTAAAGAAAGAAGACAATGAGGCGGAGAATGGAGTTAGGAAGAAGAAGAAAAGTAGGAAAAAAGCAGTGGACGTAAGTACTTCCGTTTCAGCCAAATGACATCCACTGCTGGACAAAGGGTTGAAAGAAAGAAAGAAAGACATTTATTTGGTTCCAACTTAAAATGTAACACACAGAATCAGATAACAAAAAACAAGTACAAGTTAGAACCAAAATTGGCCACCGCTCAGCATATGTCATGTTCTGGAGTGGTAAATAAAACCCAGAACACGACGCTGTTATTCTGCGGTGACCATTTTTGGAGAGAGCTGGAAACAAACATGAGATGCGACAATACACAAAAAACAAACAAAAGAGAAAAAACAAAATAAAAAATACAACATTAAAAGAAAATAATTAACTTTAAAAAAAATAAAACCGACTTCAAATGCGTGAACACAAAAAAAAACAAAAAATTAAAAACATTGCGTATAAAAAAGTTCATCCCCAATTTTCCACCCTTGGGGGTGAAATATTTTCTTCAAATTCGCATGAATCCACCCTTTTGATAATACCTATTCAACAAAAAAATAATCGTTCAAATTGATTTATAATCGGCGGAGATATTGCGTATAAAAAAGTTCATGCCCAATTTTCCACCCTTGGGGGTTGTTTTTACTATTATTAAATTTAAATGGGACCACCCTTGAGGTATTACCTATACGCCGAAAAAAGATTTGTTCAAATCGGTTCATAATTGGCGGTGTTATCGCGTAACAAACATAGAAAAAAAAAAACATACGGGTCGAATTGAGAACCTCCTCCTTTTTTGAAGTCGGTTGAAAAGTAAATAGATGCTCAACATTCTCCCATAGATAGAGGTCCTGCACTGCCCACATCCAAGTACTTCCTGCGACCTACACCAGATCGTCGGTTCACTAGTGGAGGGCCTACCCAAAGTTGTAGAAATTACTTTTTGATTATCTACGTCATGTAACCGCCTCTGTGGTCTAGTGGTAAGACCACCTGCTTCAGACGCAGAGGTCCCGGGTTCGATTCCCAGTGGGGGCAGATTTTTCTGTTCGGTTTGGTTGGTGGTAGGGCTTGTTCTAAGTCCGCCTGGCTAGCTACCACCATCTTACCTAAGTCTGTCGCCATAACAACAATGTTAACAGCATTATTGTGTTCCGGCAGTTAAAGGTAAGATAGCCAGTTCCTCCGTGGTTGAGGATTCCGGGTGAAGCTCGCTTCCACCTTCGGCCTGATCGTCACTTACCATCAGGTGAGATACAGGCTTCCTTGTTGTGGATAAAACAAAAAAAAATGTAGTTTGAAAGTTTTGTAACTAAATAGTATAGTCACTGAAAAAAATTGATTTACCGTGGACCTCATCTCAAGAACTCGAATTTCTCCAAACGTTTTCTTTCTTCATTAATTCTCCATCATTTATTTATAAAATTCACACAGTTCTTTAATCACACTTCACAGGTTGAAGGCAACGGACCTTCATTTATAAAATCCGAAGACTCCGCGCCTCAAAGCAAGGAACAAGTGAAATGCAAGAAGAAGCCAAAGAAAGAGTTGCGTGAAGGATTCAGCCCAAGAATGGTGCAGGAAACTGAGGAGTATGTGGTCATCAAGCTTACGAAAGAACAGGTAATTAATGAGGGCTATCGTTTTTATACTTAACAGTTGGCACCCCTGGCGATTGACAGGACCTTACTCTACAGTGGCGCCATCTTGATGAGTGCAAATGCGATAGTCCTCCTACCACTTTAGCGCTCACAAGTTGGTGCCACTGTCTTCGCTACTAGCAAGTGACAGGACCTTACTCTACAGTGGCGCCATCTTGATGAGTGCAAATGCGATAGTCCTCCTACCACTTTAGCGCTCACAAGTTGGTGCCACTGTCTTCGCGACTAGCAAGTGACAGGACCTTACTCTACAGTGGCGCTAACTGGTGAGCGCTAAAACGATAGCCCTCATTTAAAGATTGCATTTGGAGGAAGGGTTTGATGCCTGATAACTTACTTATGTTCCTATGTCCCTAGATGGGGCAGAGGGCGTCCACAACAGTCCTCCATCGCGTTCGGTCTTGAGCTTCGCGTTTGGTCTCGCTCCAAGTCTTACCGATTCTTTCTTTGCCAGTGCGCCGCTAAGTTTGCCTTTTTCATTGGGGTTCCAATCCAGAGCCTGCTTAGGGATGTGATCGGGGTCCCTTCGGAGTGTAACCGATCCAGTTCCACTTGCGGCGCTTGATCTGCTGGTCGATCGGAATTTCGTAGCGCGTTCAATAGCTCGTCGTTTGAGTTTTCCAGGGGCCAGTATATGGTACGACATAGATGGCTTAAAGGGTCACTTTGGTAATTTGTACCTCGTGAAAAAAAAATCGTGGTCTGGTTTTTGTTAATACCAATTCTACCAAAAATTTGCGGTCACGAGTTGGCGCCCCTGGCGAGAAGACTACTCGTTAGTGGCGCCAACTGGTGAGTGCAAATGCGTTAGTCTCTTACCCGCGTTCCTTCACCAGTTGGCGCCACTGGCGAGCCACAAGACCCTACTCGTTAGTGGCGCCAACTGGTGAGTGCAAATGCGTTAGTCTCTTACCCGCGTGCCTTCACCAGTTGGCGCCACTGGCGAGCCACAAGACCCTACTCGTTAGTGGCGCCAAATGGTGAGATTATTTATTTTTATTTTCGCAGGTGTTGCAAGAAATGCACGAGCGTTCTCAGAGCGAGGGATACAAGCGAACGCTTTTCAAGTGCGAAAAATGCGTCAAAGGATTCAATTTCGAAGACGTGCTGCAAACGCACATGGAGAAACATTCTATGGTGAGTTATACAGGGTGTTAGGTAAATGGGTATATGAGCCCACACTAGCCCATGTTAACATGGTCATATAAATGGTATGGTGAGGTCAGAAAATTGATATCTTCATTTTAATTATTTTAATTTTCATACAAATCTGATTTAAAAAAAATTATTTTGAATGAAAATTAAAAAAAAAAACATGATATCAAATTTCTACCTATGTTAACATGGACTAGTGTCGGCTCATATACCCATTTACCTAACACCCTGTATAGATCTAGCGCTAAACCCAGTTATTACCAGGAATACACTATGGAAGCGGCACGGGAGAGTGTTTTTGAGACGTTCAGTAGCTTATGCCCGTATTCACAAACATTACTATGAGGTCTCACAGTGCGCGCGGACGCACAGGTTGACACACGAACCAATGACCGAGCTGTGCGTTCTATTTGCTTGCTAATATTTAGCTTTCGAACTCCTCCTATGTTCTTCTGATTAATTTCGATGCGGGTCCAATGACAGTTTAACTTTCCCCCGGGACAAACTTGACCTTCACTGGTTGGGTTATTGGCGGTCAAGCTGTAGATCCTGGCTACACAGGAGTTGCAGCGGTGGGAATAGTCCCGTGAAGTAAATTTAGCTTATTACAAGGGGCTAACGGAACTACATATTAGTAATTTGTGCAATTTTTTCAAACGATCTACACACCTATAATATTACCTTTTTTTTTAGGAGAATGGCTCTCTCCAATGCGACATTTGTACACAGTATTGTCCCAGCGTGGTGTCACTCAGGGGACATATGAAATCCCATACCACTAGGTAAGTTCATGCAGTTATGAGTCAACTCTTAACAATTAAACATGTACTTACTAACATGATCTTATACGTTATGGAGCGATCTCTTTCTCACAACGGAGAGTACAGTTCTTTGAAATGGAAAGGGAAATATCTGGCCTTAAATTAATCTACGTAAAATTTAATTGAGTTCTGAGCTTCATATTGAATTATTGATGGCAATCACTTTAACTATCAAACGTCTAAAAACACCCTCAAGCTACACTAATTTTAAGGCTGAAGAGTTTGTTTGTACAATATTAGTATGAAAAAGTGCACATTTTGCGAAGTGCACATTCTGTGTCAGACCCTATTGCATCAAGTTTTTACCTACTTCTTGTTATTTTTCGATAGATGAACATATGAATACGAATATGAAGGGAAAATAACATTAGTAATTTCTTAAATAATACAAATATTTAAAAACGGGACTATTCCCACCTCTCTATAGTCTGGTCTGCGAGCACGTAGAATTTTGTCCAATGCCCCCAAGCTACCCATCCTTATCGCTCGCGCGTAATTATATTGCTGTCGCGACTGTGCGACGGGCGCCCGCAGTGAGTGTGCGAGCGTGACAGCAACATAATTCTACGTGTTCGAAGACCGGACTTTAGTATTTATGTCTGTGTGCAGATATAAATGCAAGCTATGCGGCTGCGTGCGACAATCGCGGCAACACTTATTGGAGCACCACAACACCACACACACTCGCGGCGCGCCCGACTACACCTGCCGGCATTGCGGGTTCACTACCGCGTGAGTGTCATCATCATCATCATCATCATCATCATCGTCATCATCGTCATCATCATTATCATCATCATCATTATTATCATCGTCATCATCGTCGTCATCAACATCATCGTCATCATCATCGTCATCATCATCGTCGTCGTCATCGTCATCGTCGTCGTCGTCGTCGTCATCATCATCGTCGTCAGCATCATCATCGTCATCATTGTCGTCGTCGTCATCATCAACATCAGCATCATCATCGTCGTCGTCGTCGTCATTATCGTCGTCGTCGTCGTCATCATCGTCGTCATCAACATCATCGTCATCATCATTGTCATCATCGTCATCCATCGTCATCATAATCGTCGTCGTCATCGTCATCGTCATCGTCGTCATCGTCATTATCATCATCGTCATCATCATTATCATCATCGTCATCATCATTATCATCATCGTCATCATCATTATCATCATCATCATTATCATCATCGTCATCATCATCATCGTCGTCGTCGTCGTCATCGTCATCATCATCATCATCGCGCGAGCTGTGCGGCTGCTTGCTCTTCGCTCCTTAGTAGTGCCAAGTGACTATAGTGGCGCCAAGTGACATCACTCTATAGTGGCGCCAAGTGACATAACTCTATAGTGGCGCCAAGTGACTACAGTGGCACCAAGTGACATCACTCGTTAGTGGTGCCAAGTGACTTCACTTGTTAGTGGTGCCAAGTGACTTCACTTGTTAGTGGCACCAAGTGACTTCACTCGTTAGTGGCGCCAAATGACACCACTCGTTAGTGGCGGCAAGTGACACCACTCGTTAGTGGCGCCAAGTGACATCACTCGGGCGCCATGAGACATCACTCAGGCGCCAAGTGACATCACTCTTTAGTGACGCCAAGTGGTGAGTGACAAGTCATTACTCGTTAGTGGCACCAACTGGAGAATATCATCATCATCACTGTGCTTTTACGAGCTAGTTAGCGCGTGCGTCACAAAAATCTGTGAAGATTTTAGTTCTTAAAAGTAGCCGCTAGGGGCGCTGTACAATCTGTCATACATTTAGTGCCTTTTTTTTAAATAAAATAATATAAAAAAATGTATGTCTGTCAACAGCAAAAGAACGTCCATGCAACGTCACGTCAAGTCGCACCGGGAAGGCGAGAGACACGCGTGCCACCAGTGCGGTAAATTATTCAAGAGTCTGGAGACGCTGCGGGTTCACACCATGTGAGTAAAAACTAAAGCCCGGTCTGTGAGCACGTAGTATTTCGTCCAATGACCCCAAGCTACCCATCCTTATCGCTCGCGCGTAATTATATTGCTGTCGCGACTGTGCGACGGGCGCCCGCAGTGAGTGTGCGAACGCGACAGCAACATAATTACACGCGAGCGATAAGGATGGGTAGCTTGGGATCATTGGACAAAATTCTACGTGCTCGCAGACCAGACTATAGAAAATTATTATTTAGCGGTTTAACACTACGTTCGATCCATCCGTCAAGATGAACACCTAAAAAACTAACCTCGTATCCTAACGCACTAAGCACCAGTTGGCGCCCATTTGTGGCTAAGACAACACAAATAAGGTAGAACTGTCATAATCATAATCATAATTTTACTGTCAAAACTGTGTACAAAAGGTGGTAACAATAATTTAGTGGCTTCAACAGTTATCCATTTCGGATGTACAATATGTTATTAAATTAGACGAGATTAGATTAGATTAAAAAACAAATGTCAATAAATAATATTATGTCAAAAGTTATTAAAATATTTATCTAGGTTATAAAAACATTTCTGCAACAACCATTCTTTCAATTTCTGTTTAAATTGCGGGTTTTCTAGTGCTTTTATACAGTTAGGCAAATGGTTAAACACTCGAGTTCCTGTAATCAAGGTACTCTTGCTATAAATATAACTTGATGATTTCAAAATACAAATGTTATAAGCATGTTGAGATCTAAGATTCTTTTTAATTTTTCTTTTTTCACAGTCGGTCCTTTTGTCGCATTTTATTACATCATTATTTGGCGCCATTGACGAGTGAGGCAATGTAACTCGCCAAAGGCGCCAACTGGTAAATACAAAGTAACGTACTATGATCAATAACCTTTGCGTTCCATTTTAACAACTACACGTTCAAGCCGTGAGTTCATCATATAACTCATTCATGACCCGTGTCTTTCTATTAGTTAGATGCTAGCGGCCGCCCGCGACTTCGTACGCGTGGATCCCGTTTTACCTTACCACCGTTTTAGATTTTTTCATACAAATATTTTTTCCCGCTAACTCCCGTTCCCGTGGGAATTTTGCAATATCCTGTTGTAAGTAAGCTTTAAGTTTACTAAGGTACCTGCATGCCAAATTTCAAGCGTCTAACTTAAGCGGTTTAAATTTTTCATACAAAAGGATTTTCCCTTTCCCGTGGGAATTTCGGGAATTCCTTTCTTAGTGCACCTCAACGGTGCATAAGCTACGTCCCTTCCAAATTTCAAGTGCCTACGTTCAGCCGTTTAGGCGTTGATATGTCAGTCAGTCAGTCAGTCAGTTTCTCTATTTAGATAGATAATATTTAAAGCCTGGTCCGTGAGCACGTAGAATCCCGTCCAATGACCCCAAGCTACCCACAGTCGCGACAGCAATATAATTACGTGCGAGCGATAAGGATGGGTAGCTTGGGGTCATTGGACGGGATTCTACGTGCTCACGGAGCAAGCTTTAGATAAGTATAAAATTATGTCCATGTCCCTTGATAATAAACAAATAAATTGTTTTTATCGCAGGCGCCACGACAAATCCAAGCGCTTGCAGTGTGAAGAGTGCGGGCGCGTGTTCATATACCCGTCTCTCTTGCACCGCCACGTGCAAGCGGTTCACGTTAGGAAGGATTATTACTGCGTCGAATGCGACGTGGAGTTCAAATCCAGGGTAAGACACTAAACATTGCGGTTAATAGTTGGCGCCACTGGCGAGTAAGGTCCTATCATTTGCTTATGGCAAAGACAGTAGCGCCAACTTTATTTATTTTAAGAATAAGAAAAGAAACTAGTGAGTGATAATTGCATTTGCAATCACCAGTTGGCGCCATTCATTCGCCAATGGCGCCAACTAGAGAGTGTTCAGATGTGCAGATTTTCTGTCATCCGTACGGTGAGCCAATATTTATCTAATATGAAAAATATTTGTATATTTATCTTTTCACAGGAGAATCTCAGGCTACATTTCAAGAAAGCTAAGCGACACAGAGACGCTTCTTCGTACCAGTAAGTTATTTAGCGCTCCATCTAAAGCCCGGTCTCCGAGCACGTAGAATTTTGTCCAATGACCACATTAAGCGTGATTATATTGCTGTCGCGCTCGCACACTCACTGCGGGCGCCCGTCGCACAGTCGCGACTGCAATATAATTCCGCGCGAGCGATAAGGATGGGAAGCTTGGTGTCATTGGACGAAATTCTACGTGCTCGGCGACCAGACTATAGTAATGTGTAAATATTTTTTTATATTAAATTTTAAGATCTCTATAATAACGCAGTGGATATTATCCATACGGGACATTTCTCTCTATAACTCTATGTAATCTAGGGGCTACAGCTTGACCAATAAAACCCAACCAGTGAAGGGCAAGTTTGTTCCAAGTTTTGTATTGATAATGACTATTTATTTTCCCCTCCACTAAAGCGGATTGTAAAGGACATATTCCAGCAGTGGACTGTTGATGATGATGATTCATTTATTTTAAGATGGACAGATGACCTCATAAAGGTAGCAGAAAGACGTTAGATAAAGGGCGCTCTTATCTCAACCGACCAATCTGGGAATCATTGGGGGAGGGCTATGTTCAGCAGTGGACGTCCAGTGGCTGAAATGATGATGATGATGGGATGATGGTTTATTTTCAGGTACGAATGCGGTCAATGCCCCGAACGCTTCGTTTCACCGTCCACGCTATCTACCCACGTGACCATGGCCCATGGACAACTGGTAGGAATAAAAAAATATTTTCTCCATTATTTTGTACCGAACCGGCATAAAGCCTGGTCCGTGAGCACACTCACTGCGGGCGCGCGTCGCACAGTCGCGACAGCAATATAATTACGCGCGAGCGATAAGGATGGGTAGCTTGGGGTCATTGGACAAAATTCTACGTGCTCACGGACCAGGCTTTAGAATATAATACGATTTTGCAAGCCTCCCACTCGGTGTACCGACGATCTGGATAAGATCGGCTGTCTCAATTACTGCAACGCTATCAATTCTGATAGATGAGTCTACTGCTCGTTTGCAGTAGGTAGGTAGCTGTAAGCAGTTGGCGCCACTTAACGTGTTAATTTTGGTATTGCGCAACTTATCATAGTGAATAAACTAATAATGGTAGGAAATGAAATATAAGCTAGGTTATAATAATATTTCACAGGACTCACCAGTTGGCGCCACTTGCAAGTCAGCTTCTTTAACTCAACGGTGGCGCCAACTGGTAGTTACTCCTTATAAACCATAACTGCGTCCAAAATAAATTATTTTTTCAACAGAAACAACACTCCTGCCTAGTTTGCAGGCGTCTCTACAGCAGCAGGGACGCACTAAGAGCGCACACCAGAGACAAGCATTCCATAGACAATATACACTGCGGTATCTGCGACAAGAGTTTCAGCGTAAGTATTCTTCATTAATCTGTCTATCTATCTATCTATACAAATAAAAATGAATTGCTGTTCGTTAGTCTGATTAAAACTCGAGAACGGCTGGGCCGATTGAGCTGATTTTGGTTTTAAAATGTTTGTTGTAGTCCAGGGTAGGTCTAAACGGTCAAAATTTGCTTATTTACTGCCTTTAAGGCGGAACAGAGCTCGCCGGGTCAGCTAGTTTTTAATAAAAATAATCTGCTATACTCAACGATTCGGAAACGTCGGAACTAATAACCCAGTAGTGATATTAATGCCCTCCTGAATGAGCTTAGTGAAACTATTCTAAATTCTAATTTAATAACATGGACTAATGGTTAATTTTTCCTTCCTTCAGCGCAAGAGTATATTAGCAGCGCATATGAGGACACACGGCGCGTGCGACTCTTATGAAGACAAAGACAAGGTAAACCAGCAAAAATGTAACGAAAATTCAATACAAATGTTTTTTACAATAAAAGATTTCAATTTACTTAATAGAGCGTAACGTCCACCAATAAGATGGACCGACGACCTCATAAAAATAGGAAGGCGCTGGATGCAGGCCGCTACCAACCGGGCGATGTGGAAGTCATTGGGGGAGGCCTATGTTCAGCAGTGGACGTCCTGTGGCTGAAATAATGATGATGAGTCTATTTTCATATTATAAACAACTGATTTGTGGAAATCCTTGGGGGAGGCATTTGTCCAGCAGTGGACGTCTTTCGGCTGAAACGAACGAACGAAACAACTTATTTAGTTTTTATTTTTAGTAAAACAATTTCCACGTGTATCGTTTTATGAGTATGATACTTAGTTTTTTTTGTTAATAAAAAACAATAGAAAATATTTTTTTACTTACATTTTTAAAGATTTCTCATTTTTTGCAGAAACTTGAAGACTCAATGCTGATAGAAGAACCACAACCAGCGCTTTTAGAAAGTTAACTGTAATATATTAAACCTTATTGCTATGGACTCAAGGTTCAAAACAATGAAGATTTAGAACTTTGGAGATTTTTTGTATCTGGCTTTGAGAAACAGTATTACGCCGTTTGCTTTTTATTGTATTTTGTGATAAACATTGTGATGTGAAATAAAAAAAGATAAATAATTTCAGATTTTTATTAATAAAAATAAACTCTAACAAGTAAATGCGAACGATGCACCATATTTACAATTGATATACTTAAATTTTATTACTATATTATTTAATTTAGAATTCATACTGATCACCATTCAGATGTTTAGAGGTCTATAGTCTGGTCTGCGAGCACGTAGAATTTTGTCCAATGACCCCAAGCTACCCATCCCAATCGATCGCGCTTAATTATGTTGCTGTCGCGCTCGCACACTCACTGCGGGCGCCCGTCGCACAGTCGCGACAGCAATATAATTACGCGCGAGCGATAAGGATGGATAGCTTGGGGTCATTGGACAAAATTCTACGTGCTCACGGACCGGGCTTTAGAGCATAACTGGATCAGTGTTTGAGGTATGGTAGCGGCACGGGAGGGTGACATATTATGATGACGTGACTGAGCATACAAGTCTGAAGCACATCAGGACCCCGATTGCGCTAAATACGCGACTAGACGACGAACGAAAATCACAAATTCGTATCGCTTTGTCACTTTGACAGCTAGTGCAAACGAAAACAAAACGCAACTGCTTTTTTGTGTAAAAGCTGAAAGAAAGCTACTTTATCTCAAATTCAAGTCAAACGCCTTCACGAGCATTTGCTGTTTTAGTGAAAAAATAAAGTGTTCGGACTTTTATTGGAAAGTGATTAAATCTGTTGTTTCATCTTTGTTTGCGCGTGAACTTTACCGCGTAACAGAATTTGCACCTCAGATGGAATGAAAAACGCAGCGCAACTGGAGTAGAAGCGCCAATGAATTGGAGACGCTAATAAGTATGCTACACAAAAAACAAATTTAAACTACCTACATCCGAAACTTTTGAATCGGTTACGGTTACGGATGTCCATAACATCCCTGTACGAACTAATTGAAGCGGACTATATCATAAACAAAATAGACGCTACGTATAAAGTTTTGTTATTGTGTTGTCTTAATTGAACCGACTTCAAATGCGTGAACACAAAAAAAAACTAAAAATTAAAAAAAAATATCGTTCAAATTGGTTTATAATCGGCGGAGATATTGCGTATAAAAAAGTTCATCCCCAATTTTCAACCCTTGGGGGTTGTTTTTTTATTATTAAATTTAAATGGGACCACCCTTGAGGTATTACCTATACGCCGAAAAAAGATTTGTTCAAATCGGTTCATAATTGACGGAGTTATCGCGTAACAAACATAGAAAAAAAAAACATACGGGTCGAATTGAGAACCTCCTCCTTTTTTTGAAGTCGGTTGAAAACTAGCGCAATCGGGGCACTGAAGTCCCGCTGACGTGTGACGTCACAAAACACTCTCCCGTGTCGACCTCATACCTCAGGCTCTGACACAATTAAGCACTAAACCTGTAATATTCCCGTTAACCCCTCTAACTAAGCTAAATATAAGCTTATGGTTTAAAACTATTATACATATAAACAACTTAACGCCATTCGGCATTCTCCTCCAGTTAACCTTGGGGCCAAAGTGAGAATATAGTCATTTGTATTACCACAAAAAATATTGGACTTTTTTATTTTACTTACATTAATAAATAAAGCACTTGAAATCATCTTAAGGTTCAATTTCACTAGTCCCTGATAAAGTTTCAGATAGTTATCTGTCATATCACTATCTATCAAATAAAGGATACAATAATCAGTTAATTTAACCGCCATAAAACTATTTGAGACGTGAAAACAAATTTTTAGTTTATCTGGCAGATAGCCTATCTATCAGAGACTTTATCAGAAAGTGGTGAGACATGCCTTATTCTAAGAAAGGGTTACCCTAGCACCGAAAATATATTTTATATTAATTTGTTATACTGTATAATTAATCAACTAAGTTTATTTACATAATCTTTTTATACTTTACTATGTATCTATCTCAAAGTTGGAAAAGAAGACACCAAAATTTGCCACGGCATGGCGTAATTACCACGCCCGCGCCATAACATAGCTGTATTGCTAGCTATTACATTAAATATTGCTAAAAATAACAAAAGAAAACCATGGAATGTAAACAAGTACAGTAGTTAACATGAGATAAATAGTTAAAACGGTATCCTTCCGTTTGGCCAAATTACTTTTCGCCAAATTTCACTTCGCAAACAACTTATCGCCAAAGTTTCATTTCCCAAATAAACTTTTAGCAACTGTACTTTTCGCAACTAATTCATTTGGTCAAATTAACATTTGGCCAAATTTTACTTGGCAAATGTTTATATAGCAAATGTTTTATTTTGCCAAATATTATATCCCAAATAATTTGCTTGGTCAAATTGACACTTCACATACTTACGAGTACCCACCGTTACCCACAAATCAAAGCATAAGGCACATGGTCATGGTTTTCACAATAATTTTATGTAAAACAGAGAGATTGCAGAAAATAGTATGGTTGCAAAAAGTAGGTATTGTAGAAAATAGTAGGTTAGGTTAGGTTAGAACAGTGACCCTTAATGCGCGAAGGCGAGCGAAGCGTGCCGCGGCAGCGGCCGCCGAGCGCTAGAATCATCTCTATTGTTAATGAATCATTTGGAAATTTCGATAAAAAGAATGAAATATGAAAATTTATTTAGAAAAAAATATATATTAACTACCCACTAAACAAAATAATAACCACAAGCTAATTTGTATTCCATTCTATGCACCAATCAAATTGTTTTGTAAATAGTTTATCGTGAAATATTTTTGCCAAATGAAACATTTGGCAAAACATACTTTGCCAAACAATAATTTGCTAAACAATAATATGCCAAAAACGACATTTGCGAATTAAAAGTTTGCAATAAGTTGTTTTGCCAAATGAGAATTTGCCAAATGAAAATTTGCGAAACGTTGTTTGCGATGTGATAATTTGGGAAACGTTTTTTGGCCAAACATTAGTAATCCAGTTAAAACATATAAAAATTACACAATTAGAATTAAATTAAACATTTTAAAGCGCTTTCACATTTAGGCGATTTAGCAGCGCGACAAACGCTGCCGAAATTTTTTTTATCCACAACGAGGAAGCTCTTCGCCTGTATCTCACCTGATGGTAAGTGACGATCAGGCTGAAGGTGGAAGCGAGCTTCACCCGGAATCCTCAACCTCGGAGGAACTGGCTATCTTACCTCTAACTGCCGGAACACAACATTGTTGTTACGGCGACAGACTTAGGTAAGATGGTGGTAGCTAGCCAGGCGGACTTAGAACAAGCCACCAACCAAACCGAACAGAAAAATCTGCCCCCACTGGGAATCGAACTCGGGACCTCTGCGTCTGAAGCAGGTGGTCTCACCACTAGACCACTGAGGCGGTTATAATTTCATACTATGTGACATGCACATGCATGCCTTCACATTATAAAAACGCCACTGCCGCGCTGCTGTCGCGCTACTACCCTAATGTGCAAGCGCTCTAAATCTAATAAAGAAGTTTACTTCAGAATTTTTCGTACTAGAGGTACTGTAGTCACGTTCTGAAGTTATCGGTAGTCAAACTATTGGACTACCCGCAAGAAAACCTGTATCAGTCTCTCCTCATACATTTCCTTTTCTCCAACACAATCATGCCTTTCAACGCGCTAGCTACAGCGTATCTCAACTCATGGAATTTAGCTAACGACAGTCTATAAACATGGTTCTGTCCGTCTGTGAGAGTAAGAATTAATATTATGTGAGTGTGACGATGTAGAATCTCTTTGCAACGCTGGGGGTTGGCGCTCTCTGAATGGATTGTAGATTGGCTGAAAAAGAAAATTATTCAGTAAATAATGCATTGGTTTTAAAAGTTATGAATTACTTTTTTCTTTCTCTTATTTTGGCTGTACTTAAATCCTAGACTTACTGTAAAATAAGTATTGAAATTGGATTGGAAACAAACATTTTAAAGCATTTAAACTTTGTATGGAAATAGCTATGCGTCGTGCACACGAGAAGCAGAAATATTTGGAACGTTAAAAGGGCTTTAAAAAGGCCAACTTATTTTTTTTATAACGATCACCAATTAATTGCTTTTTAAGCATTAATAATAATTTTAACACTACTAATACCTTTGTAGATAAGAGCCCACTTAACATTACAATAAAACTATTAACAACTTCTCTGAATCAATTACTTAATGGATGGTATTTTATTACTCAAACTTTGATATGAATCATACCACTCATTATAATTTGCAACAAATGGGCTAATTTGTGTAACGAAAGGATTAAAAACGCTTTGCTAATTAATTACATGTTGTTAAACTTGTTAATCATCAATATTTCGCTGCAAATTGTTATTGAAGATGGTTTAACTTAGAAATGTCCAAGAAAATAAGATTATTTATAAAAAATCTCAAAGACTATCGACACTCCGCGCGTTTGTTAATTTTTAACATGAAGCATGTCGCAGGCATAAAGCATAATAGACCACTAAAGAGAAAATGCCTGTATATGTCCGGTCGCCGAGCAGATAGAATTTCGTACAATGACCCCAAGCAGCACCTATCCTTATCGCTCGCGCGTAATATTATTGCTGTCGCGCTCGCACACTCACTACGGCCGCCCGTCGCACAGTGAGCTTGGGGTCATTGTACGAAATTCTATCTGCTGGGCGACCGGACTTTAGATACATACCTTAGAGACATATCAATCTTCCACTGCAGTCCTGCTAACCCCGGCTTCACCCTCAAGTGCGTGGGGATATTCTCATATATCTTGTCTACGCACACCAAAGAAGCCAGCTCTGACACACATTCTGGGGAAAATCTGGAAAATAACAAAAAACCTGTGTGAACTTACATTGAACTTAAGGTAAGATTTTGCAGGGCAAGGAACTGGTATGCAAGTATACCAATCTGTGCTTGAGGTTCGACCAAACCAACGCTTGCCTGCATGCACAGATGCCGTGTATGAATTTGTAGCGATGAGTTCACATCAATGCGTCCTCTCATTGGTCGCAGCGATCTACGGACGCACAGTGAACGCCATCGCCATCGCCGACGCGAGCTGCACATGTTGGTTGGCCGAAACTGTATTAGGGGGCGTCTATTAATTACGTGAGATAATTTTGGCAATTTTTCAACCCCCCCACCCCCTTGATGAGATTTGGTGAGATTTTTCTAGACCCCTCCCCCTCCCTACAATCTCACGTGAGATTTCTTAAAATACATATTTGTAATCTTGTAACTCTATTAGGATTTAATATTGAAAAAAAAAACTGTTTCTTCTAATTTATTTAATGTTCAGACGCTTTAGAATAAAAAATTCAATAATTTATTATTATCATCTTAAAATACATAGGTAGTATGTTTATTTTTTAGTTATCTCGCAATTTGACACTTTTTCTTGCTGAAAAAAAATACGTGATATTTGTCAAGACCCCCCCTCTCCTCTACGTGAGATTTAGTGAGGTTTTTCTAGACCCCCCTCCCCCCGCTAAACGTCTCACGTAATTAATGGACGCCCCCTTAGCTACTACAGTGTGTAAATTCTTACCTAAGTCCCTCTAAGAACGTAACAACATCCTCCTGACTCCAAGCCTCCTTGCTGGCCGATCTGCACCTGGCGAAGTGTCGCACCACCGCGCGCACAGCTGAGAACTTGTCCGTACTCATCAGGGACTTCAACCGACTGTCTGGGTTGCCTTCCAGCTCTTTGATCGCCACTGGAAGGAAGATTAATCATAATGGGCATATTTCCTTACTATAGACCTGTAGAAATAAAACTTAAAAATCCCTACTAATATTATAAATGCGAAAGTAATTCCGTCTGTCTGTCTGTGTCGCTTTCACGCCTAAAGATTCGGCCAAACCAATGCGATCACACGCGACACCAGACTTAAATGCCATCACTTAGATCGCCATCGCTGCACGCCGGCTGATCGCGTGTGATCGTGTTGGTTTGGTCGAACCTTAAACCACTGAACCGATTTTGATGAAAATCGGAGATAGTTTGAGCCCCGAAAAAAGACATAGGATAGTTTTTATAAAGTATTTTTGTGACAAACAACATTTTATGAGGGGGCCGCGGTCCGAAAGCTAGTAGAAATACTTAGTTAACTCTACTTTCTCAAAAATAAAGATGTACCTACTATAGTAGGCTGTGAACCACTTTAACGTTTAGTGTTTGCGATAAAGTAAATACTTACTTAGGCCCAGTTTCCGCGAAGCGGAGGTGTCGGGCGGTTTTTATTTTTAATTCTTTTTTTTCTAGAAATGCATAAATTAGGTAAAGCCGAAGTTACAGAAGTTTTTTTTCTATAACTAACAGTTTACGTAGGTTTGGTTGGATATTACATGGACGTTTTGTGGCTCTTCCTAACCTAAGGGCTCTTCATGGTAAACATTGGCGTAAAATCGAACTTCACTTAGTAAGTTCGTTTGATCACCTAATTATGTCACACTTTTCGGAACATGTTTTGTAATATTGTTACAGCTTTTCAAAAGCTTAAATAATACTGTGCTTTGTCCTAAGGCTTTTTCTAAATAAAGACGTGTTAGTTATTAAGGAGAAAGGTAACTCACGAGCAACAAATGGTTTGATCTCCTTTTTCTGGATTTCCGGTGTGACGAAACTCACTGAAGTCCATTGAGACAGGTTCTCAGTTAATATTTCTAATTGTTGCGACATTGTTTTTGAAATCTAGCAGAAAATAACAAGAAAAATAACAAAAGTTTCAGAATTTTCGCAGATGCTCATCAGCTGATAACAAATGTCATAACAACGAATTAAAAAAAACTGCCACAGATTATGTCTGTTTACCGGTTTTTATGCGCGTGGTATTTATCGACATAATCGATAAATACCACGTGCCGTATCAAGTGACGCGGTGATCGAGTGCGGGGCACGTCACTTTAATTTGTTAATGGCTGCCGGTCGGTTGTTTGGCGTCTGCAAAAATTTTGCTTCAGTTTTATTTTGAGTCGCGATCCGCGCACAAGTTTCTAACTGTTCTGTGATTGTGTAGTGTTCATCAATAATTATGGCTGCAGTGCAACAAGGACAACCAGGCAACAAGCCGTGGCCCGCCAGACCTGGAATCCAGCATCAGAATAGTCAGAGCAACGCTAGTCTCACTTTGAATAGAACAATAAACTTGTATCCCCTTACAAATTATACATTCGGCACCAAAGAGTCTCTATTTGAGAAGGATGCATCAGTCCCCGCCAGGTTCCAGAGGATGAGGGAAGAATTTGTGAAAATTGGGATGCGGAGGTGAGGTTATGTTTTGACTAACTCCCACACTCAAAATAGCTCTTTTAATTCATTTAAATTTGTTAAACATTACGTAAAACCAAAACTGGTAAACCTAGAACAATACCACAAGAATTCTGATGCAATTTAAGTTTGATTTTTGTATTGGTACTAAATAAAAATATTTTTCTTTCTTTCTTTCAATGGCTTCAGAATCGTGGTATTTTTCTGTATATAGTTTGTGTGTCTGTAACTACACCAGCTATGGTTGCAGGTTCGAATTCTGGCTGGTGTTTTTTTTTCTATCTAGAAATCACAATAGAATCTGATAATTTTGATTGAAATGTATATTTTAATTAGTGTAACTTGAATCATTTTAAGTTGATTAATGGGTTAGTGATGATTACTAATGATTTTTCTTAAAATTAATTACATGTAGGTACCTTATTTTTAAATGCATGTAAAGTGTTATCTTAGAGTAACTTTACCTGTTTGCATTTATAATTTGAAATAACCAAATGAATACACAAAATGTGATGAAAAGTGATGTATATTTCCTATTAGTTACTTATTTAGGACTAGCTGACCAGGCAAACTTTGTACTGCCTAAGTTCACCAGACTTAAATAAATGTAAGATGTAAATGGTGAAAGAATTATTTAAATTGTTCCAGTAGCTAAGCCTATTCAATACCAACAAACAGACAAACAATGAAATCGTTTCTCTGTATATTTAGTGTAGACTATGTATCATGTGTGAATGGGATTTACTAAAATGTCATCTTCTCTACAGGTCTGTTGAAGGTGTGCTGTTAGTTCACGAGCACGGACTACCTCATGTGCTGTTACTTCAGCTCGGTACCGCATTCTTCAAGCTGCCGGGCGGAGAATTAAATCCTGGTGAAGTAAGTTCTTTCATTTGCCTTGTGTTTTGTTTGAACAATCTTTCCTTCCCATGCTTTATCATCATCATTTCAGCCATAGGACGTCCACTGTTGAACATACGCCTCCCCCAATGCTTTCCACGTTGATGCTTTATGCTTGAGCTTATTTGAGACGTACCAAATTTTTTTTTCTCTCATATCCGTGTTCTCAGCAACAATCTGTAGGGAACTCCTGTGTCCGTTTGCACTGTTCTTTGTCATGTGCGGGGTGGAGTCCAGTGACTCAGTTGCCCGCAGTGGTCATGGTTTCTCAACTGTCCTGGAATCTACTAAGGAGACCCCTGACTAGCTCTTTGCAGTCTGCTGAATAGGAAGCCTTCAATGGTCATGAGTTGTTGGACTGATGAGTTTGGATGATTTGTAAATCTACCCTTGTAGTGGAGTGTGTGGCTCTTTACTTCCTCTCTGACGTACCAAATGCCTTCTTTATTATTCTACTTTAGTTTTAAATACAATAATTTACTTGTTTAATAAATATTAAATGTTCCTATTCATTTTACTTACTTGCTATTTTGAACATATTTACAGGATGAAATTGAAGGCCTGAAGAGATTGCTGACGGAAACGCTTGGCAGGCAAGACGGTGTTAAGCAGGACTGGCTGATCGAGGACACAATTGGTGAGTTCGGATTATTTCCTTCGTTTCAGCCGAAAGACGTCCACTGCTGGACAAAGGCCTCCCCAAGGATTTCCACAAAGACCGGTCCTGCGCCGCTCGCATCCAGGCGCTTGCCGTGACCTTCACCAGATCGTCTGTCCACCTAGTGGGAGGCCTGCCCAAGCTACGTCTTATTTAGATAATACATTTTTTTTAAATACTTATATTCCTTCTAAGCCAGTTATTCGCGTGGGAACATGAATGTGGGACATAGATAAGTGGGGATATTCATCGGTCAACTCTATTAATTTTTAAAATCTTCCCATCGGCATTGAGAAGAATAAATAAATAAATAAATAAATCTTTGGACAATTTCACACAGCGCCAGCTAGCCCCAAAGTAAGCAACTTAATGCTTGTGTTATGGGTGCTAGCTTAACGGATATACTACTTATACTATACTTTTTTTTTTTTTTTTTTAAATACATACATATTATACATAGTAACACCCAGACCCGTCACAGAAATTAAAATTCATCATTTCAATTTCTGCCCGGCCGGGAATCGAACCCGGGACCTCTCAGCATATTAGTCCGTTCCGAACCACTACACCAAACGGCCGACATATGTGTAACACTCAGGTGTAACATAAGCCAAGATATCCTACAAACATCCAAAAACAAGTAAAATAATCAAAAACTAATCTTTTTCAGGCAACTGGTGGCGGCCTAACTTCGAGCCTCCACAGTACCCATACATTCCACCGCACATCACAAAGCCCAAAGAGCACAAGCGTTTATTCCTGGTACAACTCCAAGACAGAGCGCTATTCGCTGTGCCGAAGAACTACAAACTGGTTGCAGCACCACTATTCGAGTTGTATGACAATGCCCAAGGGTACGGACCGATCATTTCATCGCTGTCCCAGAGCTTGTGCCGGTTTAACTTTGTGTACATGTGAGGACGGTATAGATTTAGACGGAGGCGTGAGAGAGTGAATATTTCGTTTAGATAGCCAAAAGTGTGAGTGATTTTTTTACGTTGTAAATTGTGTTTTATACTGTTTGGTCACTGCTAATTCTACCTTAGAGGCTACTCAAAGTGAAAAAGACCTTGGTTACGTACTCGTATCGTTAAATATACATTGCTAAATAAATAAAATTGTTTTCGGAATGAGGGTTTTCGCGATTGAAAAATCCGCCAGATGGCAATACGTAGACGCGAGGTCCAAATGCTGCATGGTTGGTTATTTTTGACATGACATTGACAGATATGTCAAAATCCACATCCAATCTCCAATCATGCAGCATTTGGACCTCGCGTCTACGTATTGCCATCTGGCGGATTTTTCATACGCGAAAACCCTCAATGAGGGCAAAATTGTGGATTTTTTGTGTTGATCGGTGGCCAGACTTTTCAGAAAGGACAACAGAAGTATATTATATTGTATGTGATCAGTAGAACACAATTTTGTTAATTGATACCAATCACAAGTTTGAATGTATATTTTGGTAGATTCTTACTGAATTTGTCAGTATATTTGGCTTTCTAAACTAAGTATTTTAGGTAATTAGTATTTAAAAATGTCACTAATAGATTAGGGCAGTGTGAATTTAAGTCCGTATTACATACAAAGCAAATCAAAACAACGTTCAAAACTTGACTCGTTTAAGTATTGAAAAACCACCACATGCTTGACTTAGAGTTGGGTTTTGAGCGTTGTCTCATAGTTAAAGTTTTATGAAGTACACACATTTCTATTCTAGCAAGATTGTAAGGGCAAATACACTGGGGATATTTAGTTAAAGCACAGTCAGCGTCAAATAGTTCACGACACCCAAAGTAGCCAAAAAGTTCGTAACACGTCTTTGTTACAATGAGGGCTATCGTTTTTATACTTAACTGTTGGCACCCCTGGCGATTGACAGGACCTTACTCTACAGTGGCGCCATCTTGATGAGTGCAAATGCGATAGTTCTCCTACCACTTTCGCGCTCACCAGTTGGTGCCACTGTCTTCGCTACTAGCAAGTGACAGGACCTTACTCTACAGTGGCGCTAACTGGTGAGCGCTAAAACGATAGCCCTCATTGGAATAAGGTTGTCAACTTTTTGGCCACTTTGGGTGTCACGAAATATTTGACGCTTACTGTATAATAACATCAAGCAAAATGGCGTCTTACTGAGTGGTGATAGATGCTATTTTATGAATTCATATGAATTTGCCCCATGATAATCGTTTCATCCACTCGGCCGCGCCCCATGTTTGGTCCCGGTCGCGCGGGGTGCGGGGAGTGTGGTCCGAGCAAGCCGTAAGGCATTACTGTAGTGTGCGTGTGCACTCATGGAGCATTCGCGTGTACCGATAACACGAGAACATTCGCGGAAGAATGGTGGGGCGCGTCCGAGTGGATGAAACGATCTATACCTACCTACATATTAAGTAACATTGTAATAATGTTTAATTTAGTTAATAAGGTTTTATGACTAAACTAAAATGGAGACAACATGGCGTTTTATTTATGTACCTCAAGAAAGAAGACTGTTATTAGTTTTAAGTGTTGCTGTGTACGGCGTGTGTGGTGTTGCCACACTAGAAAAAGTTGTAAGTATGGTAGGTTTTTTATTATAACAAATATTTTTTTATTGTAACGTGAATTTACTTTGACATGAGAGAGATCATGGGATTGTAAAGTAACAAAATTAAGATACAAAAAAGTCAATTTGTATACTTTTAGTTTGAAAAATTACGTTTAGTAAAGTTGGTTGGGCTAGTCAATGTAAAAATAATCAAATTATTTAAAATTAAAATACCAATGAATAGCTTTATAACTTATAGATTTATTAAACAGATGTTTAAAGACATTATAAACATTAATAATTATTTTATATTCGGTTAGATTGTTACAAGAATTGTTGTGATTTAGTTTTGACGAACAAAGCTAAATGTGTAAAAAAAACTTACAATACGTAAGATTCAGGCCTAATTCATAACACTCGATGTTAACAACACCTATATTATTGTTCTTACATAATAATCTGTGGAGAGTGTAGTTTCGTGAAAAATAGCTATATTATACTCAATTGAATGATATGTTTAAATTAATGAGTAAATTAATGTTTCAAGAACATTTTAGCAAACGAGCTAGCTATATTTGGGCCTAAAATACATAATATTTAATGTTCATTGTTTATACAAGAATGTAGAATTCTAGTCAATATAAATTTCGATTTATATCCTTTATTGGAATTTATAAAAAAAATGATTGATGTGATTTTAACAATCTGTGATATTACAAATAATTATATTTTTAATCGTTATTCAGAACTTTTTGCACTTGATAAAGCGTCTGTCTCAGTTGAGATGAATCTACGACCTTTCGCTTTAATAACATCGAATTTTGTAATTAGGTAGGTACTATTTTGGAGTTAGGTAGGTACAGTCAGCATCATCGTGACACCCAAAGTAGCCAAAATTGTTGTTAAGTCAGAATACTGTAGTTTTCTGTGCATTCGCAACTTTTTTGTGCTGTCGATAGCTAGCTGTTTTAGGCCCGGTTTCCACCAAAGCGGAGCGGAGAGATGTGTGAGCTGTGCGTAGTTGTCAGCTGTCAGTCTATGAAACACCCTACCGCACAATCGTATCGCAGAATCGAAGAAACGCGTCTGTATTGGAGACGTTAAAAATTACCGTAATCGGGGCTCTGCTCAGAGGGCCTAGTGTGTTTACATCAAACGGTGAGCGCGTAAAAAAATGACATTAAATGTATGACGGATTGTACAGCGCCCCTAGCGGAAACGTTCAAGAACTAAAATTTTCGTACATTTTTTAAAGCGCTCACTAGTGAGGACGTTTGATATAAACTTACACTCAGCCCACTGCTCTGCCGCCGCTGTTATCCCAACTAATATTATAAATGCGAAAGTAACTCTGTCTGTCTGTCTGTCTGTTACGCTTTCCCGCTTAAACCTCGCAACCGATTTTGATGAAATTTGGCATAGAGATAGTTTGAGTCCCGGGAAAGAACATAGGATAGTTTTTATCCCGGTTTTTGAAACAGGGACGCGCGCGATAAAGTTTTTCTGTGACAGACAAAATTCCACGCGGGCGAAGCCGCGGGCGGAAAGCTATATTCTATAAAAACCCAACACTTCTCTCTTCTCCGCTCGGTCCATTTCCAACGAAGCGGAGCGGAGTTCGAAGTGGATGTGGAAATAATGAAACTGATTGGTTATTCATAACTTGGTGGAATCCGGGCTTCAAACTGCCCGTGTATAGCTGCTAACCACAGATAACAGAAACTAAAGCGAGATGTGAAAAGGGGGCGGGGCCGGTGTCGCAGCAATATGCCCATAAACGGAACACATTCAAAAATTCAAAATTTCTTTATTTTCTTATAAGACACATTTACAGGGGTTGGGTGTCTCCTTTTAAGTTTAGAAAACCTGTATTAGGAGACACATTGCTGCAGACGCCATAATGTAAACACTTTACATTGCTTGCGTATTACCATATTATTATTCTGTGGTATTACTAAAGATTATTCGAACGTTGAGTACTGAATTACTGATACCGCAGTGGATAATGAGCTATTCACAAACGATGCTTGCATAAGTGAAGCAAGCAGCAAATCGAACCCACAGCGTTGAATAAAGCTCTGTGATTAGTTCGTGTGTCACCCTGTGCGCCCACGCGCACTGTGAGACCTCATAGTAATGCAGTAATGTTTGTGAGTTTCGAACTCGGCGCATTAGTTGGCATCTCTCTAATGTCTCTATGCTGCTAACCTTTTATCAAATTCTAAGCAAATAAAACCTACTTTTGTACTTTCGTATAATCGCAAACTTCATTCCGCTCAACCGAAGCAGAAAAGCAATTTTGTTCAATCGTAAAACAGTTTTATTGCGACCAACATGCGCTGGCTGTTACTTGTGCTGTGCGCAGGCTATGGCAACTGCAGACTTTGGCCCCAAGGCATTGTGCACTATGCTATTAACACCAAGGACTATGGTGAGTTGTTAGATTGCAGAAAAGGAGGTGTTTTTTGTGTTTGTTATCTTTGAAATCAGTTCGTGAAAGATTTGAAAATTTTGGATTTTTAATTGAAAGGATAGTTAGGATCCCGTTGGATTATCAAAATCGGTTTAATACTTTGTGAATTAAATTTAGAATATGTCATCTAAGTAAACGAGATTGCGGATTTTGCTTTTATGTAGCTTTAGTGGCGTTTATTTAATTTTTTTATGGTTTTCTAGCGGTAGCTCTTAGACAATGTTTTATCAAAATTTGTTCAGCATTTTCAATGTTATTTGCTACTAACTACTACTATTACTAGTTTTAAAATAGGTGAACCGATTTTGATGCGCTTTTTATTTAAAATAGTTGATTCTTGCGCTCGTATTCACAAACGATGCTTGCTTAAGTGAAGCAGCAAATCGAACGCACAGGGTTGAATAGAGCTCTGTGATTGGTTCGTATGTCACCCTGTGCTTCCACGCGCACTGAGACCTCGTAGTAATCTTTATAAATACGGGCGTAAGTTCTTTTTTCTGTGTTTGTTAGTTACGTAAGTGATTTCCTAGCAGTGGTTAAATATAATTATGAAAATTGGTTCATCCATTCCATCTATTTCTTTTTTCACAAGACCTCCATTCTCAAGACGAGATTATGGAGACGTTCGCTCGTCTGCAAAAGGAGCTTTGCGTGAAGTTCTTCAACACGCCGACTAACTTCACTGCGACTGCTGAGAACAAGATTCTGTACATCAGCAACCCTGATAAGAAGAAAGACTGCCCGCCGATTGGCTATGACTTTAGCAAGAGCGTTGTGGTGAGTACCGACTATAAAGCCCGGTCTGTGAGCACGCAGAATTTTGTCCAATGACCCCAAGCTACCCATCCTTATCGCTCGCGCGTATGTTATTGTCACACTCACCGCGGGCGCGCGTCGCACAGTCGCGACAGCAATATAATTACGCGCGAGCGATAAGGATGGGTAGCTTGGGGTCATTGGACAAATTCTACGTGCTCACAGACCACACTATAGACATAACTTGACCTAGGCCAGAAGCTAGGTATGACGCCCCTCCTAGGTCAGAAGCTAGGTATGACTTGCCCCCCCCCCCTCTAGTAAACTAGTAAAAGCGTTGTGGTGAGTACAGGAACCTGTTTGCCACTGTGATTGTAAAGAAATACAAGTAGGTACCTACGTCATCATCACAGCCACGGGACGTCCACTGCTGAACATAGGCCTCCCCCAATGATTTCCACATCTCCCGGTTACCTACTGCGCCTTCCTGCTACCTTTATTAGCTCGTCGGTCCACCTTGTGGGTGGACGTCCCACGCTGCGTTTTCCGGTACGTGGCCTCCACAGAGCCTTGCTGCTTAATATTTTGCGATTATGTTATTGGGGCAGCAAGATTCTGGAGCGGAGGCCACGATAGACGAGCTCATAAAGGTAGCAGGAAGGCGCAGTAGGTATCTAATTAGGAAATCATTGGGGAAGGCCTATGTTCAGCAGTGGACGACCTGTGGCTGAAATGATGTTGAAACGCCAAATAGTCTTATCTTTTGCTAAGAAGATCCTTTTTTAAAACTCAGGATAAGGTCATGTAAAAATAAAAAGATAGCCCTCATTGAGAAAAGTTATTATTTAATGTACTAACGCAATTTATCCTTCCAGGATATGCCAATAGGGTACAGATGCATCAACCAGAAGGACATCGCTAGAATCACAGTTGACATGCTGAAAGCCAGCGTCATACAGAACGGTAAAGAAATAATGTTTTTAACATACGTTTCCATAACTAAGGCTGAGTTACACCACCTAACTTTAACCGTAACTATAACGATCACTGATGCTTTTTGTATGAAGTTTGACATTTATGACGTTCGCGTTCGTTAAAGTAAGATGGTGCAAGTGCAACCCAGGCTAGGTTTGCAATTCGGTTGTGAATCCGGCTCGAAGGACCATATTTGTAATGTATTTTTGTCTTTTCAGTTTCAATTTACAACAGCTACGATTTGGTCAAGCGATTTCATCAAATGGTTGGTAACATTTTGATCATAAAATATTTTGTCGGCCGTTTGGTGTAGTGGTTCAGAACGGACTACTATGCCGAGAGCTCCCGGGTTCGATTCCCGGCCGGGCAGAAATTGAAATGATGAATTTTAATTTCTGTGACGGGTCTGGGTGTGACTATGTATACCTAATATTTATGTATTTAAAAAAAAAGTATATAAGTAGTATATCCGTTAAGCTAGCACCCATAACACTAGCATTAAGTTGCTTATTTTGGAGCTAGCTAGCGCTGTGTGAAATTGTCCAAAGATTTATTTATTTATATTTACTTAAAGTTTTTCGTCTGGCGAAGGCGATTTCCTGGCCTGGCGCAGCTCACTCATGCATACTAAAGTCATTAAACAGGATCCAGTTAGTTACACTGTTCCTACTAGCGGCTTCCTGCAAAAAACGGAAATACCCAGTACCTGCAAAAAACGGGATACGTCATCTAAAAACTCCAGTTCACTAATGCAGAATCCCGCAATATTGGATTGCCGTAGCAAGGAGTCTTTAAACTGGACCAGCTAAAAACAGGATCCAGTTTAAGTACTGTTCCCACTAACAGCTTTCTGGAAAAAACGGGATTTCATTTTTGCTGGATCCACCAATGCAGGATACCGCAAAACTGGATTGCGATGGAAAATGACTATTAAGCTGGTCCAGCTAAAAACAGGATCTAATTTCATTACACTGTTCCCACTAGCAACTTTTTGCAATAAACGGGATTCCATATTTGCTTGATCCACTAATGCAAAACTGGATCGCCGTGGGAATGGGTCCTTAAACTGAATCAGTAAAAAACAGGATCCAAGTGTTCCTACTTCAGGTTCCTGCAATTTTTTTTGCAAATAAAGGTATCAGTTCACACGAACATAGATCCAGTTTTGCGGGATTCATTTATGCAGGATCCAGCAAAACTGGATTGGGAAAGGGCCCTTATTTATTACTAGCTTTCCGCCCGCGGCTTCGCCCGCGTGGAATTTTGTCTGTCACAGAAAAACTTTATCGCGCGCGTCCCTGTTTCAAAAACCGGGATAAAAACTATCCTATGTTCTTTCCCGGGACTCAAGCTATCTCTATGCCAAATTTCATCAAAATCGGTTGCGAGGTTTAAGCGGGAAAGCGTAACAGACAGACAGACAGACAGACAGAGTTACTTTCGCATTTATAATATTAGTTGGGATTTATTTAAAATCTTTATTGCACACATAAAAAACAGTGGTACAACAGGCGAGCTTAATGCCATGTGGCATTCTCTTCCAGCTAACCAGAAAATAACCTTAGTTACTTATACAGGGTGCCAAAACAGTGAGGTCTAAAAGAAAAATTTAGATTCCTTACATCAAGGTGTACCTAAATCACCCCCATGTATATTATACGATTGTGCTTAGTTTAGGCGATAGAGTTAATTTTGTGATATTTTAAAATTTTATGACCTAGTAGGCTTTAAACATTTTTATCTTCTTTTTGGGTTCACTTTTTTTAGATTTCTTTTTTTCGACAGATTTGTTATTAATTGTAGATGTTTGAAAAAAATAATCAGCTTCCTATCTTTGATTCAAGATACAAAAGTTTTGCTAGAAACATTAAAATTATGCTTTTGTAGGTTTTTAGATACACCTTGATGTATGGAATCTAAATTTTTCTTTTAAACCTCACTGTTTTTGCCACCCTGTATAGCAATGCCTCTGTACAGGAGGATTCGGTCCCCCGCTCGGCTCTGCTCCCGCCCACCGATCGCAACTACCTGAATGCTCACTACCACTCCGAATGCGGCTCGCTGGGCCAGGCGAGCGCGCGACGCATCAACGATGTACCGGCGTCGGCGCAACTTACTGATGCCAATGTGGAGTATTATAAAGATAAGCTGTGGCCGCTTGGGGTGGTTATGTATGGGGTGGATAAGGATATACGTGAGTATTTTGGATTTTATTATCATTTAGCCATAATTGTATCATCAACAGCCCTTTACAGTCCACTACTGGACTATGAGCCTCCTCCACTTTAGTGGAGGGTTTTGCCATAATCTCCAGGCTTGACAGGCGGGTTTGAGACCGCAGTTTAAAAGATTAGAGAGCGCTGCTGCCCGTTCTCTGTTGTATGTGTTGTCCCTAAGCTAAGTCTACAGGGTTGGTGAAAAAATTTAATGTATTCTACTCTGCCGTCCGTCACCACGTACGTCTAAAATGACATTGAAAATTTAACTGAAATGATACTGAATGCTGGTTCAACATTGAGCCCTTTAGTTCCAATGTCTACGATTCTCCGGTGACAAAATTATATCTACTCGTATTATTTTTTAAAGTTTTTCCCTGAAACCATCAACAAAAGTAGGCTACTATGGTACTAGGCTAGTACCTACTTACTTGAAAGCAGTCTTACGTAGGTAAGTACCTACTCTTACTTATTCCTTTATTTCAGCTTCAAACGACTCAAATTTATTGCGAATCAAGCAAGCGATGTCCGTGATAGAATTGAACACGTGCGTGATGTTCCAAGAAATATCCTCTGAGGGTGTGCTGGAGCCGAGGAACTTCCTCTGGCTCAGTTATCAGGGGGAGGATATGCCGCAGCTTGGGTTTAAACAGGGGAATCAGGTAAGTAATACTTACATCTTTCACGCCCGTATTCACAAACATTACTATGAAATCTCACAGTGTGCGTGGACGCACAGGGTGACACACGAACAAATCACAGCTCTATTCAACACTGTGCGTTCGATTTGCTGCTTCACTTTAGTAAGCATCGTTTGTGAATACAGGCGTGTACTTAGTACCTTGATAATAATAAGAAGAGAAATTACGGAATAAGTATTCCCAGCTCTCATTCCCACCGCTGCAACTCCTGTGTAGCCAGGATCTACAGCTAGACCGCCAATAAAAACCCAACCAGTAGTACCTTGATAATAGGAATTGTAGTGGTTGAAGCAGCTGGAAGTAAGAAGGCAAGATAGTGCTTTTTTGCTCACTGAATACTTACCAACCGGCCTTTGTGGAAATCATTGGGGGAGGCCTATGTTCAGCAGTGGACGTCCTATGGCTGAAATGATGATGATGAATGCTTGCTTACCCAACTGGACTATCTACCATTGGTTAACGTTGTCGTTGTGACAAATGCACGGAAACTTCAGCTGGAATCACGGCGAAGGGAAAAACACTTGCCACGTTAGCGCTAGAAGCAGCGTACTATGTTCTTTGGCCTGCATCCAGTGATGTCATTGATTTATTAAAATTACACCTATGCAGTTTGAACGTGGTCTCGATTCTCGAACTTGCAAAAACAGTTCAGGCAGGGTCTCGCTCGGTTTTTGCCAGTGCCTATGGCTACCGCCAAAGCGGAGAGAAGAGGATGTGTTTAAATTGCCAATCAGACAGACTTCCGAACCTCTTCGATCAGCTTCGAGATATTGAGGAAATAACGAAATCTAATCGGGTTATTTAAATACACGTAATCTCCTTTCCGCTTTGATTGGTCGTCATGATGATGAGTATATGGTTTCCACAGAGCCTGAACATAGCGTCGCTAGCGCAAGGCGCGCCCGGGCACGCGGCGCACGCGCTGGTCACACTTCTGCGCGCGCTCGGCGTGCCCATGATGTCCAACAGACGGGACCGGGACAACCACGTGGCGGTGGATTGGAGAAACGTTGCACACGGTGAGATATTGTAGACTAGTCAAAGTCAAAGTCAAAATTTCAAAGTCAAAAAAGTAGTAAAAGTAATTTAATATTTGCATGTCAGATAATTGTGAGACCTAACCATTAACTGTATCCATCTCCTGTACCACATTTATAGCAAATAAATGATGATTCTGATTCTGATTCTAGTGACTAATGTCTCCGATTAGTGACTAGCGCCACAGAATAAGTAATAGTACAGGTACAGAAGGATGACTCCGCAAGACGATTTAAATAAATGCGAGTCTTGCTACGACGCGATACAGTGGAATTCAGCTCGCACAGCACTACGTACCTATAATTTTATTCACCTACAAGCGTTGTCTCTTTCTATCGCGTGCCTCTGAACTCTTCTTACGCTGTTAGGGTTGCTGTCTAGTGAAAAAATAATTAATCTACTTATTTGTAATGAGGTACGTAACGTATGTAGGTAAGTATGCATTCATTATGGAAAACCTTCATAGTAGGATTAGTAGGTTAGGTTCCTATACTATCCTATGAATTATTGATTACCTACATGGCCAACATACCTTTCAGCATCTTTGGGAAGCGAAAAAAAAGATAAATCCGGTAGATTACTTTTCGAATTTAAACACCCGAACGCCGCACAATATTTCTTTCTCTTTATGTCCATTTTTAAATAATACTTCGATCATAGAATTATAATCATACTACAACGCACGCCAGCGTCCTGACGAGCGCGCGCGTGACACTCGACTGATATACCCGCCGGCGGGGCGCTTCGCTGTAGGTAATTATCGGATGTACCGCGCGGAGTGAGCCAGGCCTGCTAGCGCCCCCGATTAGTGACCAGTGCCCCCGACTAGTGACTACTAACTAGTGTCCCCGACTAGTGACTACTAACTAGTGTCCCCGATTAGTGACTAGTGTCCCCTACTGATTAGTATCCCTGACTAGTGACCAGTGACCCCGTAACTAGTGTACCCGCCCGACTAGTGACTAGCGTCCCCGACCAGTGACCAGTGTCCCCGACTAGAGACTAGTGTCTAGTATCCCCGACTATTGACCTGTCCCCGAGTAGTCGCTTGCGACACTTCTGCGCGCGCTCGGCGTGCCCATGATGTCCAACAGACGGGACCGGGACAACCATGTGGCGGTGGATTGGAGAAACGTTGCACACGGTGAGAAAAAACTCATAAAACTCATTTATTTCTGTAAATAGGCTTTAAAAAAGCACTTTTACACGTCCCAGTATTAACCCTACCACTGCTTCAGGACAATAAATGGGCCAGTGCTGAGAAGAAGCAAAACATAGCATTACATTATTTCCTATATCTCGCAGCGAGAGTTAGGCGACTGGGTCTGGATGAGAAGGTGGCTTAACTGCCCCCCTCTTCCGCCCTACTAAGAAGCTGGCTATACTCCCCTCCCCCTGAACTAGTGGCGGATTTACAGTTTTGCCACCCATAGGCTAGGGTGGGGTTGAATCTTTATTTAACTTTTATCTTCTGAAATCGAGTAAGCGTCATCTGAAATCTGCTGCCGTCCCTAGGCTGCGGCCTATACGACCTATTGACAGATCCAGGACTGCCCTGAACCTGGTCATCACTGCCCCCACTCTTGGCTCAGAAGCTGCCAAGCTGGCCAAATTGTTGTCCCTCCTCCACTGTTTTCATGTAACTGTACTACCGCGATGCAGGATTGCAGGCGGGAATACGTGTGCCGTAGCAAGTTTGTATCAGCGCCATCTATTGAGTGATGCCTGCAACCAGTTTGCAACGACGAGTCGACGTCACAAAGTCAAAGACAAAATTTCTTTATTTGTTTAGACTAATAAATAGTACTTACAAATCGTCAAATATTTTGCTCTTAAGGAGCCTTCTACATGACTCATAATCTTTTTACCCTACCAGCGCTTCGAGACCAATAGTCGTCGATAGATGTCGCTACGCATAACATATTTCCATCCTTCCAGGCAAAGAGCACTACTTAGAGAAGAGTCCAGACGAAGCGTGGCTCCAGCAAATTCCCTACGACTTCGGGAGCGCGACGCACGCGCCTGCTAACTATATGTGCCGGGACTGCGACGATCCGCTCGCTTCTAGAACCGTTATACCGTTGCAGGTGAGATAGGGGATCGGGGATCAGGGATCAACCTCGGCTACTGGAGGATCGGGGGTAATTAGCACTAAGCGATCGGGGATCAGTCACTAGGGAATCGGGGATCAGTCACTAGGGGATCGGGGATCAGTCACTAGGGGATCAGAGTTCATTAGTCACTAAGGGATCGTGGACAATAGTCGCTAGGGGATCGGGGATCAGGGATGAAACTCAGCTACTGGAGGATCGGGGGTAATTAGTCTCTAGGGGATCGGGGATCAGTCACTAGGGGATCGGGGATCAGACACTAGGGGATCGGGGATCAGTCACTAGGGGATCGGCGATCGAAGACACTAGGGAATTGTGGACAATAGTCGCTAGGGGATCGGGATCAGTCACTAGGGGATCGTGGACAATAGTCGCTAGGGAATCGGGGTCATTAGTCACTAAGCGATCGGGGATCAGTCACTAGGGGATCGGGGATCAGTCATTAGAGGATCGGGGATCAGTCACTAGGGGATCGGGGATCAGTCGCTAGGGGATCGGGGATCATCACTAGGGGATCGGAGTTCATTAGTCACTAAGGGATCGTGGACAATAGTCGCTAGGGGATCGGGGATAATAGTCACTAGGGGATCGGGGATCAAGGATACTTGGGGATCGGGGGTCCAGGGTACTAGGGGATCGAGAATCCAGGACACTAGGGGATCGGATATCCAGGACACTAGGGTACAGGGATCAAAGACATTATGGGATCGGGGATCAAGGACAATAGTCACTAGGGGACCGTGATTCATTAGTCACTAAGGGATCGAGGTCAATAGTCACTAGGGGATCGGGGATCCAGGGCACTAGGGATCGGGGATCCAGAACACTAGGGATCGGGGATCCAGGACACTAGGGTACAGGGATCATAGGGTACAGGGATCAAAGACATTATGGGATCGGGGATCCAGGAAACTAGGGGATCGGGGATCAAGAACACCAAGGGATCGGGGACCAAGGACACTAGGGGATCGGGGATATAAAACACTAGGAGATCGGGGATCAAGGACACTAGGTATCGGGAACAATAGTCACAAGGTAATCGTGAATTTTTGGGGTTCACGGGTTAGTCATTGTCACTAGGGGATCGGGGACGCTTGCTAGGAGTCACTAGGGATCAGAGCCCAAACGAGGCGTGGCTCCAGCAAATACCCTACGACTTTGGGAGCGCTACGCACGCGCCTGCCAACTATATGTGCCGGGACTGCGATGATCCACTCGCGTCCAGGACCGTTATACCTTTACAGGTGAGATAGGGGATCGGGGATCAACCTCATTCACTTGGGGATCGGGGATCAAGGATACTTGGAGATTGTGGATCAAGGATACTTGGGGATCGGGAATCCAGGACTCTAGATAGTCGGGAATAAGTGATTTGTAGCTGTATTTTTTTTTTACTAAATAAGTAGTATTCTATGTACTGTAACTGTACCTATTAATAAATAAATAAATAAATACAGGGGATCGGGGATCAGGGTTGAACCTCGGCTACTGGAGGATCGGGGGTAATTAGCACTAAGCGATCGGGGATCAGTCACTAGGGAATCGGGGATCAGTCACTAGGGGATCGGCGATCGAAGACACTAGGGGATTGTGGACAATAGTCGCTAGGGAATCGGGGACAATAGTCACTAGGAGATCGGGGATCCTAGACACTAAGGGATCGGGGATCCAGGACATTTGGGGATCGGGGACAATAGTCACTAGGAGATCGGGGATCCTAGACACTAAGGGATCGGGGATCCAGGACATTTGGGGATCGGGGACAATAGTCACTAGGGGATCGGGGATCAAGGACACTAAAGGATCGGGGACCAAGGACACTAGGGTTCGGGGATATAAAACACTAGGAGATCGGGGATCCAGGACACTAGGTATCGAGAACAATAGTCACTAGCTGATCGTGAATTTTTGGGGTTCACGGGTTAGTCATTAGTCACTAGGATATCGGGGATCCAGGGCACTAGGGATCGGGGATCAAGGGCACTAGGGGATCGGAGATCCAAGACACTAGGGCATAGTGATTCATTAGTCACTAAGGGATCGGGAACCAAGGACACCAAAGGAACGGGGACAGCTAGCCACTAAACCGTTGCTTTGTGTCACTGCAGGCGATCGGGCATCAGTCACTAGGGTACTAAGGGTCACTCACTTAAGGATAGGGGATCGGGATTCAGTCACTAGTAGATTGGGGATCAAGGACACTAGGAAATCGAGGATCACGCGGGGATCGGGGACAATAGTCACTAGGATATCGGGGATCCAGGGCACTAGGGGATCGAGGATCCAGGATACTAGGGGGTCGGGGATCAAGGGGATAGGGGATCCAGGACGCTTGGGGATCAAGGATACTTGGGTATCGGGGACAATAGTTACTATGATATTGGGGATCCAGGGCACTAGGGATCGGGGATCCAGGGCACTAGGGATCGGGGATCGGGGATCAAGAATACTAGGGGATCGGTCTCAATAGTCACTAGGATATCGGGGATCCAGGGCACTAGGGATCGGGGATCGAGGACACTTGGGGATCGGGGATCAAGAATACTAGGGGATCGGGGACAATAGTCACTAGGATATCGGGGATCCAGGACACTAGGGGGTCGGGGATCGAGGACACTTGGGGATCGGGGATCAAGAACACTAAGGGATCGGAGACCAAGGACACTAGGTTTCGGGAACAATAGTCATTAGGTGATAGTGAATTTTTGGGGTTCACGGGTTAGTAATTAGTCACTAGGGGATCGGGGATCGCTAGCTAGCAGTCACTAGGGATCAGAGCCCAAACGAGGCGTGGCTCCAGCAGATTCTCTGCGAATTACATGTGCCGGGACTGCGATGACCCGCTGGCCTCTAGAACCGTTATACCGCTACAGGTGATATTTTTTTCTGTATAATTTCTTATAATATGATCCTTCGAGCCGGATAAAAGTCGAAATTTTAGTTCATAGTTCTATAGTTGTACTTATATAATTTGTAAATCGAGTCCCTAAAACAGTGTTTTATTATGGATGGCTCCACAAAAATATTTTAATTTTTGATATGGACCTTCGAGCCGGATGAAGTTGTTATTTTGTCCCCTTTCTTCTATTTAATATAACAAGCCAGCTAATAATAATTCTATAGTTGTACCCATATGGTCCTTCGAGCCGGATACATTTCTTCTTCTGTCCACAGGACCACCTATGGCAGCGCACTCTGTCCATGGGCCGCCGCTTCGCTCTCAGCGACTCGGATATCCTGCTGCTGGGAATATTGTACGCACAGCAATGCAGGGAACGGTTCATGCAAGGCAGCAAATAAAGGATTTAGAGAAAAACTGGACTTTTATCTACTATATAAAAATAAGTCGGGTTTTCCTCCCTGACGCTTTAACTCCAGAACGCACGAACCGATTTCCACGGTTTTGCATTTATAGCAAAGAAAATTCGGGAAAAGGGGGTAAAACGGGATCCACACGTACGAAGTCGCGGGCGGCCGCTAGTTACTTATAGACTTAAGACAACCGCCTGGCCTAAAGGCGAGTATACACTAGGGCAGGGGTCTCCAAACAGAAGCCTTGGGGCCATAATATTTTTTTCGGTAAGTTGCAAGGGCCATAACATTTTTAATTTTTCTGCCAACAAACATTTTTATAAGCTCCAATGAGAGCTTTTGCGTATGAAAAATCCACCAGATGGCAATACGTAGACGCGAGGTCCAAATGCTGCATGATTGGTTATTTTTGACATGATATTGACAGATATGTCAAAATCCACCAATCACGCAGCAGTCAGACCCCACATCCACGTCCCGCCATCTAGCGGATCTTTCATACGCGAAAACCCTCATTGGCGTTAACGGGGAATAGTGAACAAAAAGTTCACTAATCCCCGTCGGGATTGTCAATGGGGAATAGTGGAATAAGCCGGTTTGGAGACCCCTGGACTAGGGCATTTCTATGTAATCTAACGTTCTTACGAATGGTAGTCAGCGTCAAATAGTTTACACCCAAAATAGCCAATAAGTTCGCCATACGTTTTTGTTACTTAGAATAAGGTTATCAAACTTTGGCCATTTTGGGTAAGTACCAGATGTACTGTACACAATCTGAGGGCTTATTGTGAGTTTACATTAAACATCGTCAATATCGCGTCAAAAAAATCTATGAAGATTTCAGTTCTTGAAAGTTTCCGCTAGGGGCGCTGTACAATCCGTCATACATTTAATTTTAATGTCACATTTTTACGCAGTCGACATCGATTATGCGTCGTCAAGGGCAATTAAAGTAATAAAAAAACAAATGAAGATATTATATTTGTATTTAATACTTCATGATAGTCAACGATTAACATAAAACTACATACTACGCTAACCTATTTACATTTATGTACACTTACAAATATCCAGTAAACAATACATTCAACAAAATGTAAGAAAAAACATCAGTCAGTACATTGAGATCTATTTACAATCAGATAAACAAAACATAACTAAGTAAAAGTCAACGACTTGGCGCGAGGATACAACTTGATGGGTGACCGAACCGTCAACTTTTTCATATTAATAGAAATAATGAACGAAAACCGACAAAATGTTGGCAATGACCGGGTTGTATGTACAAATTGTCTCACGCCCGTATTCACAAACAATACTATGAGGTCTCACAGTGCGCGTGGACGCACAGGGTGACACACGAACCAATCACAGAGCTCTATTCAACGCTGTGCGTTCGATTTGCTGCTTCACTTAAGCAAGCATCGTTTGTGAATACGGGCGTCATACAAATACGATACTCGACGAGCATGTGAGTATAGTATGGAACCAAGAAAAAAGAATTTCTTGTTTTCACAAAAATTAAAATCACTTGCATATATGTGTTGTTCTGTGAACCCGGTCTACAGGATTTCGTAAAATATCTTGGGGCAAGACCGTTAAGATTTCGAGTGACGAAGTAACTTATAAGCAACCGTACTAATTAAAATACACAACTATAGTCTGGTCTGTGAGCACGTAGAATTTTGTCTAATGACCCCAAGCTACCCATCCTTATCGCTCGCGCGTAATTATATTGCCGTCGCGCTCGCACAGTCACTGCGGCCGCCCGTCGCACAGTCGTGACAGCAATGTAATTACGCGTGAGCGATAAGGATGGCTAGCTTGGGGTCATTGGACAAAATTCTACGTGCTCGGCGACCGGACTTTACACGTTCCTACATAACTACGTTTTGCCCTCATCTACAGAGCGCATATGCTCTTCCAAATGCACAATCACATTACTTGTGCTTTCCCCTACATAGTCACACTTATCACACATATAACTTTTGTCCACATCCTTACTATCTTTCTGCGATTTGAGGCAGAAGTTGCATTCTTCTGTGTCAAATATTGCTGAACATTTCAGGCATAATTTTACGTTGTCTTCTTGAGCAACTGTGATAGATTTCTTCGGCGATTTGCATTCGGTTTCATCGACAATTTTGTCTTTAGGATCCACCCTTTTGCGTTTTCGATTCGCATATTTGCATTTTTTGAAAAAGGAGTTCAATTGCCCTTTCGCATCCACAGGTAATTCCGGTATTTCGTTTTCTAAACTTTCATCAATAAATTCTTGCTTGGTCTCAACCTGTATCAAGTTTTCAACATAGCTAGAATATTCTGGTATATCTTTAAATTTGTTCGTCGGTTTAATCACTGATTCTTCGTTGGACATGATTTTGTATACAGTAATATACGCGTCTTTAGATTTTGGATCGTTTGTGTCTGATAGAATTGTGAGTTCGTTCAATTCGAATTTTTCATCCTTCACATTGATTTTCGGATCATTTGTTCCTTGATTGCTATCTTTGATGTTATCAATTTTGTTGTTATCCATAACTTCATCTAAATCATCATCCATGATGTATTTTATGTTCGTATCGGATATGGTATCCATTCCATCAGTATTTGAAACGCTAGAACTTTCAGTGACATCATCCGAAATGCTTTTATATGAATTGGGGGACGCGAACGCTGTGTTGTTGATTTTAGGACGTTTTGTGAGTGGCGGCATGTTTTTTGGCACTAGAGATTCTGCGTCGATTTCTCTGGCTGTTTCGGAATGTAATTTTGTTTGATTATCAATATTTGTTGATGGATTTTCATCAGCTTTAATATCTTTGTTAGCATCACTTTCATTTTTAACTCCAGTGGCTTTCTTATCAGTATTTTTATCATCTTGATGTTCTTTGTCATCATCATCCAAATCGATGACTTTGCTCGTATTGTCATCAATAATAATCATACAGTCTGGTGACGCTGCGCTCTCTTGAACAGGAATGTCCATGTTTTCTAAATCTAGCAGCATCTCTTGGTTTCTACAATTCAGATCTCCAAACGAATCTTCTGTACTTTCAGACAGTTTCTTCTTCTTTGCACGTTCTACTTCTTTCTTGACATTGATCACTGGTTCGGTAGTTTTATTGACATTTTCAACTGTTTCAGGAACGTCTTTCTTAGTTTCAACCAAACTAGGGACGTCATTTGATTTCACAGCTTCAGGTAATACAGCTTCATTCTCACTAGTTTCGGCTTGAGATTGTGTTTTCTCTTCATTAGTTATCAATTCTTGTTTAATACTCTTGGATATGACATCAGTATCTTTGCTCGCTTTATTCTTGATATTGCCAAGTACGTTTTCAAGCTTTTTGCTTTTCTTGATGAATTTATCGTCGTTTTTCACTTCGACTGGTTTTTCTGTAGCTATTTTAGCAGGAGTATCAGTTATGGATTCTGGAGTTGTAGCAGGTTTGGCAGGTATATCAGACACTTGGGTTTTGATTTTCTTACCCAATTTGGAGGAGTTTCGTAGAGTATTTAAGCACCTTTCACGGATCGGACTCTTCTTTTTTCCGGTGGCGTTTTCTTCTGGCTTTCTTGAGCAAATCGCTTCTGAAATGGAATAAGTGATATAAATTAAAAATAGGTATAGGTAAATAATTTATTTATCGTTATTTAGTCTCCATTGCAGGAGCAGGACTTATTCTTCACTTTCCATCAGGTGAGATGCAGACCAAGTGAATCTTCGTTTGTTCGTTTCAGCCAAATAACGACCACAGCTGCACAAAGGCCTCCCCTTTTCATCGTCCTCCTAGATGCAGGCAGGACCGTAAAGGAACTGCTTGGGGGGAGAGCTTCCTCATTGTGGATAAGTAAAAACCACCTTATGGGTGGAGGTCCCACGCTGTGTTTTCCGGTATGCGGCCTCCACTCCAGAACCTTGCTGCCTCATCGGCCGTCAGTTCTGCGTACTATGTGCCCTGCCCATTGCCACTTCAGCTTGCTAATCCTTTAGTTCATTTACGGATGTCCTCATTTCTGATTCGATCTCGTAAAGAAACACCGAGCATAGCCCTCTCCATAACACGCTATGCAACTTTGAGCTTCTTTATGTGGCTTATAGTGAGAGGTCACGTTTCCGAGCCATATGCCGATGGGGCAGCAAGGTTCTGGAGTGGAGACCACGTATCGTAAAACGTAGCGTGGGACGTGATCCACAAGGTGGACCGACGACATCATAAAGGTAGCAGGAAGGCGCTGGACGCAGGCCGCTACCAATCGGGCAACATGGAAAGCATTGGGGGAGGCCTATGTTCAGCAGTGGACGTCCTGTGGCTGAGATGATGATGACGACGGTCGAACACGAAACCTCAGAAACTACAAGTGCTAGGACACTCAAATTTTGCATGGGGGTTCCTTTTAGAATGTAGGTGCTCACTAAGACGGGATTTTGCAAAATTCAACCCCTAAGGGGGTAAAACGGGGGTTGGAAATTTTCATGAAAGTCGTAAGTTTTTATGAAGTTGCGGGTGAACGCTAGTTCAAATAATATCTACCTTCAATATACATCTCATCAGGCGGCTCCTCCCACCACACCGGGCTGGGACAGGTCAGTATCTCCATCAGATCATCATCGTCAAGGCTGTCGTTTTCTTCCACTATCCGGATGACTTCTTCCATACTCAGCTCAGAGTAGACTGGGCATTCCTCTTGGGAGAATGTGTGCTTCGGTGAACGGGGCAGCGGGGATTTTACTCCTGTAATATTTTATTTGTTTGTATAGATAGATTATAAAAATTGTTACTTGCAAATCGTCAAATGTTTAAAAATACATGTAATAGTAAGTTTGGTTTATTATACTATTTTGTAAACAAAAAATAAGGTTTGGTCGATGGCCGCGCGAAAATGAAAAGACGCCACCTTCCATACGAAATCTGGCATTGCCATTTTATACTGCCAATAGGTAGGAAGTATACCTTGGCCTTAGTCATATTTTGCCGGTCGAGAGACAAAACGGACTATCTAACAAGTTTTTTAAAATATTAAATTGTATGAAAGCTACTATACATTTTTTTTCCAACAATCTCACCAATACAGGCATGATTGACCCCAGCGGGAATCGAACCCGCAACTGCATTTCGGAAATACGCAAACCACCACGCAATGCTGTAAATGTGATATCCTACTAATATTATAAATGCGAAAGTTTGTGTGGATGTTTGTTACTCTTTCACGCAAAAACTACTGAACGGATTTCGATGAAACTTTACAGTATTGTTTATAACCCAGATTAACATATAGGCTATAATTTATGACGATCTGTGACAAACTAAATTTCACGCGAGTGAAGCCGCGGGCAAAAGCTAGTGCACAATAAAACTAAGACAGTTATAGCCTTCGCTTCGTCACAAAATACTATGTTTATGAAAATTGTTAAAAAGAAATAATTAAGAACGTACCTCGTTTAGGAGTATTGAACTTTCTCTTATTCGTCCTAGCAACCATTGTAGACTTCTGCTTCGGTTTCATAAAAACTTTCCTCGAACCCGGAGCCCGTTTCAACTTCTCCGGATAGTACTCCGGGCTGTCATCCTCAATCAGTATCGGACTGCTCGGCTTGCTAACACTGCTTTCACCCTTGGCCTTTTTCGACTTCGATTTCTGCACCGTCTCGGATGTTTTGACCGATTGCACTTTTGAGATGTTCTGCGTCACTTTTGTCACAGTCTGGGGCAATTTTGTGGCAGTCTGTGTTACTTTGGTGACATTTTGCGTTACTTTTGTGATCGTTTGTGGTAATTTAAGATTCTGCGGAGGTTGAGGCGGTTTTTTGGCAGGCTGTATCGACAAGCCGAACTGTTCTTGCTGTTTCTTCTTCTGTTGGGCTGACTTGAAACGGGTGATGATCATTTCTTTGGGTGCTATTCTAGGGTCTCTTGGCTCTGACCTGGACATCCTGAAACTGATGATCTTGCTTTTAGTATTAAGTTTTTTTTATACAGGGTGTCTTTGTAACTATGGATCAAACAAAAAGGATTGATTGAAAGTCAAAAAATATTTATTCATATGAACTATTTAATAAGTCATAGTAACAGATTTCATTCTTTTTCAGCCAGATTTCAGCCTTTTCTAGGGCACTTATATTTACATATACGTCCCAAATATAGCTTGCCCTACCACCACTTCGGGACAACATTTTATGGGCTGAGAAGTGGAGGAAGAAACTCAGTAACCTTTGTTTGATGATTTTAGTATAGTTTTTTTTTGTATACAGGATGCCCAGTAAGTTTGGATGAAACAAAAAGGATTCTACTATGCAAAAGCAACAATTTTCCTACAGGAACAAAATTAAAATTCTTAAAAATAAATATTCATATCCCCATTATAACTGATCAATGAAGACAATTTGTATGAAAAGGGAATTTTATTTGGAAAATCGAAACTTCCTTTTATTAGGTCAAATTGTGGCTTTTGAGCTGTAGAATCAATTCTTTTATTTGATCCATGCAAGGGACACCCTGTATAAATAAATAAATATTTTTAGACATGCTACACTGACCTAAAATGTTATGTACTACTACTTTATACAGTAAAATTAAGCAAATCAGGAAATCATTGGGGGAGGCCTATGTTCAGCAGTGGATGTCCTATGGCTGAAATGATGGTGTCTATTTAGCTAATTTTAACTATGAAAATGCCTGTAAATGGGTATAAAGGAATATTCATTCCACACACAATATTGTTTAAATTAAATGCATTAGTCTTCAGAATATAAAAAACCTATTTATCAATTCATTTAAACATCTTAAAGGATTATTGATAGAGGGCACACAGAATTAAAGATAAATTACCATAATAAATTGCTATATATTTCAATATTGAATAGATCTTTCAATTTAAAAGAAATTAATTATACCTACTTACAAAACTTGCAGAAATAAGGATGTTTAGAAAATCAATAACTCAAAATCACTTCAAGATCTTTCTATGAATGTAGTGAGAACTTCACAACTTGAGAACTACCAGTGAACTGACTAGCAAGCTTTAAGCTCTCTGTAGCAAGCTGTAAAATACCACAGATATGTGAAAATACCATTCATGCAGCCATCTTGTAATTTATGAGAGAAGAGTCAATTAGCAAAGATGTGGAATAACCTATCTGAACTTAGGTAATTTAAATGCCTTTCTTTAATTATTTTTTTAAATTGATGCCTACTTGTGCCTACTATAATAATTTTATAAACATTTTGTAGTAGGTATTTTACATTTACAGATAAAAAGCTAAAGAAGTTAGACCTATAGTTTTGCTTGTGCTAACCCAAAAATATCATAAAATGTTATTAATTATTGCACTTACTTTACTTTTTACTTTCATTGAACATTAGTCATTTCTTATCTTTTTCTTAGTCAATAAATATCAAACAAATACCTACCTTAGTCACAGTGTGGTATGGTAGGTAGGTAGTGTGAAAAAAATTACGAAAAATGCAAATTTAAATAATAAAAACAGGGCAGTATTTATTTAAGTAGTATATTTAGTTAATAGTTAACGAAATATTAATAGGCGACGTTAGTAACCTTTGATACCAACATGATCGTAATTTACAATAAATGTGCGTAACGTAGGTACAGGTACGTGCTGAAACTGTTTCCGCAAGGCAATTATTGATTATCTTAGATTAATAAAGCTTGATTATCAGTACAACTATTACTGCTAATATAGGTTTCTATACCATGTCAGTAAAGAAAGTGCGACTCAGCTCTTTTACTAACGATAAAGTCAAGAAGTAAAGGAGACAAGGCCAAGAAATGGTACAAAATCGGTGTTGAAGCGTATGTGGGATTCCAATGATAACTTACCCGTTCCGGATCCGCCCACGATCAAATACTATTAAAGACGAATAAATTGGCTTAATTAACTGATAAAGAGCGCCAGTTTAAACGATTTCAATTACTTTTATTAGGAAAAATAGAATGGTTGTTTCTCCGAAGATAGATGCAACCAATGTAAAGCTTCCATTGTCTTCTTACATGAGATAAATAATCATCACGTTGTAGGTGAGTTAGAACTTTGTCACTTTAGCGTTTTTCTCAGTTAATGCAAGTTATTAAATAGGAAAATGAGACTAATTGAAGAAGTTAATTGATTATTTTACTAATTAACTACAATTATACTAATAAGCATTCATTTAGAAGACGAAATAAGGATAAATTTATTTCAATTACATGTCTCTGCACTTTACTTAACAAAATTAGAGGGTGGCATTCTCGGTCACCAATAACGCCATAACGTTATCCATTAACTGTAAGCGAAACTCGTCGACCTTGAGGAGGCACGCAATGTGCTGTCTGTTGAGTAAATATTTCAATAGTAAAATACTGACATCCATCACTTTTGATCTATTCTTATGCATATTTGGTGGCCATGAGCCCATGACCTTTTAGCGACTTTAAAGACCTTAGAAAGGCTATGCATCAAGATAAACCGATAACAGTCGTGATACCTAGTTTCTTCTTCCTATTCCCTTATTTGTTTAGCGTGGCCGTGATAAAACAACATCATAGCTGTGCCAAACAGCTTTACCAGCCTGACAGCTACTACAGCTATACAAGATGGCGATGCCCTTGATCTTTCCTACTCATATAAGTTAATTAAGCTGCTTTCATTACAAAGTTGCTAGTTGCCCTCTAGAGTTATTGAGTTCTGCTGCCTTTAGCCTGCTGTGGAATGCTGTCTGCTAAAGCGAATAACGAAAATTGTACATTCACTGTTATCAGTTAATAAAATAACGGCTTAGATTGCCCGTTATTAAAAAAAAAACTGTCAGATTTACGATTTTTCTGTTTGTTGTTTTCTTCCACTTCATTTTGTTTGTAAAATTTAAAGTAAATTCTAACATTAACATTTATATCATAGCATTGTAAATTGTAATTTTAATATGTTTAACGCAGAAGTCACGCGGGAACCCGTCTCACGGGACGGTGGTGGAGCTGACAAACCGCCAACGTACGATTGTGATTTATGCGACTCTGGGGACTGGTTGAGCGAAACCGAAGTAGAAGTACACAAGAAGACTATGCATTTAGCAGATCTACACCAAATTGTGGCGAAACAGTCCAACGTGTGCTTGGTGAGTCAATATAACCTCTAAATTTTGTTGATAAACAAAGTTTTGATTTATCAAACCTTTATTTACCTAGTTTAAAACTTCAGAGTTTGGAAAGAAGTTGATCCTTGGCTTCGATCCATATTTTGATCCCTATATTTGATTATAAATTACTTAAAAATCGAATTGCCAAGTGGAATCTCATTGCCTGTATGTATGTCGCAGTCAGATTGTATAATCCGCCGTTTTACATTACAGCTAGGCATTTTGCATTACAGCTCTGTTTGTAATACGGCGGATTAACGTTTAGCCGGATTGAATACGGCTGAATGAAAATCCGCCGGAATGTATTCGGCGCCAAACGTTCTTCAATACGGCTAGCCGTAATGTAAAACAGCGTGTCATTACCCGCCGCTTTGACAGTTTTTAGTTCCTATTTTCAATACCGTGGCGCTGCCGGACAAAGTGGCTATGGATTCTGGTGTTCGGCGGAATCCTACACAATATTATTAGTGTAAAAATATGAAATCATGGCAGTGGCCGGTGAAGATAATTTTATCTTAAAGAAAAATAACCCAGAAAAAATGACTAAAACTTTATTGTTTTGAGTTACCTGTTCCCTTTGATCATTTTTAATGTCTAAAAAAGACTAAAGCCAAATATCTAATTAATTCTTAAAATGTTTAGAAAAGTCTAATTGTTTTGAGTTACTTTTTTTTAGATGGCTATCCCTTGTGATTTATAAATAAGTAAAAAAAAATANTATTTAATAATGTTGTTATAAAATTGTAATGTTGTAATTGAAATAAGTTGTAATTATACAGATCTCTAATATTATTATTTAAATTATAATACTTATTAGATTTAATCTCATGTTGCAATACCCTAGCAGGGTCCATGTTTTGGGTCTATGTCTATATGTAAGAACTTTTATATACCAACATTGGAGCAATAAAGAATTTGAATTTGAATTTGAATTTAGTAAACCAACATAATTTTAAAAACTATACATGATATTAAAAAACTGGTTACTGATCCTGAAAGTGCTTCACAAGCTCTATCCAACGGTACCAATAATATGTTACAAAATAAACTGGATCCATTCGAAAATTCAATGTTTCCAGCTTCCATACATTTAGTACAGCCACAGTCATGGCACTCATGTCTTGTTAATATTATAGCAAATAAAGCCTAAAACCAATGTTTTCCAAGAATAATTTTAAATAAGAATTAAATTTACGAGTTCATTTTAAGTGTTTATCATTTAATAAAAAAAATGCTTCTATTATTGTTTGGCTGGCATACATTTAGTATGGAGGCTGAAAACATTAACTTTTCGGATAGATCCAGTTAATTCTGTAACCTAATATTGGTACCGTTGGATAGAGCTCGTGAAGCACTTTCAGGATCAGTAATCAGTTTTTCGATGTCTTGTATAGTTTAGAAACAATCGAATAAGATTGCATATCGTTTCCACCCTGTATATCTTATTGTACTTTTTTTTCCTCCTTATTTTGTTTATAACCAGGCTTGGAACATTACGGCTGTACTTTACTTTATTGTTGTTTTTTTCAGACCTGTGTAAAATGTTTTCCGGACGATACTACCCTTGTTGAACACATCAAAACAATTCACTTACTAAGCTCAAAAACTGCCCGACGAGTCGAGAGAGAAATCTTCGTCTGCGATCACTGCGACGAGTTATTCTTCAACAAAAGACTCTTAGCGTTCCATATACACTACCGTCACATCAAGAAACCGGCTGGATTCCTCCTAAATTGCCCGTTATGTCATAAAAAGAAAAGTTGCAGAAAATTCATGAGCCATCTCATACAACATGAGGCGCAAGGCATATCGGTGTGTCCGATATGTGTCCGTAAACAACAGAACACTAAAGCGCTCGCACTGCACACGGAGACACATCAGAAGCACTACCATTGCAACGTTTGCGGTTACATATCCATAAAAGAAAAAGACTTTAATCTACATTTAGATAGGTACCAGCGAAGGAAAGCAATCAAAACTCCAAACGTGAGAAATTACAGAGATTATTTCTTGTTGCCGCGTTTTAGGCAATCGTGGTTTTATAGGAATTTCAGAATTGGTGTGCAAGGCTTAATATTTTGGAATAAAATCTATATTTGCGTTCTGTGTCGAGAGATTTGTACGAGCCTTAAGGGAATGGCAGATCATGTGGCTCAGATACACTTGTACGACACCAGTGAAACGGTGATAAAAAAAGTTTGCACGTGCGGAGAATCGTTTACGAACAAAGTCTTGCTTAAACACCACATCTTGAAAATGAAGGGAGACCATAAATTGCAATGTAAGTATGTATTTAAATAAATCCATTAGATTTTTTTATGATACCAAAAATTATGGCAATGAAAACCACTGAAAACCAGCCTTCCCATATTCTGGAGTCCCATTGCGATGAGCAGCGCTGTTGCGACAGGGTAGCACTACTCAGTTCACTTTTTATTTACTTGTAATATTTATGTGCTATTTCTGTCTTTTTTTCTGTATACTTTCTCTGTCCTTAACTAAGTGATGTTCATCGTAATAAATGTTTCTTTCTTTCTTTCAATTTTTACATAGTTCTGCCTAACCTAACACCCTGTATATTACTTAATACCTCTGTACATCACCCAAACAGAATACCATCATAGGGGGAAGCCCAATGATTTCCACAATGGCCGGTTGGTGGCCTGCATCCAGCGCCTTCCTGCCACATTATGAGATCGTCGGTCCACCTTGAGAGTGTACGTCCTATGCTTAGGGTTGCCAGGCGTCCGGCTTTAGCCGGACATGTTTGGCTTTTTAGGGACTTGTCCGGCCAAAAATTGCCTTGTCCGGCCTGTCCGGCTTTTGTTAGGCTTTTTATTTGGTTGCCGCGCCAGGCGAAAGTCGAGCCACAGAATCATGTGAAGCGCACGCATCAGGAATCAGGATGTTGGTTAGCAACCGATGATGATAGTAGTCACTCATGAGCTGACACTAATTGCACCNTCACATGTCCGGCTTTTAGGGTAAAATGTCCGGCCAAATGAAGCACAAAGTCCGGCTTTTGTGATTTTGGACCTGGCAACCCTACCTATGCTGCGCTTTCTGGTATGTGGTCTCCATTCCAGACAATTGCTGCCCCAGAATAAATGCATTTCAAATAGTAAAACACGAGTCTTAACGCGACGTTTATTGATGAGTTACATTATGTACTCACGGCTTGACGTTTCGGCTGCGATGCTGCAGCCGTGGTCACACTCAGCGGCACGGAATTTGGCCCAAGCCTAAACAACCAGATATGAGGCCAAATAGGTGTTGTATACCTAAGTTTCGTGTGACATGTTAACAGAACATTTGTTTTTGTTAATTTCAGAGGCTAGATTAAAAAAAAAATGCGTCTGTTTAACTTTTTTGACTCTAAAAACGCATTTCTTTGTTGGAGCGTAAAGAGTACGGGTAAGTTTAAATTCGATATTAAATGTTGTAAGGGTTTGGCGTTTTGTTTTTGTTTTTAAATTAATCTTAGGGTTATTCTCGTTTCCATAGTTTGACAATAATGCGCATTACTCCAGCTCAAGTTGCTCAAATAGTGTTGCTTAGAAGACAAGGGCGTATGCAGCGGAAGATGGCTGAAACTTTCAATTTATGGCGTACAAACTTAAGATATACGTTAAAAAGGCATGACCAGACCGCCTTTTACACAAGAAGACCAAGAAGTGGAGAATAAAGGTGTAAATCAGCGCGCGATGACCCGATTATCGTGCTTGCAATATCAATAAATCGGGTTCTCACTACGTGTCAGATACGCCAGCGTTTATAAACAGCAAGCCCAGTGAATGTCAGTGAGCACACAATAAGAAGAAGGATGGAGGATCATAACCTGCATACTCGAAGACCAGTTCGAGGACCAGAACTTCTCCGATACCTTCGCGAAGTGCGACTTACGTTTTTTAGAGTACATGCAAATTGGTCGTTTGACTAATGGAGTAAACTCTTTATGAAAACTGTCTGTTTGCGTAGCAACTCTTCTTCGTACCTTCTCTATACACTTCCACAACCGTCTGGAGCTCTTAAGGTGATTCTGCAATCATCGATCCATAGAACTTTACTCCATTAGCCTTGCGTCCAATTTGTATGTTCTCTAGAAAACGAAAGTCGCGCTCTGGGAAGGTATCGGAGAAGTTCTGGTCCTCGAGCTGGTCTTCGAGTATGCAGATTATGATCCTACATCCTTCTTCTTATTGTGTGTTCACTGACATTCACTGGGCTTGCTGTTTATAAACGCTGGCGTATCTGAAACGTAGTGAGAACCCGATTTATTGATATTGCAAGCACGATAATCGAGTCATCGCGCCCGTATTTGCACCTTAATTCCCCACTTCTTGGTCTTCTAGTGTAAAAGGCGGTCTGTTCATGCCTTTTTAACGTGTATCTTAAGTTTGTACGCCATAAATTGAAAGTTTCAGCCATCTTCCGCTGCATACGCCCTTGTCTTCTAAGCAACACTATTTGAGCAACTTGAGCTGGAGTAATGGGCATTATTGTCAAACTATAGAAACGAGAATAACCCTAGGATTAATTTAAAAACAAAAAACAAAACGCCAAACCCTTACAACATTTAATATCGAATTTAAACTTACCCGTACTCTTTACGCTCCAACAAAGAAATGCGTTTCTAGAGTCAAAAAAGTTAAACAGACGCATTTTTTTAATAATCTAGCCTCTTAAATGAAAAAAAACAAATGTTCTGTTAACATGTCACACGAAACTTAGGTATACAACACCTATTTGGCCTCATATCTGGTTGTTTAGGCTTGGGCCAAATTCCGTGCCGCTGAGTGTATTTTAGTTGAACTGGAGCCCGAAAGTTTAAAATCTTATACATCATCATGATCATCATAATTTCAGCCATAGGACGTCCACTGCTGAACATAGGTCTCCCCCAATGCTTTCCACGTTGATCGATTGGTAGCGGGCTGCGTCCAGCGCTTCCCTACTACCTTTACGTTACGATGTCGTCATAAAATCTTATACATGGCTCCTTAATTTTCCACAAGTCTCTTTCTTTCTGACATATTAAAATGTTTTTTCAGATATGGAATTTGCTGATAGAGAACAAAACGCACTGGAATGTGAACTTCAGGAAGATGTAATGGAGTAAGACAATATACATAATTATTATTATGAAACTAGCTTTTGCCCGCGGCTTCACCCGCGTGTAATTTAGTGTCACAGGTCGGCATAAATATAGCCTATATGTTACAAACAATAACACTGTAAAGTTTCAACAAAATCCGTTCAGTAGTTTTTGCGTGAAAGAGTAACAAACATCCAGACATCCAAACTTTCGATTTATAATATTAGTAGGATAAGTATAGTTGGTTTCGATGACAGACTGGCTGAATCGAGGTCGAAGGAACGCGGGTTCGAACACCGCCGCTTGTCTATTGTGGTGAACCCACTCGTGACAAGCATATTATTTAGCTTACCACGAGGGGTTAACGGGACTGTTAGTTAAAAATAAAATTAGTATGTAATTTAAAAAATACTAAAGTAAATTAATGTGATAAAATTGGGTAGTCTGGTCGTCGAGCACGTAGAATTTCGTCCAATGACCCCAAGCTACCCATCCTTATCGCTCGCGAGTAATTATATTGCTGTCGCGACTGCGACGGACAGACAGAAATATAATTACGCGCGGGCGATAAGGATGGGTAGCTTGGGGTCATTGAACGAAATTCTATCTGCTCCGCGACCGGACTTTACACTTATTATAAGATTCTCTTTTATGTAACTAGTTTTTGTAATATGGTGCTGGAACTGGGCCTCTCTCTATGCATGAGCAATATGTGTTTGTAAGATATTGTCTGGAATGCGCAGTAGACGGAGAATAACCTAGGTACCTATAATAATAATAATAGGTTTAATACCCGTTTTAACCATCAATCCCTAATTTATAAGTGACCCCTTAGAAAACAAAATTCCTGTTATGTGTTACGGTAACACGTTACGGATATCCATATGGATATCCGTAACCTTAACCGAAACTTTCGGATATCCGACATAAAAAAATATACGAAACCGTAACCGTAACCGATTAAAAAGTTTCGGATGTAGGCAGTTTAAATAGTTTTTTTGATTTACCTTTATAACGCCATTTAGTATCAATTTTTATTTTTTTATTACTTTTTATTCGATGTAAAGTGTGCGGCCATGAATGAACCGTGTTGGACAACTATTGCAAATTGCATTCTAAAGCATAGATATCCGTAACCGTAACCGAAACTTTCGGATATCCGAAATAAAAAAATATCCGTAACCGAAACCGGTATAATATTATTCCTATATTCGTAACCGAAACAACATATCCATAACATCCCTACCATAGAGGTCACTTAAAAATTAGGGATAGACGGTGAAAACTGGCATTAGTCTCTTTTGAATGACGAGTTAAGATTTAAAGTTGATCAAAGATATTAATAATAAGGCTTAAGATCATAGCACACTTATCAACCCGGAAAGGGATCAACACCGTATCGCCAGAGTAAATACAAATGAGTAGGTCATCTTCATAGAAACGCACCGAGCGCGGTTTGTATGTGAGCGCGCCAACACGTATGCGGCGCGCACGCACACACTGACAAAATTCAGCACACCTCACTCAAAATCCACGCTAAATTTTGTCAGTGTGTGCGTGCGCGCCGCATACGTATTGGCGCGCTCACATACAAACCACGCTCGGGCGCTAGAAGATGACCTACCTACTCATTTGTATTTACTCTACTCTGGTATCGCCTTTCGCTGCGAGGCGTTTACGTTACGGTGCTAACGCCCGTATTCACAAACGATGCTTGCTTAAGTGAAGCAGCACATCGAACGCACAGCGTTGAATAGAGCTCTGTGATTGGTTCGTGTGTGACCGTGTGCGTCCACGCGCACTGTGAGACCTCATAGTAATGTTTGTGAATACGGGCGTAAGTGTGCTTTGGCAGTACGGAGAGTCATACAAATAATACTGACCGCCACGAGTTGATGCGGTTACGATCCGTTTCCTGGTTGATAAGTGTGCTTCGTCCTTTAATATGGTGGTAGGTAGGTAGTGATAAGTATAAGCCTAGGCGGAGACCACCGACTTTTAGTCGACCGATAGTTGGGCCCGATTCTAATTTGTATGAAGAATCGGCCGATATCAAATCGGTGTAATGTGCGCACTTTCATTTCATACAAGTCCGTACTGATTAACAGCCCGACACAACTATCGGCCAACTTAGGCCAGTTTGAAAGTTTCAATCTGGTCGCGTCATGTGTGGTCTCTCAACGGACGCTATGGCAGAAACTTAGATGCAACTCAAAAGTAACTAGCAGTTGCAGTTTCGTTGAAGTTGCGTTTCACCGTCTGTTCTGGGCCTAAAAGTCGGTGGTCTGCGCCTAGGCTAACTGTTTAGATTAATAAAGCAATATACATAATTAGATTTACTAAATGAAATCGTAGTTTTTTTATTCAAATACTTGTTGTATTATTGTTCTTTTTAATTTTATGGCAATGAACTGATGGTCATCATAGATAAGTTCAACCCGACTAACTGCGCACTTCGCTGGAATGTGACTCCGTTCGCCCCGTCCGTACCAGAGCATCGATGTGACGCACAGTGGTCCCGATTTAATAAAACATGGACATTGATGCTAGAGGCACGAAATTTTTTTTGATGGTTACTGCTATGATAACAACAAAAAAACTTGTTATCCTTCAGAGAGAGATGATATTTGTGTGAGTAATCAATGATGGACATATTGTAAATTGGGCAACCTCTCGTATAAGCTACTTTTTGACGGCCAGCGGACCAATACATACAATGTTGTATTAAGTATTTCCCTTAATTTTTTATTTTATTTTATTAAAAGCTGATGCATACGAGCGCGCGAGTGTGAGTCGTTGTTATGTGTCATCAAAGATGTCCCTTTATACACCATATTGTAATTTTGGCAATTTTTCGTGGAAATATTTAATATAAAAAAAACGATTTTTCAACCCTCGATAACTCAAAAGTACGCAGAGATAAGTGACAAGTATCTTCGCATGAAATACTCAGAATCACTTGTTTTATAACATGTGTGATCGGCATTTTGACATCGTTTAAGAATTTCGAAAAATTTACAGAAACGTAATTTCTTCCATAAAAAAAATATCTACATATTTTTTTTTACTACGAAATAGACGTCGTAGGACTGTAATATTTTTTTGCCTTATTAGTTATCATAGCAGTAACCATAAAAAAAAAATTCGTGCTTCTAGCATCAATGTCCATGTTTTATTAAATCGGGACCACCGTGTGACGTCACGGCAGCCAAGTCAGTTAACTCGACCGGGTTTTATGTAGTAATACATTCAAAATTGTACAATATCAGGAGAGTTGGTGTAGTTGACAAATAAAAATGGATTTTAGATAGTTTTTATTATTGTATAGTTGATTTTTACTGATTTATTTTTTTGTATTATGTAAATAAATTATCTAAATGTTCTACTACATGTCGTTTTTATTACTTTCTTAAGTATCTCTGTGGGGATTTTTTTAAACATCAGGAAAAGCTTTGCGCATACTAAAGCCCGATCTGTGAGCACGTAGAATTTTGTCCAATGACCCCAAGCTACCCATCCTTATCGCTCGCGCGTAATTATATTGCTGTCGCGCTCGCACACTCACTGCGATATAATTACGCGCGAGCGATAAGGATGGGTAGCTTGGGGTCATTGGACAAATTCTATGTGCTCACAGACCAGACCATAGTCGATGGGGACGACCCACTGTGTCGTCTACCCATTAAAGCCCAATGGTGTCCATCCGAAGCTTCCGGAACCCAATGAAACGGAGCCGCGAGTTAGTCCTAACTCTGACATTCGTCCATAGAGGGCCTAGTGTGAGTTTACAAACGCTATCACTAGTGAGTGCGTCAAAAAATTACATTAAATGTGTGACGGATTGTACAGCGCCCCTAGCGGGAAACGTTCAAAAACTAAAATTTTCATAAATTTTTTCGGCGTTTACCCGTGGTCCCCCCAACATGTCCCCCTGGTGGGTCCACGGGTAATTTTTTTTACCCGTTGTCCCACCGTTCTGAATAAGAATAAGAATCAGTGGCGGATTTACCAATAGGCCAAGTAGGCCAGTGCCTAGGGCGGCAGATTTAGAGGGGCGGCAAATTTAGCAAATTTTTTTTACAGGAAAAACAAAAATAATTATACGTATACCTACACAATCCATATATATAAATAAACGATTAATAAACGCACTGTAATATATACTTATGTGATCATGAATTTTAAAATATTCCAATAGCGTTTCAATAAAAATAAAATAAAAAACTCTTAAGTAACACAGGATCTTCGGTGCCTAGCACGAGCACCATCTCTCCACAACTTCGTGTATATTGTTTTACAGGGTAGCCCAGAAGAAAATTCACTTTTGAAAATTCAAGGAAACGAAAACTGTACATTTTTGTAGAACGCTATTGCAATTTAAAGGAAATTTAGTGCAATTTATTTTAAAATTTACTATCTTTATACGCCGCGCCTTTGCACTGTTTATACGCGCCGCGTGAACACCGCTGCTGCGCAGCCGCCGCGCCGCCGCCGCGCCGCACGCGAAATTATGCTTTGTTGGCGCGGTGGCGGCGCGGAGGCGGTTTTACTCGGTGCGTATGAACAGTGTAGCGGCGCGGCGACGGCGCGGTGGCAGCGTTGTGTGCAGGAGCCCTTAGAGTTACCCCAAAATGGATTCAGGATGGATGAATGCTGCAGAGTTTTTGGATTATTAGNGGTACATACTGCTATTTTTAGGTCAACATTAAACTCTTGATTACATAGCGGGTTGCAATAATAATCTAGTAACTGACAGAAATATCATTAAGTTCACAATCATACTAATAACGGGATTAAACTAACGTATTGAATTTCAAAAGTCAGTAGGTAGGGGCGGCAAAAATTGAATGGCCTACTAGCGGCAAATTTGTAAATCCGCCACTGATAAGAATACTTTACAGAACAGAACTTTTCTGAACAGTTTTTGCCAGTGGGTCTACGGGTAATTTATTTTAACCATGGTCCCACCGCACAGTGGTAAACGTTGCATGTTACCTAGATATAATTATAAAAAATCTATAATTTTATTATTAATTAGAACTGGCCCCATAGCAGACATTTTCCTACATCTAAAGGCCTTTTGAAATATATATTGGTTATGGCTATTGGAGCGGGTACCACTTTCCATACATTTGTGCCCATCATCCTTTACTTTCAATTTTATTCCAAGAAGAAAATTTATTTTATTTTATTTCCAATTATTTTTTAATTAAAATTGATGTAAAAAAGAATAGACTTTCTATTTAATTTTATCGATTTTTTCCAAGAATATGAGGTTACATGCAACGTTTACCACTGTGCGGTGGGACTATGGTTAAAATAAATTACCCGTAGACCCACTGGCAAAAATTGTTCAGAACGGTGGGACAACAGGTAAAAAAAATTACCCGTGGACCCACCAGGGGGACATGTTGGGGGGACCACGGGTAACGCTGACTAGTGAGCGCGTTAGATGTAAACTCACGCTCAGCCCACAGCTCCGTCTATGGTGCAAGTACACTTTACGGGAAATTGACCGAGACGCAATAGTGTGAACACCATCTGGGTTACATTCTTCTTCCCACCCGTGCGTTCGCCCAAACAGCCCATACTTCGGTGTGCGATCTAGGGTTTCGTCTCAGTAAGTTTTCCGCATAGTGCAACGAGGCTCTGGCTTCGAGGGGACTTCCAATCTTTTCTTCTAGTTATTTCATAGAGGTTTTCGCCTGGTACCTACCTAAGTGCAACAGGACACCCGGCCCGCCGTAGCGGGTTTCCTCTATGCCGCTACTCAGTCAGCTCTGCTGATCAGAGAAGTACCAAGAGCGGTTCTCTAAAGTATGGGCCCGGGCAAACGCCCCGAGTGGGGGTTTTCAAAAATATCTCCCCCTGTATGGGAACTTGACTCAATCCTTAATTGAACAGTGGTAGGGTTTAAATGATACAAAACAGCATAATAAAAGCCTAATTACTAAATATAAATGACTTACGCCCGTATTCACAACAAACATTACTATGAGGCCTCACAGTGCGCGTGGACGCACAGGGTGACACACGAACCAAACAAAGAGCTCTATTCAACGCTGTGCTTTCGATTTACTGCTTCACTTAAGCAAGCATCGTTTGTGAATACGGGCGTTAACATTTTCGCGATTGAAATAAAATTAAAAACACGACATACAATACAATCCGGTCGAGTTAACTGCGCATCAAAGTCAAAGTCAAAATTTCTTTATTTGTTTAGACTAATAAATAGTTCTTACAAATCGTCATTTTGCTCTTAAGGAGCCTCTACATGTCTCATAATCTTTTTACCCTACCAGCGCTTCGAGACCAACATTTGGCAAGTGCTGAGAAGAAGCGCCGCAACAAACTCAGTCACCACTGTCTGCCGGTTAATATAAATAAATAGAAATAGCAGTAGTAGGTACATTCGATTCAGGAGCAGTTCACTGAATTTGCCATGCATTCTTGTATGGTGTATCTTATAAGATTGGGTATACATCTGGCAGCCGTGACGTCACATCGCTGCTCCGGTACGGACGGGGCGAATGCGTGTGAGTGAGCGAGGTGTGTGCAAGGAGGGAGAGTCGCATTCCAACGAAGTGCGCAGTTGGCTCGATCAGGTTGTACGTTTTAAGTTCATACATCAAACATGTTGTACCTATCACCTGTTAAAACTGTAAGACCAAATCATGTTGCTTTGTAATATGTTTTCACACATGTTTATGTAAATAAATATCTTTATCTTTATCATAGCAGACTTATCAACTCGGAAAGGAATCAACCTCGGAATGCCTTTCGCGAGCTATCATCGCCTTTCGTGCGCTGTCAAACGCGAGGCGAGGCGTTTACGTTACGGTGCGGATATGTGGGGCATGTGGGCGTTGCAGTATGGAGTTCCATACAAAGAATACTGACCACCTCGAGTTGATACGGTTACGATCCCTTTCCGGGTTGATAAGTGTGTGACGTCGTCGCTTGCCTCTCTAACTGACGTAACTGACATTTAGCAAAATTTTCAGGCGATTAAAGCCTGGTCCGTGAGCACGTAGAATCCCGTCCAATGACCCCAAGCTACCCATCCCTATCGCTCGCGCGTAATTATGTTGCTGTCGCGCTCGCACACTCACTGCAGGCGCCCGTCGCACAGTCGCTACAGCAACATAATTACGCGCGAGCGATATTGATGGGTAGCTTGGGGTCATTGGACGGAATTCTACGTGCTCACGGACCAGGCTTTACTCAGATCGATTCGTCTTGCAAAATTGAGATGGTGTAGATTACTCATTTTCGAAAAAAATGTCAGGTACATCAGAGAGGCAAGGGACGACGTGTGACGACCTTTAGGGCTTTAATTCACTGGAACACCATGGCGGCGCAACCTGGCGCAACCAGTCGCCGGCTACCAACAAAATGTATGCAGCTTTGCGCTACCAAACGGACACCAGGTGAGTAACTCTCTATAGAGCTGTATACATTTTGTTGGTAGCCGGCGACTGGGGGCGCCGCTATGGTGTCCCGGTGAAATATAGCCCTTATTCTAAAAAAACACCAAACAGTTCGAAACAGATTTATTATGACAGTTTACATTGAATAGACTATTGAAATGAACTATTTCAAGAACTAAGAGGTACTAAGATCGTTTATAGAGGCGTTGGTAGAGGGTGGGTGGGGGAAGATGGCTTATTGAGTTGTTGGAGCAGCGGTAGATGGGGCGGCTGTAGATGAGGCTTCTGTAGATGAGGCTTCAGTAGATGGGGCAGCTGTAGATGAAGCCTCAGTGGATGGGGCGGCGGTAGATGGGGCCTCAGTTGATGGAGCCGCTGTAGATGGAGCGGCTGTAGATGGGGCTACAGTTGTTGTGGCGGCTGTAGATGGAGCCGCTGTAGATGGGGCTACAGTTGTTGGGGCAGCAGTAGAAGGAGCGGCAGTAGATGGAGCAGCCGTAGATGGAGCGGCGGTTGATGGGGCAGCCGTAGATGGGGCCGCGGTGGATGGAGCAGCCGTAGATGGCGCAGCAGTGGTTGGGGCGGCTGTAGATGGGGCTGCAGTAGAAGGAGCGGCAGTAGATGGGGCAGCAGTGGTTGGGGCAGCCGTAGATGGAGCGGCCGTAGATGGGGCGGCCGTAGATGGAGCGGCCGTAGATGGGGCTGCGGTAGATGGAGCGGCGGTTGATGGGGCAGCCGTAGATGAGGCTACGGTGGTTGGGGCGGCCGTAGATGGAGCCGCGGTAGATGGAGCGGCCGTAGATGGGGCTACAGTACTTGGAGCGGCTGTAGATGGGGCTACGGTGGTTGGGGCAACCGTAGGTGGAGCGGCCGTAGATGGGGCAACGGTAGATGGAGCCGCGGTAGATGGAGCGGCCGTAGATGGGGCTACAGTACTTGGAGCGGCTGTAGATGGAGCTACGGTGGTTGGGGCAGCCGTGGGTGGAGCGGCCGTAGATGTGGCAGCACTTGGCACTGGAGGAATTGCGATAATAATTCCTGGGTTGGCAGTGGCGATTGTAGCCGTAGCAGGAGCTATAGTTGGTGGTGTAACGGCCTGGATGCCTCTTGGATTAGCAGTGGCTATCGTGGCTACAGCGCGAGCGCCTGGCTTTACAGTTGGTGGAGTTACTGCTTGAATAACAGCTGGGTTTGCAGTAGCAATTGTGGCTGCAGGACTTTTTGCAGCAGCATTGGCTTTTGCAGGGATTCCTGGTCGTGTTCGTGGTGTGGTTTTGGGCCGGGGTGTGGTTACTGAAACCACAGTTGGTCGAACAGGGCCAACAGTGGCTCTGGCTTGGCTGGGACTTGATTCAGCAACCACAATTGGGCCAGCTTTTGCTCTTGTAAGGCGGGGAGGAATTTTCACAGTTACTACAGTTGGTTTGATTGGTCTTACTGTCGCTGTTGGTGGCTGGTAGTTCGGCTGGATTGGAGACGGAGTAGCATAAGGCACGTTCTGCAATGCTGGGTGTCCTTGAGGCCATCCGAATCCGAAAGACTGGGGTTGGTACTGAGGGAGATTTTGGACATTAACGTGTGGGGGGTAGGATGGGATGTTCTGGGGGTGGGTATATTCTGGGTTGAAAAACGGGTGGTTTACGTATGGATTTGGACTGGGCAGAGCGGGGTGGAACATTGGTTGTGCTACAGGGTAGGAAGGTACCTCGTAAGGTCTTTCAATAGTTGGGGCGTGTTCCCAAACTGGTACAGCTGAAGGCACTGGGTTGATGTGGGATAAGTATTCGTTTTGAGCTTGAGCGTGTTCCCAGCCAGGTATGGCAGGCACTGGGTTGACGTGGGAAAGGTACTCGTTCTGGGCGTGGGCTTCTGGGTGGTTCCAGTTGTATTGCGTGGGGTAGGATGCTTGCGACGCCTTCTGCTCATTCCATTGGGTGTACGCGTCTTTGGTTTCGCTATGGATGTCGTTGGCTTTGGCTCGCGCTGTGGAATGGTAATGAAGAAGTCAATTTAGCAACATGACAATATAAGTTTTTGTAACAACAGCATTTTATGATATACGAGTAATTATTACTCGTAGCAAATGGCTCAGTTTAGAATGGGTATAAATTATGTACAAAATAAAACAGACTTTTGTATGCGGTTGATTATTAAGAGACTAAACAAAACATAACATGAAATATTTACCAAAATCAAATAAATTTGGAGCAGCGACGGCCGAGCCCACCTGAAAAAGTTGATGAATACACATTTTAGTATTTTCACATGATAAAGTTGGATGTTTTATTTGATTCCTCAACTATTCTTCATAACATTCAGCGACAACGGGAATTGAACCCGCGTTCCCTTGGATCACGAGTCAGCCAGCCCGACACCGTTCGGCTACCGTCGCTCTAAAATAATACGATTGCTAAGTTTTTATAAGCTAAGCGTAAGACGCCTACCCACAAGGTGGATCGACAACCTCATAAAGGTAGCAGGAAGGCGCTGGATGCAGGCCGCCACCAACCAGCCATTGTGGAAATCATTGGGGGAGGCTTATGTTCAGCAGTGGACGTCCTATGGCTGAAATGATGATGATGAAAGTTTTCAAATTCTCATATCTGCACTAGTTACAGTACAGCCTAGTGTTACAAATACAGTGAAGATTATGCGTAATTATTAAGAATTCCTTTTTTTTTCAAGATATATGGTTTTACCATATTCACTCACAACTCACAAACAATTACAAACTAATTAATCCGCGTAGTGCACACCATCATGTTGAACTTTTATACACTTATCTATACAAAAAGCGAAAGGTCACTGATTGACTGACTGACTCACTCACTCATTACGAAATCTCAGAAACTACAAGTGCTAGGAGTCTCCAATTTTGCGTGGGGGTTCCTTTTAGCACGTAGGTACTCACTAAGAACGGAATTTACGAAACTCTACCCCTAAGGGGATAAAAATCCATGAGTACGAAGTCGCGGGCGGCCGCTAGTTTATTATAAAACTCACCAGGCAAAAAGCAAAAACTTTAAAGAGCGCCATTTTATTTTTAACCATGTATGTTACATCAACAATATATCATGGCAAAATACTTCCAACAATGGAGGAACTCAAATATATATATTGTATGTTGACGCAGTATATTTGTCCTTCAAGTTATTTTAACAGTTGTTACCCAAAAAATAATTAACCCTCGCTGTACGAGGTGGGGTGTGACACACCCCAGTCCTTTAAAAATAGCCACAATTTTAAAAATTTGCAAATGCTGTATTTGAAATTCTCAGTAGCTGGAATTATGACACTGCTGCTTCGATCAGCGTTGCAAAATCAGTCCAGCGATGACTACCAACTGAGTTACATGCCTTTAAAGTGCGTGTGGGTGTCACATACCCCACCTGGTACGGGACGTTGTTAAAAAGTTTAAAAAAAAATCTAACAGTTTTGGTGTAATTTATATATTTTTAGATTTGTCAATTGAATAAAATTCAATACAAATATTATTTTTCGTGATTTTTATGGTATCTGAAATTTTCAAGCACTTTTAGTCAAATGAGATGACTTTTAGTGCGAATCTGGAAATTTAGTACTGAGATCCGAAGACGTATGTGAACATACACTTATGGGCTACAATTTATACTTGGTGATACAATTTATGGGCTACTGAAATGGAATAACATATTTTATAAATAAATAAAATTGTTACGCTCCCATTTTATGCATTGAGCATACTCATTTTCTTTCATCAGAATTGTGGTAAATTGAAAACCGATGATCAAAACAAATTTATACCCTTCCAGTTTTTAATTTACTTTTAAATTATAAGTAAATTACTTGTAATTTGTGAAATAAAAACGGTTGTCATAATTAAAGGCACTAATTAAAAATTATACATAGGAAATTGATTCCTAAATTACAAGAACAACGGAAATTGTGTCTTTTTGATTTTTTATAATAAAAATGTTATAATACATATTATCAGCTCAGAGCATTTCTTAAACCTAATTAGCATACGTAAATAATCAATATTAAATATTAAATTCCACCTAAAAAATGTTGAATGAAAATTTTATCACTTTGTATATTGGGGTGTGTCATACCCCACCTGGTACGGGACGTAACTTTTAGTCACCTCGTACACGGAGGGTTAAGCAAAATTCATTTTATGGCAGCAAGAATAAAACCAATTTTCGTTTGGACAATTTTGAGAGCTGAAATTCTGTAGTAAAATAGTATTTACTGAAAGAAGTAGGAATTCCAGTAATACCTACTATTAATTATGCCCTATAATTCGGTGAAACCTACCTATGTTATTATTATCATCATCATTTAACATCCACTGCTGAACATAGGCCTCCCCCAATGATTTTCACATCGCCCGGTTGGTAGCGACCTGCATCCAGCGCCTTCCTGCTACATTTTTGAGGTCGTCGGTGCGGAAAACGCAGCTTGGGAGGTCCACCCACTGCATATACCAAATGCCTTTTTAGCTATTTTAAAACTAGAAAAAATCTGGTTGCCTCTAGTAGGAATTCAACCTACGAGCTTTCTCTTGCCGGCGACTGTCCTGACCGCAGTGGCCCCTGAAACTGAAACCATTGCACTCTCTAATGTACTGCAGGGTTGGCCTACACTCCCCACGCTGGCCAGAAGGGGTTGGGGAGGCTTGTAGGCCTAGTGATTAAGCTTTTAACACGCCATTTTATTCATTTTACGCGATAAGCCCATACTTTTGTCATATAAAATCGATAAGATTTTATCATGGCACGCATCCTAGCCCGGCAGATGTTCGCATTTGTCCCTTATTCGCCTCTTACGGCATTCACGTGAACAGCAGCTATTCTACTCTGTCAGAACCACACTACTATCGAATATGCTATGGCGTAGGTAACGTTTTAATTAATCCAAGACATCGTCATTATTTACGTGCGCATTTTGCAGTTAATAATAGCGTTACGTGTGCGCTAAGTACACAAATTTTATTTTGAACAGTTAGTCCGGTCTACTCGTAGTTCATAGTATAAAATACTTAAGTCTTCCTATGACTAAAGCTTACGGGAGTATTCCCACCGCTGCAACTCCTGTATAGCCAGGATTTATGCAGCTTGACGGCCAATAAAAATCCAACCAGTGAGGTCCAGTTTGTTCCAGGAGTCAGCAAAGAGGATCGACTTCCAAAGTGTACGTGGATGGCATTGTTGTGTTCCGGCAGTTGGAGGTAAGATAGCCAGTCCTGTGGTAGAGGATTCCGGGTGAAGCTCGCTTCCACCTTCGGCATCATCACTTTCCATCAGATGAGAGAGTTACAAGAGTCTGAATCTGAGAGAGATACGCACCATCTCATTTATGACCAAAGATATGTTTTTACAAAAATACCTAATCCCTACTAGTAAAGCCCGATGCGACAAAACTTTTATCCGAGAATAACTCCTGGTATAACTGGTACATTGACAGTCAGTATTGGCAATATGTCAAAATGTCGAATAACTGACGATTTATTGTGAGATTAATACGTATTTACTATTGTTTGGTCGAATCCACCAAGTATTAATTATAAATGCGAGAGTAACAGTCTGTCTCGCTTTCACGCCTAAACCACTGAACCGATTTTGATGAAATTTGGCATAGAGTTAGTAGTAGTTAGAAAGGACATAGCTAGTATAGTTTTTATCCCGGTTTTTGGAACAGGGAAGCGCGCGATAAAGTTTTTCTGTGACGTGACATAGCTACAAAATTCCACGCGGGCGAAGCCGCAGGCGGAAAGTTAGTAAAATATAAAACAGGCGTGAAATTCCGCAAAATGATATCCGATTTCTAAACCAACGCCCTCAGCGGTCTAACCAAACAGTATATTGACGTCAACAAAAGACCAGCTGGTCAATTAAACAAAATTATCTTTTGTCATTCGTTAAACTTACAGGTGCTCGCTTCTAATAGGCAAGAATAAAAGCAATTTATTTTCGGTAAATAGACTTCTAAACAGCGATTTTACACGTACCTTGCTACTGCTTAGTAACCACACTTTCAGTAGGTAGGTACACGTGTGGTTACTTAAGCAGTGGTAGGGTTCAAATATTATTTTAAGTTCAATTCCACGCCATAGTCACGATAGCCCAACGGTGAAGTGGTCGGACTGGCCGACTTGAGATCCGAGGAACGCGGGTTCGAATCTCACCGCCTCTTGACTTTTGTGGTGAGAGGTTACGAGTGGGCGTAACACGCTTATTTAGCTTATTACGAGGGGCTAACGGGACTATTAGTAATTCGAGCAATACAAATTGCTAATAATCTTTAAAAAAAAATCAAAAATTCGCGATAAAAAGTCGAATTAGAGGTGTCTTATGACTTTATACTTATTTATAATTTTATAATCTCTGCACATTTCTTTTTGTTAAAATATAAGCCGTTGGCTACATTAGCATTATTAGAGTTATTTATTATGGTTACAGAGCATCCTTTCGAATCAGACATTCGGGACAGTCCGAAGTCTTTATTGCCTAAGCGCAGACCACCGACTCTTAGTTGGCCGATAGTCGGGCCCGATTCTAATTTGTATGAAGAATCGGCCGATACCAAATCAGTGTAATGTGCGCACTTTCATACATCTCCAACTGATTAACAGCCCGACACAACTTCAGCCAACTAAAAGTCGCTGGTCTGCCCTAATGTTAAAAATAATCCACTGCAGACCCACGATACCCCTGGCGATACCCCTGGTGGTATCGTGGGTCTCGGTAAAGAACTACACTTCAGACCCACGATACCCCTGGGAGTAAAGTTGACAAACGAGGACCGGCGCGGGCGCGGGCGGGCGGGGAGGGGGGACGCACAGTGCACACGGCTAGTGCACAGTGTTGTGAAATACCTCTATGAATTCTAAATTGATTTCATTGAACATGCAATAAAATGTATATAAATTATTATTTATTAAAGAACTACACTTCAGACCCACGATACCCCTGGGAGTAACCAGGGGTATCGTGGGTCTGAAGTGTAGTTCTTTAACGAGACCCACGATACCACCAGGGGTATCGCCAGGGGTATCGTGGGTCTGCAGTGAAATAATCTTTAGTTTATATTAAAATTTATTATTAATACGTAAAGTTGACTTTCATTTTACAGCGCAGAAGCAGTATTTGTCTTTATTATCGTATACAATTACACGCTCTTTCATTGCTTATATGTTTATTTAATGATGACGCTTTCGTAATCGGTGACTAAGTATACGGTGTGAACCTTAACTTCGAACTCCTATGTTCTTCTGATTAATTTCGTTGCGGGTCCAATGACAGTTTAACTTTCCCCCGGGAGAAACTTGACCTTCACTGGTTGGGTTATTGGCGGTCAAGCTGTAGATCCTGGCTACACAGGAGTGGCAGCGGTGGGAACGAGAGGTGGGAATAGTCCCGTATCTATACGAGTACAGTAAAGAGCATCGACTATTCGCGTTTCTTACTTTTATTGCTCTATCCCTGCTGCCCACCACGAGAATGTCTCATAGTACGTACAATTTTCATAAGTTACTTAGAAAATTGCCAGTCTATCAGATGACTAAAACATGCTATATCATCATCATTTCAGCCACAGAACGTCTACTGCTGAACATAGGCCTCCCCCAATGATTTCCATAATGACCGGTTGGTAGCGGCCTGCATCCAGCGTCTTCCTGCTACCTTTATGAGGTCGTCGATCCACCTTGTGGGTGGATGTTTTGCTGCGCTTTCCGGTACGTGGCCTCCACTCCAGAACCCTGCTGCCCCATCGGCCGTCAGTTCTGAATAAAATGTGCCCTGCCCATTGCCACTTCAGCTTGCTAAGTTAATCATTGGGGGAGGCCTATGTTCAGCAGTGGACGTCCTACGGCTGAAATGATGATGATGATGACTGTAAAGTGATTAAATGGATATAAATATCTACTGAAAACATTTTATTGCATCAATACCTTGCAAATACGTCGCACATTAGCTACGCATATGAAATAACAACTGAATAAACTATTTGGATTTGAATTTGAAAAAAGTCTAGAAAGAAACATCAATGTATTGTATTGCATACCTCTATTTATTGTTTTTATTGAAATATTAAAAGTAAATAAGTAAATAGCTATTCAACTATTTTCTATTTATATGTAAACTAGTTGTTGTTCGCTGTTTCGTTTGCAATTGCATGACAAATTGAGAATGTACTTGGGTGTGGGTGAAAACGCCAAAAAATACCCACATAAATCTTCTTTAATATAAAATTAAATCGTAAAATGTGTTGGTAACCATAACTCAACAACGCCTGGAACAATTTTACCAATTCTTTTTTTTAAAGTCCAAGGATGGTCTTTACAGCGAAAAAAAAATCAAATAATTTCCGAGTAAAATTCCACCCCTACTTATGGGGGTAAAACGGGGTCCACGCGTACCTACGAAGTGGTGGGCGTCCGCCAGTATTAAATAAGATAAGAATATTCCCCATAGTTTTCTCGTTATTTCGTCTCATTCTAGTTATTTTTAGGATTATCCCATGTTTAATATCTATCATCATCAGTTCATTTAGTCTCCACTGCAGGAACACGACTCTCCAATTTACTAGAAGCAAATGAAGGATTTGGACTACACTCCCCACCCTGGCCAGAAGGGTTGGGAAAAATAAAATTTATTAAAATTGGTTTAATGTTTAACAAAAATCGTAACAGACAATTAAATTTGCATTATTTTATAATAATACTAGCTTTCCGCCCGCGGCATCGCCCGCGTGGAATTTTGTCTTTCACAGAAAAACTTTATCGCGCGCGTCTCTGTTTCAAAAACCAGGATAAAAACTATCCTATGTCCTTTCCCGGGACTCAAACTATTTCTATGCCAAATTTCATCAAAATCGGTTCAGTGGTTTAGGCGTAAAAGCCACACAGACAGAGTTACTTTCGCATTTATATAAGTATAGATTTTCATTAAATAAAAATGAAACGTATTGTCTTTATAGAATACTGAATACTTGTAAAGTATTGTAATGATTACTGAAGAAACCACAGCGAAATGTGGTATGTGTTAAATATTAATATAAAAAATAATTATGAAGCTTTTAGTGTTGGTGTTACTGGTAAGTAGGCATTTTATTTATTTATTTAATAATCTTTGCATATTCAGTTTGTCTCGAAGAGTAAAGTCCTGTTTTAAAACGTTTTAATTTCGTGCAGGATTGAAGTTATACTATTTAATTTTCATATAGAAAAGCTTATACATTTGACTTGGTTTTTTATAATCCTACCAGATTTTATAAGTTTTTATTTATTTTGCAGGTGACTTGCTGTGGATGTAGACCAAGTAAGTAAATGTAAATTATTGACTATTATGTAATAACGAAAGAGAACTACTACAAGAGAAACCAGGTTGTGATATCAGTGAATAAACCACGGATACTCTCGGCGCATTTAAGGGACTCTTATCTAGGTTTAATTAAGACGTCAATATATAGGTGACAATTTAATGCTTGACACAGGTTGTCAATGGTTCACAAGGTTGTCAAAGGTTCACAATCCTCCAGGTATATAAAGCCGGGGAAAAAAATCTGGACACCGCGGTACAGCTTTACGCGTCTCAAAGTACAGTGACATCTATTGGCCAAGTTTCATGGAAGGTTTATACATATCGCCCAAACAAGTTTCATGGAAGGTTTATACATATCGCCCACCAAGGACCGTCCTAGGTCCTTAACAACAGGAAAAACCAAATGAAACTTAATGCGAATGCATCGCCCACCATGAAACATGTTACGGTACACATCAACAATAAAATTAAAATAAACCATTTAAAAAACTATTGTACCGTAAAATAACAAAAACATTTTCAATAAACCTTAAAACTAAATAAACTAAAATTATTTAGCCTTCGGAAGGAGACAAATCTGTTACCCTTGAAACTAACAACTAGAACATCATCGTTACCGGGATGGACCACAATCACCCTGCCACTAAGCCAAGACCCGTAGCTAGTTGTCCACCGTTATGACAACTAAATCACCAACTTTTAGGTTGACGAATTTGCAAAGTCCATCTTTATGTTATTCACCTTACGACGTTCATGAAGCTGTGAGTTTTCAAGTCTCCAACCAACTCTCAACATGTTGTTTACATCAAGAAAAGGATTCAAGAACCGGAGATCACTACGTATGGGTAAGTACGTTTTATTTTATCCTTTCAACATCAGCGCTATCGTTCTCAGATTGGCATGCAACTATACTATACAACCCATAGCCTTCTGTATCTCTACTGTTGTTGAATACCCATCGTATTTCTCAAGCATATCCTTTTTTTATTTTAACTTTTCTTTTTGTTACAGGTTCTTCGTAGGTCTGCACGTCGACGTTGTAACGGATCACAATATCTTCACTGCAGTTCCAGGTGATACCGTTGTTATTCATTATTTCACCATTTATTCTTTTCAGACCTTCTTCGTTTCCTTTCTCTTGAATTATTTTACCATCTTCTTTCGTTGACCTTACCAAATCTTCATTGTTAGTAGTCCACTTTTGTGATTCACATTCTTCTTTAGCTAACATCATATTATTTTTTCGGTAAAGTTGACTCCCCTGATCGATAGTTCCGCAATCCATCATGAGATCGTCCACATAAAAGTCTGACAGTATCTTCTCAGCCACCGTTGGAGAATCTTCACCGTGATCCAAATTCTTAGCAACGTATTCATTAACAACATCTATGTAATTCTGTTTCAGATCACCGTTCTTCAGTTTTCGTGTTAATGAATACATTCTTTTTTCAGGTGTTCGCCGGGAATTCTTCTCATCGGGATCTTTATTCTTCACCGGAAGACGACGCACAATGTATCGACCAGTGTCATCTCTACGAGTAGTTTTGGTAAAGTATTCTTCGCAAGTCTCTTTATTTTCTGAACACGTTCCTTTCTTTGGCAACGAAATGTCATCTTCTAGCTCCCTAAATCTTTTTAGAAGCTGATTATCCTCCACTCTACAATGCATCACATTTATTGTTTCAGAGGGCTTCGTGGGCGTGTTAATAACACCAGACAGAATCCACCCCAATGACGAACACTGAGCAAGTGGTGAACCAAGCGGTCCCTTGATGACTCCGTTTTGAATAATCCGGCTATATGCTTCTGAACCCAACAACAAATCTATACTATTGGAAGTATAATAGCTCGGATCCGCGAGGACAATGCCCTCAAGCTCCTTCCATTCCTCTTTTATATCTTTTGGTTAGGCAAAAGCGATGTGATGGACCCTAATACATAAGCTTTCACTGTGATAATAAAGTTCGGATTGACTCGTGATGCTATTTTTATTTCTACCATCGACTTTGTCGTGAGCCCGTTCGTGCCACCTACTCCTACTATCTGCCCTTTAGCTGGAAACTTCTTCAACCCCAATAATTGAACCATGGCCTCCGTAATAAAAGAGGATTGGGATCCTTGATCCAGTAAAGAACGAATCGTGTAAGTCTGGCCGTTTTTAGATACAGTATCTACAAGTGCCGTCGCTAGCAAAACTTGGCTACAATCCACAGTGCTTCTTGTAGACGTGCAGGAAATAACAGCACCAACTTTCTTGGTATCAGCCGTAACCTCCCCGTTTTGGGGTTCCTGAGCAGCAATCTTGTTTGTAGGATGCAGCAGAGCGTGGTGCTTCCTCTTGCAGATGCGACACTTGTACTCACTGTGACAAAATTTGGCAGAGTGATTGTTTCCGAGACAACAAAAGCAAACATTATGTGATGCAACAAATTCGCGACGTAAATCCACAGACGTATCCCTAAAACCCTTACACGTGCTCAATTTGTGCTCCTTCTTACAAAAGGGACAGACTAACGTGGTAACGTGCATGGCTTTAATTTGACTAACAGGCAAGTTTTTGTTAGGAATTGGTTTGGACTCTGAACCCAAAAATTCAAGGGCGCGGTAACGATTGTTATGAAACCTCTCGAACTGATCGTAAGTTGGTAGCTCGGTAGAGTTACTATCCATGATGCTAAATTCCCATTGCCTTTTTGATTCAGGGTCCAACTTCAGCGTTATTATATGGATTACCAGCACGTCCCAGGTACCCGTATCTATGCCAATGTTAGACAGAGATGACAAACAATCATTTGTTGTGTCCATCAAACCTTTCAAACCACTAGCCGACTCACAAACAACATTTTTCTGGCTTAGCAGTCTCTTCAAAATATGATGGCAGATGTATCGGTTGTTGTTATACCTCTCGTCTAACAAACCCCAACAATGCTCGTAATTACTATCTGTAATCGGAATGTTGCATAAAAGTTGCTCGGCTTCACCTTGTAAATACCCTTTCAAATATAGTAATTTTTGTGCGTTTCCTAAAGTTTTGTTTGAATGAATTAAGGACTGGAATAAGTCTCGGAACGTGTTCCATTCCGAGTACTTTCCTGAGAAGATCGGAATATTTACTTTTGGCAGTTTTACATTAGGCGCCTGTAGAGTGGGCTGGTTAGAATCGGTGTTGGAAATACCTGTGATTATAATGAATTTAGCTAAAGCTCCTTTCAATTTACATTTATAATCAATATAGAAATCTTCTGTTTTGTCATAAGTATCGCTTCGCATATACCTCGACTCAGATAACACTTTAGGTTCCGTAGTGCGCAACAATTCCCTATGACCCAACAGAAATTCACTCCACAAACCTTCAAGTAGTTCCAACTTTCCCTCTAAATACTCCTTTGTCAAACGATCTTTCGGAACTTTTTGGAAATTCGTCTTAGCCTTTTCTATTCTTGACGCAAGGTCAAACTGACAATTCTCCAAACGTTCCATCATAAATGACAACTAAACTGACATGTAAACAAACTTCCAAAAATACTAAAAAAATTCTAAGTCTTTGACAATTCTAACAGAAATTGGGCATAGGTTCCCCGTAGCAACCGCTTTCAAAACTATTCTAAGTCCTAAAATTATTTCTAAAATTTTTCTAGTGTAAATAAAGTCCAAAACCCTTCAATTTTCTTCTCAAATAAAATGCCAAAAGAGTACTCACAGTTATATCCGTTTCACTCACACACTATCACAATAGACGGCGAACTCTTCATCAACACGAACTCCTTCGGGCTCCGAACCCGAACTCCTTTCGTGCTCCGACACGAACTGCTTAGGGCTCCAACACGAATCCCGTAGGGCTCCGATCGTGTTTCCACCGGATGGCGCCACCTCAGCGCAGCACCACCGTCATCATCTCCTGATCTTCCTCAACCAGTTGGTTGCCCTGACAGCACCACAGCTGGTACTGTCAAACTGATGTCAGCAGCTCCTAGCTGACCCAGCTTCTTGACCTGTCCTGTTTGTGACAGCGATCCACTGTCCAGGACGTCACCGCCCTCCAAAAATGCACAAGGTGTGATCGCGGCACCTGCACCGTTACCAGTGCCCAATGGACATCAGCTTCCTGATGATATCCGGCTCGAAGGACCATGAATAAACCACGGATACTCTCGGCGCACTTAAGGGACTCTTATCTAGGTTTAAATAAGACGTCAATATTTAGGTGACAATTTAATGCTTGACACAGGTTGTCAATGGTTCACAAGGTTGTCAAAGGTTCACAATCCTCCAGGTATATAAAGCCGGGGAAAAAAATCTGGACACCGCGGTACAGCTTTACGCGTCTCAAAGTACAGTGACATCTATTGGCCACTAACACAAACAAGTTTCATGGAAGGTTTATACAATCAGGACTCATCCCCCTACTACTATAATTTTAAGGTTTGTTATTTTAACAAGAACAAAATTTTAAATAATTTATTGTATTTCCAGCACCAGATAGCCCAACGACAAAATGTGAAACTACAACGAATTCTCCGACGACCACGGCTACTACTACGCCTAAAGATTCGACTACAACGACTACTCCTTCCACTACCGCAACTACTCCTACTACTAGTGTAACTACTCCTACCACTACTGTAACCACTCCTACCACTACCACAACTACTCCTACCACTACTATCACTACCCCTACCACTACCGCAACTACTCCTACCACTACCGCAACTACTCCCACCACTACTATTTCTTCCACTACTGCTACTACTCCTACCACCACTACAACTACTCCTACTACTACGGTCACTACTCCTACCACTACTGTAACCACTCCTACCACTACTGTCACTACTCCCACCACTACCGCCACTACTCCTACCACTACTGTAACGACTCCTAAAACTACTCCTACCACTACTGTAACCACTCCTAAAACTACTCCTACCACCACTGTCACTACTCCTACCACTATCGTAACTACTCCTACCACCACCACTGCTCCTACCAAAACAACCACTGTTACAACACCTTGCACTACGAAACCCCATAAAAACCACAAGTCCCACCCCAACCACCATCACAAACCAAAACACCCGAAAAGACACCATGACCACAGGAATAAACCATGTCATCACAATCATCATCCAAAGAAGAATCATCATCATCAGTCACCGCAACATCACGGCAGGGAAAAAGAAGAGCTGTTCCATTTGAATTTAGGTTCAATTTTAGATGTTAGTGTGGAATTGTAGATTTGTGTTATAAATAAAATGTTTAAATGTGTTTTACTTCTATTAAATTCCTTTGAAAATGTTTATTAAGATAATGAATTGGGTAAAGTAAAATTCATAGATTTACTGAAGAATATTTGCATTATAAGATACTATAGGTAATAATAATAATAAATAAATAATAAATATCCTTGGACATTTTACACTACGCTTCTAGTTCCAAACTAAGCAAAGCTTGTACTATGGGTACTAGACAACGGATATAAACATACTTAACACTAGAGTGCTCGCGCGGGTGACATATGTCACCCAGGGTGTAAAATTCGTAAATATTTTTTCAAGGTATCGAGCTACAGTGCTGCCTTCTCAGGTATTCCTCGAGCATGTATTGTCGCACATGTTAGTAGTAATGCCATCTTGCTAGACGCATCAACGTGAGTGCAGAAAACATTTAAAGTGTTTGGGTGACGCATGTCCCCCGCGCGAGCACTCGAGGAATTGTTTGATCCCTTATCGTCACGGTTTAAAATCAAGTTTATTTTCATGTAAGCTCAAAGTTATAACTTTTAACCATTTTTTAAACATTTACAATAATTTTATTGTTTTATTTAAGCATAAACTGACGCAAGAAAGTAGTTGTTTTAGATTGTAAGTAATGTAGTAATAATACACCTAGGGCTATAAAATTAAAAACCAGGATTCTTCTGGGGTTGCGAGAACACCAACTAGCATAAAACTTGCCAGTACTGTGGCAAAGGACGATGTGTTTTTCGCACAAGAGCAAAAAATCGAAGCACTCGTAAGCAAATGTAACAAGTGTAATAGGCGTTTTTGTCCAGATCATCAAATCATATCGTGCCCGAGTTGTGATCAAAATATCACAGAATAAGANTTCATACATTCACACAATACATTAGACGCCATGTTGTCATAAACGACATATTATAAAATCGCTGTGATTTAATATTCTTAATCATTAATTTTATGGCAAGTGTCCATCAGGAATCATTGTTCTTACACACAGAATCGTATTATTTCGCTTTCGGGTAGTAATATGTCAAAATTGTTGGTTCTTTAGGCGAACAATGTATGGAGAACGAACATTGTCCTTTACCAATCAGCCGCTTGAATAATAACAATAATAATAATAATAATAAGCCCCCTAAAATCCTACCTTTCGTCCGAGCCGAACACCAGGCCACGTGGGGGGCGGACACGCGTACTATTGAAACTTACGCGGCTAACGAGGCTAAGGTAACCCATTAAAAATGGAGCTTAGATCGAAGAAAGTATTGAGTATTGGGCCGCTGCCCGGGGGCAATCGCCGGGGCACACCTGGGGCCGGTGCTGGGTGTTCCAGCATGCGATCCGCCGGCGACGAGGAGTTGAGCAGGCGGGCTCCCGTCGATAAAATTGCTACAGCCGAAACCACCCGATTGAGGGACTCTCCATCCCCTCAATCCAGTCTTTTTCCGTCACCGAATTCTTCCCCCAAATCTTACGAAATAACGTCCCCAAAATCACTGTCATCATTTTCAAGCAGTAGCGAGGTTTCAATGGATGTTGCACAGGAGACAAACCCTGTCAGTAGATCTGTGCCCACCATTATAAACACCAGAAAACCTAGAATGAGATGGACCGACGAATACAATGAAGCAATAATCAGGTCCTACTACCGAATAACAAAATTAGAATCTACGCGAACAACTTACAGAAAACAATTACATCAGCACTTTATCACAGAATTCCCTTACCTGTCACACGTATCCGAACAACGAGTAGCCGACCAAAGACGGTTAATAATATACAACAAATTATTGCCCAATTCACGCCTAGAAGAAATAAGGAAAGATGTAGCCGAGGAACTCCAAATGAATAGCACACAAACAAACACCCGAACACAAGAAAGTACTCCGCCACTATCTTCTATACATGACACCAACTATAGGATGAGATGGTCGGACGAATTAAATGAAAGTCTCATGAGATGCTACTATATAGTCACAGAATCAGAGACTAATATGTCTGCTTACCGAACCAAGTTACACAAGAAATTCATCGACAGGCACCCGAATCTCGCACACATTACAGCACAAAGATTGTCTGACCAAAGACGATCGATAGTCAACAATAGACTGGTGCATCCTAGCAAACTACTGGAAATAAAAAATGCAGTCACAGAAGGAATCAACCTCAGCGAAAATAGTTTCAGTCCCCAGTTGCCTAGCACAGATTTCCTAATACTAAATTCTACACAAACAAATATATCTACTAGTGATATGACAGATACTAATCTCCAAACAGACGCCGTTCTAGACTGCACGCACCAGACAGACAACTGCACACTAGGAGAAGATCCGGATCAAGCTAGGACTGCCTATATTGATAACTTAGACTCAGATGCTAACCGTGAGATTAGCAATACCTTTGAAGAAACTTTCCGAGCTTTTATTGACACCGAACCCACTAGCAGACCATTTATACGTAAGCAAAAAACATCGAAAAAGCTATCAGCTATAATATACTACATTAACAATACTATTATCCCAAAGTATCTAAATAATGAAACAGATTTTAAGACACTTCATACATTAATATATTGTGCAGCGTGGACAGCAGCTAAATGCAATGGAACAAAAATGGAAAGAGATATGGAAGGAGTAAACAGAACAGCAGTCAGAAAACCTAGATGGGAAATCCGATTAGAAAGAAAAAGAGAAGATCTTAGAGCTAAAATTGGTAAAATGATTCAATTTAACAACGGAAATAGAAATACAGCACTGACAGATCAAGTTAAGAAAATAATGGAACAATACAGGATACATTCGATACACGAAGAACCAAACACACAAATCGCAGAATTCATAGACACTCTTAAACAAAAACTCATGGTTATAACTAGTAGGATCAGAAGATACAGAGCGTGCACTCTTCGCAAAACACAAAACACACAGTTTAATTATAATGAGAAAAATTTCTATCGCACTCTTAGGACTTCTACAACCAATAGCTCGTCAAGTAGCGGACACGCTACTTGTCTTGATACTCCTGCGCCTAACATTCTTCGGAATTTTTGGGCTGAGATCTGGGAGGATCCTAAGGATCACAATGACAAAGCAGAATGGATAGGAACTGAATATCAAAGAAATGAACACGTAGAACCCATGCCATTTGAATTTATACCAATAGATACGTTCCAGGATGTAATCAGAAAACTCCATAATTGGAAGGCCCCCGGATCTGATAAAATACACAACNGACTTTTTTTATAGGTCCATGATGACAGTGTTTTAATTAAAATTGTAATGGTCTGTTATGTTTTAATTTTTAAAAATAACTACGATTAAAGATAAAAGTATTTTTAAAATATTGTTTTCATAGATCCAATTTGCGGTTTATTGCTTTGTTTGATAATAATCCAAGCCGATATTAAGCTGACCCCGTTGAATCTACAAGACGCAACAACCCAAGCGAATGAACTACAAACTACTGCAGAAACAAAAATTAATGAATGGACCCGAAAATCTCTTCACGGACGACATCGCCNTACACAACTTCTGGTATAAAAAACTTGACTATACCCATCCATTCCTGCACAACCATTTAAATCAATTCATCCAAAATCCTGAAACGATACTCGACTATTTCATGACAGGAACTACATACATGATTCCCAAAGATCTGACTGATCCCACCAACCCAGCCAAATACAGACCCATTACTTGTCTCCAAACTATCTATAAAATACTAAGTTCCTGCTTAACAAACATAATTTATGATCACGTTGAAAAAAATCAAATTCTTGCTGAACAGCAGAAAGGTTGTAGGAAGTTTAGTCAGGGCTGTAAAGAACAGTTAATAATCGATTCGGTCATATTGCGACAAGTGCAAAAACAAAAAAGAGAGCTTCACTCTATGTACATAGACTACAGAAAAGCATATGACTCTGTTCCTCATACCTGGCTTTTAGAAGTTTTACGAATTTATAAGATCCATCCGACCCTGACGAACTTCTTACAATCTGTTATGCAGAAATGGACAACGCGCCTTAAGATAGCACACACTGAAACCGATCCAATTTACATCAGACGCGGAATCTTTCAGGGAGATTCGTTAAGCCCACTCTGGTTCTGTCTAGCCTTGAACCCATTATCAAACCAATTAATTTCATCAAACACAGGTTTCGAGTTAAAATTTACAGACCCTAACACTAACAGACTTGTAAACATGCAAGTGAATCATCTCATGTATATGGATGACATAAAACTATATGCCCAATCACAAGAAAGTCTATATCAATTAGCTAATTTCACAGAGCAATACTCAAAAGACATTTGCATGGAGTTTGGAATCGACAAATGCAAAATTAATGCTATCAAGGCTGGACGGAATCAGCAACACACCTACCAAATGGAATCGGGAGAGCAGATTAACTCGTTGGAGGAGAACGAAGTTTATAAATACCTAGGATACAACCAATCTAAGTTAATAGAATATAAAAACACAAAGGCTAAACTTTTACAACAATTTAAACATAGGCTCAACTCCATCATGAAAACACAACTGCATTCTCGACACATTACCAAAGCAATAAACTCATTCGCTATACCAATTTTAACATACTCTTTCGGCATTATTAAGTGGTCAAAAACAGAACTTATTAACATGCAAAGAACTATAAACACTACACTTACAAAGCACAGAAAACACCACCCACGGGCATGTGTTCAACGACAAACCCTACCGCGACAAGAGGGAGGCCGAGGAATTATTGACATCCAAAACCTCCATAACAAACAAATTGCAACGCTCCGTTCCTATTTCCATCAAAAAGCCGCAACATCAAGCCTTCACCAAGCAACTGTCCAAGCCGATATTAAGCTGACCCCGTTGAATCTACAAGATGCATCAACCCAAGCGAATGAACTACAAACTACTGCAGAAACAAAAATTAATGAATGAACCCGAAAATCTCTTCATGGACGACATCGCCATGACCTGTGCCAACCCAACGTCGACAAAGTAGCGTCGAACGCCTGGCTTAGTCATGGAGAGCTCTTCCCTGAGACTGAAGGGTTCATGATTGCGATTCAGGACCAAATCATCGAGACCCGCAACTACCAAAAGCATATCATAAGGATCCCAAATTTGCCCACAGACTTGTGCAGAAAATGCAACAGCAGTTCAGAAACCATCCAACATATAACCGGTGCTTGCAAAGCAATAGTACAGACCGACTACAAGCACCGGCACGATCAAGTCGCCAACATAATACACCAAAAACTTGCTCACAAATACAAGCTGATCCCGGATAAATCTACACCATATTACAAATATCAACCTGAACCTGTTCTCGAAAATAATCAATATAGACTCTACTTCGACCGCGCTATTCTCACTGACCGTACTACACACTATAATAGACCAGACATCACTCTACAAGATAAAAATAACCACACAGCAACCATAATAGATATCGCTATACCCAACACTCATAACTTGCAAAATACCATATCAGAAAAATTGTCTAAGTACACGGATCTAAAAGATGAAATTAGGCGGATGTGGCGTCTCAATGAAGTTAACATCGTTCCGATTGTTTTGTCAACAACAGGCGTTATACCGAAACAACTACACCAGTCAATAAATTCACTCAACTTATCACCACTTACTTATATATCACTCCAAAAGGCAGTTGTCCTGAACACCTGTAGAATAGTCAGAAATTTTTTGCAAGTTCACGAAACCCCTAACCAATTAAGACAGCTACCACCAGCACAAACGCAGCAACATAATAATTTAAATTAGGTAAAAATATTGAATCGGGATTGCACTTGGCTTAGGCCCGTGCTCTCCTCTGATACCAGCCATGAGCTGAGACACAAAAGTGTAAACCGAAAATAATAATAATAATGTTCTTTTTCATCTGATCCGCGAAATCAATTTTTCGTTCTTTCTTATTATTTTTCATTCATTTGTCAGTTTGTAACTAAATGAAACTAATTTTATTCCATCAATTATTTTATTTATTATCATCCATCAACGGTGCAAAATACATTAAAATTGTGTGGAAGTACTAGTTATCATATTTATTGTGGGTATCTTTAAAATTACAGCCGACTGCACATCAAGCCAAATCGTATCTTATGCAGTTTTTTTTTATACACAACGGAAGCTCTTGGCCTGTATCTCACCTGATGGTAAGTGACGATCAGGCCGAAGGTGGAAGCGAGCTTCACCCGGAATCCTCAACCACGGAGGAACTGGCTATCTTACCTCTAACTGCTGTCATAGGTGCATAGTTGTCATAGGTTCGAAATTGCTTTAAAAATGTAAAGCCTGGTGTGCAGTTGACTGTACATATAGATTATTTATAGATTGCAGTACATATAGATTGTTTACATATCATAATATATATTATATGTATATCGTTCGTAAGAACACAGTCAGCGTCAAATAGTTCGTGTCACCCAAAGTAGCCAAAAAGTTCACGTCTTTGTTACAATTGAAATAAGGTTGCTGTCAACATTTTTCGGCCACTTTGGGTGTCACAAACTATTTGAAGTTGATTGTACAAGACTGTGTTTATTATTTTTAAATTCTACGGCGATAATGTCGACATAAATATTTTGTATCACTCGTGAAATTCAAGAAAGTGTTTTTTTTGTCATTAAGTAGGTTTTAGTAGTTAGGTATTTATGTATTATATTTAAATATAATTCACTACTTTGAGCACTTTTTGACATTGAAAATGTTCAAAAAAGTCCTTTCAAGTTAAAAAACGTTAAGAAAATGTAAAAACATTAGGCGTGTCAAGCGTGTCTATTAAAACTACGAAATCACCTAAAACTAAATAAAACTATGTTTGTGAAGATCATCCGTTTTAAAATACTTTTAAAGCAAGTATTGTACCTTTTGAACTAAACACTTATTTCACTATTAGTCATAGCAGACTTATCAACTCGGAAAGGGGTCAACACCGTATCGCCAGAGTAAATACAAATGAGTAGGTCATCTTCATAGAAACGCACCGAGCGCGGTTTGTATGTGAGCGAGCCAATACGTATGCGGCGCGCACGCACACACTGACAAAATTTAGCGGGGATTAGCGGGGAGTTGCGCCGAATGTTCTCAGTGTGTGCGTGCGCGCCGCATACTTATTGGCGCGCTCACATACAAACCGCGCTCGGGCGTTTCTATGAAGAAGACCTACTCATTTGTATTTACTCTGGTATCGCCTTTCGCGCGCTGTCAACCGCGAGGCGAGGCGTTTACGTTACGTTACGATGCGTGTGTTGCAGTATGGGCTTTCATACAAAGAATACTGACCGCCTCGAGTTGATACGGTTACGACCCCTTTCCGGGTTGATAAGTGTGCTACGTCCTTTACTCGGAATCGAGTAGTAGATTTGCATTATTTGAAAATTTATATATCTATCTCTATGACTCTCTCACTCGTGGCAGGATATTAGTGTGTGAAAGAGACAGATAGAGTTCAAATCGTCAGATATGGTTTCATAGTCGAAGACAATTTTTCACCAAAAATCATTGTTTTCAAGCATAATAAATTAAAAAATACTAGACTGTTATTAATAATTCAAGGAACGTGTTCCGATTAGAAAAGTACTAGAAATATTAATAATTTAGATCTTAATTAGAAATTGTACTGGACTAAAGAAATATTAAACATAATGACAAGATAAGAAAAGAAATAAAGAAGGAAATTAATCAAATCAAACAAGTCTTAATTTTTAGGTTAGTGAAGAAAATATTATTATAACGAGTTTTTTTTATAAATATATATTTTGAAGTAAATAAAAGTATTGCAAATAAAACATTTGTTCAAATGTCATAGACAATTTGAATTGAACATAAAACATAATATTTATAACATTCATTTTAACCAAACCTTTTTAACGAATCAAACAAACATCTTTCCGTAACATAATAATTTGTATTTTTAAATGTTTTTCAAATAATTATAATATATTTTTTATTTAACCGAGAAGTTTTGTGTTTTATAATAAAGAAAACAATAAGTACACACAAGTCACACAACATCTCCATTTTCAAGTACCCTTATAATATTTAGGTTTCTATAATACGAGTTAATCTTGCTACTTAGCAATTCGTCAAGTGAAATTCGTGAATTTCTTATACTTATCTAAATAGTGTATAAATCCAAGACAAAACCTTGAAAATATTTAGCTATCTAGTATAATGTGATATCTAGTAGAAAAGTTTCAGCAGTTCAAGCGTTAATTATTTAGTATAATATGAAAAGAATCTACTCTGGGGATTAAATATTTGACCTAAGTGTACTAACATTTAAAATCGTTGCATTTTTAATACAAAAAAATATTATCCTTTTAATTAAAATTGTGCCTATTTTTATTCATTAAAATGTATTTTAACGTCAGTTTTTATTATTCTAAAAAGATGTTCGTGAAAATATCAGTGTATATGATTATATCGTCGAGATACAGTGCCGATCGGCAAAATAATAATTCAGTTTATTCCTGACATGTTCAGTTATGTCGCTCAAGGGACGTAGGGGAATACTTGCGTCACTCTCCCAATGCCTCTGTAACAAAAAAAATAAACATGATATTAATTAAAATCTTTAACATTTTTGTTGATTGGTATTTGATAGTAACCATTAAACGTATCAATAAGCTAACAGGGGTGACTGAGTCTGCCACTTCTCAGCATCAGTTGATATGCTGTCCCGAAGTCGTGGTAAGGCAAGGTATATTAAAATTTGATGTGTATTGTAAATGTCCTGAAAAGGGCCTATACTGGTTGAAATTTTGTAATGCAACCTGGAGGGAAAGTACTCTTAATACTGTAGATATAAAATTATACTCAAAGAAAACATTTAAAATTTTGACCCTTATAAAAATATCACCGTTTTGAACTTGAAAACGGTGATATTTTTATAAGGGTCAAAATTTTATCGATGGCTACAGGGTTATCCATTGTTTTTGGGACACCCTGTATGTTCGATATAAAGTCATGGCAAGTACAAAGTGATCCATACCTGGTCCCCTGTCCCGCCGTAAGCAGCAGCCGCCGGCCCGTGACCAGGTATTCAGGATTGCGCGTGAAACGGAACACGAGCGACGCGCCGCTTCCCGCTCGCACCTCGTTATTGCGGGACAGGATGCCCTGGGAACATAATTATTAGAAAATAGTTAAAATGAATTAAGAATAGATTTTTCAATAATCGAATATTTATCTGAAAAATTAAATTGGCCTATTGATTGTTTCTGTACGGGAAATGTGTCAAAATGTAAATTGTATTCTTCTGATAAAAGATATCTGACGGTTGAAAAATGAACCTTAACCCCCTTACTAATAAAACTTACACGCTCGTTGAACAGTGTTTTAAAGTGATGTTTATGGAAATGTCATTTTAAAACAGCGTTCAACAACTAAGGGTAAGTCTCAAAATTTATTAATTAAGTGCTCGCCTAGTTACTACCAGACTATAGAAAAATATTTTAACTTTTAATTTTTTTTTTCAAATGTTAGTATGTAATAAATTATTTTCAAGCGTTAAGTTTTGGTCTAATATTACACACACCCTGTTTGTAACGCTTACCTCGATGATAGCAGTCTGTCGCACGTTTCCAACGTGCACTGTGCATTGGAAACCAGGATAAATCGCTGTGGAGTGCCTTAGCACGTGCACTGACGCCTGTACAAATAATCACATACTTTAGTTACTATTAAAATAATAATGTTTGCTTACAAAAGTAAGTAAAAACTTAACCGGTAAAGATTTCATCAAAACTGTTCAGTACTTTTATGATATCGCACACCTAGACATACTCTGTGACGACATTACGGCTGCGTTTCCACCAGATACGTGCGAGGATGCGTAGCGAGGGAGAGAACCAATAGAATCGCTTCATTTACTGATGGTTGGTGGAAACGCAGCCTAAGCCGGGTCTCCAGCGCGTGTTTTCTTACACAATCAACAAAAAAATGTCAACATTCAACATTTTTTGTAGGCAATTTCGTTGAATGTTGATGTGTTTTTGTTGACAACCGTGTTTCTCTACGCAAAAGTTTAAAATCTTAAGTTTTTGTTGATTGTATAGGGCAAAACACGCCACGCTGTCAACATTCAACATTTTTTGTAGGCAATTTCGTTGATATTGATATGTTTTTGTTGACGGATTTCTTTATTTAGAAAGCTGCTTGAAGGCTTACAGAAAATCCAACCCGTTGAGACCCGTGTTTCTTTATTTTAGTTGAAATGGAACGCGAAACACTAAAATCTTGTTTTGTTGATTGTGTCCCTACTGGGCAAGCTATATTTGGGACGTGTATATCCCTGGAAAGGGCCTATGTACTGAATAAACATTTGAATTTGAACTTACCTGGAAGAATATGCAGCCCCTTGGATTGTTGGGGTCTTCCAGTAAGACCGCGTCTCGGCAGGTGCACTCCCCGTCCGATTTGTCCTTCTCGCCTTCACTGTCAGATCTACAAGAAAAAATAGATAAACAAATATTATTGAACTTTTATACAGCGCCAACTAGCCCTAAACTAAGTAAGGTTTCCACCAAGAAAAGCGGAGAAATGTTTTAAATAGCCATTTAGATTTTCATCCTATCTGAATGACATCTGATTGTGAAGGGAATCAGGTATATTTTAAAGTAAAAATGCGAAATAATTTCAACAGACTTGTGTACAGATCGAATCCAACCGACAGAGAGTAAAACAAAAGAATGCCGTATGATTTTTCACTGTCACAATATCCAAATAGGTTTTATATCACTCGCGATCGCGAACAGATTGGTTGTTCAAAACAATTCTCCGCTCCGCTCTGCGTTGGTGGAAACCGAGCTTTAAGCATGTATAGGTCGCGCAACGAAAGTTGAGTGACACTGATGCAATATTTTAATACAAAACACAACACATTACACATTCAAGTTAAGATTTGAATTACACTTATTACCTCGCTCTTGATAAAGTGTGCAAGCGAGACAGAAAACACTTGTCAGTGAGACTACGCAAGATGTTAACGCGACGAGCGTACACAGATCTATGCTTGTGTTGATCAACTCTCGGTGCGCGTCCTATACGAAAACTAATTGAAATAGCGAAAATGTGACGTCATAGCTTGCCTTTATAGGTCTATGGCTTAACTCAAGTCAGTGCCTGAGGTATGTGAGCGGCACAGGAGGATGTTTTTTTCCGTCAACAGCGATACATAAAATATCTTAAATGGCAATGCCAGATTTTGTATGGAAGGTGGCGTCTTTTTTTTTTTCGCGCGGCCATCGACCAATCTTTGTTTTTTGATTACAAAATAGTGTAATAAACCAAACTTACTATGACATGTATACCTCTAAACTCAGTCTGACCTGAGTTACGAGCATTAGAAGTTTGATGATTTTCATACTAGATTTGCTTTTTGCGCGCAAGTTTTGTAAGAAATTGCAACAAAATATTGCGCTATTTTTTTATTGCGCTGATTCTGCTGCATACTGATGTCTGGAGCCTTTAATGGATGGTATTGTTTGTTTACACATACAATGTCACTATTTTGTTGCAATTTCATCCGCGGGCGAAGCCGCGGGCTATCTCATAGCTAAGTCTCGTTCGTTCGTTTCAGCCGAAAGACGTCCACTGCTGGACAAAGGCCTCCCCCAAGGATTTCCACAAAGACCGGTCCTGCGCCGCTCGCATCCAGGCACCTCCCGCGACCTTCACCAGATCGTCGGTCCACCTAGTGGGAGGCCTGCCCACGCTACGTCTTCCAGCCCGTGGTCGCCACTCAAGAGCTAAAGAGCAGAACAGACGGTGAAACGCAACTGCAACGAAACTGCAACTGCTAGTTACTTTTGAGTTGCATCAAAGTTTCTGCCATAGCGTCTGTTGAGAGACCACACATGACGCTACCAGTTTGAAACTTTCAGTTTCAGTTTCATTCATCAGAATCATCGGAAAGTTCCAGTTTCGTTGCAGTTGCGTTTCACCGTCTGTTCTGGGCATAAGTCTCACCTATAAGCATCCTCTATCTTGTCCACGCTCTCGCTGTCCGACTTGTAGATGTTCTGGTCGTTGTCTATGGCCTTCGTCAGGCAGTTCTCGACGTTGGCCAGGTCTTGGAGTAGGTTCTTGTTTTTCCGGCGAACGTTTTTGCGATTCTTCTTGTCTTTGGCGTTCTGTTGATGGTTTAGCACTATTTCTTTAGCCTGGAACAATAAAATAGAATAAATAAATATCGTAGGACATTTTGCACTGCGCCGCTAGTCCCAAACTAAGCAAAGCTTGTACTATGGGTACTAGACAACGGATATAAACATACTTGAATACTTTTTTTTGTAAATACATAAATATTATACATAGAAAACACCCAGACCCGTCACAGAAATTAAAGTTCATCATTACAATTTCTGCCCGGCCGGGAACCGAACCCTGAACCTAAAATTTAAAGTATTTGACTAAGGAACAAATATGCGAGCATCAGAGGGCTTAGTGTGAGTTTACATCAAAGCGTAAAAAAGTGACATTACTCGTATATGTATGACGGATAGTACAGCGCCCCTAGCGGAAACTTTCAAGAAGTAAAATTTTCATACATTTTTTTAACGCGCTCCCTAGTGAGGACGTTTAACTTTGATGTGAACTCACACTAAAGCCATGTATTCATTAGGCAACATTTGTTGATAAACACTGTTTATAAACTGTTCATAAACAATGTTTCATCATCTCTGTAAACAGTTTATAAACAGTCCATAAACATAGGTGATGAAACATTGTTTATGATACATGTTGCCGTGCTCCCCGCTATGAGTGGAGAGCAAGTGTGGACGGCCAAGTTTCAGAAACCTGTTTATGGTAAACTTGTTTCACACTAGTCATAAACAGTTTATCAACAAATGTTGCCTAATGAATACATGGCTTAAAAGCCCTCTGGCCAACCCGTCTGGCCAGTGTGGGCAGTGTTGGCCAAATCCTCCATTTTCCAGTGTAGGTCAAACCCTACATTTCACAAGTATTTTGATGCTACAACTCTTAGTATGAGTTGCTACGGCCAATATTTGTTTGCTACGAGTGTTCTAGTACAAGTTGCTACCATTATTCTCAATGCTACGAAGAGTTGCTACGACTAATGTTTGTTTGCTACGAGTGTCTTTAATGCTACGACTCGTAGTATATTACAGTAGGTACTGCTACGAGCTCATTTATGTACTGAGATATTTAATTTTATTTTAGTTTGACAAATAATTATCTATTTTAATGTTATTTTTAAGTTTTTGCAACGCCTTCACTGGGCGTCACATGTTCAATATTATGTTCTTGTCAACCCTTACCCATGTGACATGCAATAAATAATTTGAATTTGAGATACTCTTAAGCCTAAGCATCTATGGAAGCCTGGTATCCTTTGCTGCCTTTGCGACTTTTAATTCGTAGTATGAGTCGCAGCTACGAGGCTACGGTACTGCTACGAGCACGTCTTGTGCTACGGATTCGTAGTACGACCCTACATAGTGCTAGATAGACGATCTCTTTAGCAACTATGGGCGCCTGGTACTTTTTGGACTGCTGTCTACGCTTTTACTATAATATCTCCAACTCCTGATGATGAAGTGACTCCTGGCGATGAAATCCAATATAATGGTCTGGTCATCTTGGCTGGCAGTCATCAGCAGCCTCTGTAAAACTGCTGGCTAAGCATCTATGAGAGCCTAGTACCTCTTGCTACTTCCTCCTATGAAGAGTGGAAGAAGTGCCACTTGGCCAGTCATTTAGGGCCTCCGTAGCTGAACCTGTGATGCCTCCTATGTACTTATGGAAGCCTAGTACCTCAAGCTATTCCTCACCTGGTCGTTGCTCTTGCAAGCGCCCACGCAAGCGCCAAACTTGACCGGCTTGGCGTCTCCCTCAGGAGCTTCCCAACAGCACCATTCCCGCTCGGAGCCTGACAGACCCTTGTCCCGGCGGGAGCGTGAGCCCGAGGCTGGCGCAGTGGGAATCAGCAGGGATACTCCGAAACGCTGGTTACGTATCAAGGCTATCTGTCACTGTCGCTCATGCTGGCATCTCGGTTTGCGTGAGAGGGATGGCAACATTAGACACTTTGAATAATGTGTTTTGGAATAAACCCGCGGTAGTTAGATCGTGCGGACTGACTACTCCTAAGCATCTATAGGAGCCTGGTACTTTTAGCTACTTCTACCAGCGCGACTCGTAGTATGAGTCGCAGCTACGAGGCTACGGCACTGCTACGAGCGCGCATTGTGCTACGGATTCGTAGCACATGCCTTCATAGTGCTTGATAGACTATCTCTTTTGCAACCATGGGCGCCTGGTACTTTTTCGACTGCTGTCTACGCTTTTACCAGAATATCTCCAACTCCTGATGATGAAGTGACTCCTGGCTATGAAATCCAATAATATGATGGTCTATTCTTCTAGGCTAGCAGTCATCTACTGCACCTCTGCATGCTACCTCCTAAGCACGTAAAGGAGCCTGGTACCTTTTGCTACTTCTCTCCTTTGAAGAGTGGAAGAAGTGTCATTTTACAGTCATCTAGTGCTACTGTAGCCAAACCTGTGATGCCTCCTGTGTACTCATAAGAGCCTAGTACTTCTAGCTCACCTGGTCATTGCTCTTGCAAGCGCCCGCCCACGCAAGCGCCAAACTTGACCGGCTTGGCGTCTCCCTCGGGAGCTCCCAGCAGCACCATTTTCCCGCTCGGAGCCTGACAGCCCCTTGTCCCGGCGGGAGCGCGAGCCCGAGGCTGGCGCAGTGGGAACCAGCAGGGCTACTCCGAAACGCTGGTTACGTATCGGGTCTATCTGTCACTGTCACTCATGCTACTGCGAGAGAGCGATAGAGACATTCGAAGCTTTGAAGTAACTCCGCGGTTGTGGTAGATGGTGCGGACTGACTACTCCTAAGTGTCTATAGGAGCCTGGTACTTTTAGCTACTTCTACCAGCGCGACTCGTAGTATGAGTCGCTGCTACGAGACTACGGTACTGCTACGAGCGCGCATTGTGCTACGAATTCGTAGCACGGTTTCGTAGTATGTAGTCATTACCCCCCATATAGTGCTTGGTAGGCGATCTCTTTAGCAACTATGGGCGCCTGGTACTTTTTAGAGCGCTGTCTACGCTTTTACCAGTATCTCCAACTTCTGATGATGAAGTGACTCCTAGCTATGAAAACCAATAATATGATGGTCTGGTCTTCTTGGCTGCCTGCTACCTCCTAAGCATCTATGGGAGCCTAGTACCTCTTGCTACTTCCTCCTATGAAGAGCGGAAGAAGTGTCACTTGGCAGTCATCTAGGGTCTCTGTAGCTAAACCTGTGATACCTCCTGTGTATTTCTGGGAGCCTAGTACTCTCACCTGGTCATTGCTCTTGCAAGCGCCCACACAAGCGCCAAACTTGACCGGCTTGGCGTCTCCCTCGGGAGCTCCCAACAGCACCATTCCCGCTCGGAGCCTGACAGACCCTTGTCCCGGCGGGAGCGCGAGCCCGAGGCTGGCGCAGTGGGAACCAGCAGGGCTACTCCGAAACGCTGGTTACGTATCGGGTCTATCTGTCACTGTCGCTCATGCTGGCAACTCGGTTTGCGTGAGAGGGATGGGTGCGTGACAGTTTATATAAGTTTATATGATATAAATTCATTTCAATAACGTTCATATTGTATAATAAACGTATGTTATAATAACACTTGATATAATTTTTTAACATATAATGTTTACTTCATAAAGTAAATCATTTCTAATAATATCATTTCAGATACCAATCACAACGCATAAAGACATTTGATATAAACCTTACTTAATCTAAGACTCATTTGATGTAATTTTGTTTAATATAAATATTATTTCACATAACCATTACTTCTAATAAATATTATTTGTTATACTCTTTAATTGATATAATTTCTGATAGATATAACTTTAAGTATGTTCTTTTTTAGCTTGACTTATAAATGACTTTAGTGACAAAAACGAATCGCCGTAAAACCGACTCCACGTAGTCTTGTCTGCCCTACCCCTAGAGTGTAATTTAGAAGCGCGTAGGCACGGAGGGGCGAGGCGGCCCGCGGGCTGAGGAGCAGGTGGCTGGAAGCGAGGCGTCGCGGCTGAGGCTGGCCGGCCAAGCCGGCCAGCAAGCCGAAGACGCGGTGTCGAGCGAAAGCCATCTGCGACGATTAGCACGCGAGGGACCGCCAGAGCCCCGCAGTGCCGGAGCCGTGACAGAAGTCTCAAGTTTTTAGTCAAATTTGCATGCTGCATGCCTGCATGCCTGCATGCCTGCTTGCTTGCTTGCTTGCTTGCTTGCCTGCTTGCATGCTTGCTTGCTTGCTTGCTTGCTTGCTTGCTTGCCTGCTTGCTTGCCTGCTTGCTAGCTTGCTTGCCTGCTTGCTAGCTTGCTTGCCTGCTTGCTTGCCTGCATGCCAGCTTGCTTGCTAGCTTGCTTGCTTGCTCGCTTGCTTGCTTGCTGCATGCAATGCTTATTATAACAAATGAACTTTATATAAAACTATTATTGTTATATGATTTAAGTTTTATAGGAAAATAATTTTATCTCATTTGATTGTTCGACATTTTATTTTTATATGATTTGAATGTTATTTGTTTTAAATAGTATACATTGTAAGTTTTATAGAAAATATTCATTATATCAAACCATTTTATATCAGTTAATAGTTATTTGTCTTAAAATTATTCGTTTTAAAATTATATTATTCGTTTATTATAGTAAATAATTATTATATTAAACGATTTTATATAATTTGATGTTATATCCTCTAAGTATTATATGATATGTAGTTATATCATACATTACACACCCGAGAGGGATGGCAACATTCGAAGCTTTGAAGTAACCCCGCGCTTGTGGTAGTCGATCGTGCGGAGTGACTACTCCTAAGCATCTATAGGAGCCTGGTACTTTTAGCTACTTCTACCAGCGCGACTCGTAGTATGAGTCGCTGCTACGATGCTACGGTACTGCTACGACCGCGCATTGTGCTACGGATTCGTAGTACGACCTTACATAGTGCTAGTTAGAAGACCTCTATAGCAACTATGGGCGCCTGGTACTTTTTGGATTGCTGTCTACGCTTTTACCAGAATATCTCCAACTCCTGAGGGTCTATGAAGTCCATGATGGTGATGATGGTCTGGTCTTCTTGGCTGGCAGTCTCTGTACAACTGCTTGCTACCTCCTAAGCATCTATGGGAGCCTGGTACCTGTTGCTGCTTCTCTGCTAGAAATTGTCACTTGGGGATGTCCTTAGTGTCTCTGCAGCTAAACCTGTGATGCCTCCTGTGTACTATCGGGGACTCTTCCGCCTGACCACTTTGTAGAAATTTTAGCGTAAGCGCATCGCTCCGGTCACGTGCTCACCCCGTCTCTAATTGGTCACGCATTTTACTATATTTTTACTACGACCAATAAGAGACAATCAGGGCTTAGGTTGCAATACGAAATACCATTGTGCACTTTATTGTCATAGGGTTAAGGTTTAAAACGAAATGTTTCTTTTTCTTCAATCTTTCTTAGTTTTAGGCTGAGTTGCACCATCTAACTTTGACCGTAACTATAACGGTAACCGGTGCTTTTTGTATGGAGTTTGACAGAATTTTGACGTTTGTTAAAGTCAAAGTAAGATGGTGCAACTGAGCCTTAGAATTTTAATAATAGAATTTGGTTACAAACAAATAGATATGTATTTTTTTTAATATTGTGTTTTTATACGAGGTCTGTCTGCTTTTATAGCCAGATCTTACAATAATTGTTTTTAAGCCACAAATATTCCTTAACTCTTTACTAATTAATTCAATAACATATTGTTTTAAATTATTAGTTCCGAATAAATTAAATACCTATTAAATAAGTAAAATTCGAAAGTAATTGTATGATTTTGTATTTCTCGCCCTAACTAGCTAAACTAATATCATGAGATTTACACTCATAATATCAACAATAATTGTAGAAAGGGCTACTTTTTTCTCGGGAAATTGCATAGTTACCTCGGAATGTGCGATAGCAATTTTGTGACCCGAGCGGGCAATCGCTAGTTCAAATTTTACACGAAGCCTCATATAATATTTTGTAGCGATTCTTAATTGGGTTTCAAATTGACTAAAATGCGACGTTGCCAAACGAGCGCTCCGGATGCGGGTAATAAGCAATACTCAATCCTAAGTGCTTTACATAGAGCTTGGTTTGCTAGGGCAAACATCTACAGTGGTGCGCCGACGCTGCTTAGACTCGAAATATGAATGAACGGGGGCGGAGCAAAATCGAGCGTGTGTGTGCAAACAATTTAGGCCCTTAAGGTGTCAAGGCGTTCGAGTCCCCGATAGTACCTATGGGAGCCTAGTACACACCTGATCATTGCTCTTGCAAGCGCCAACACAAGCGCCAAACTTGACCGGCTTGGCGTCTCCCTCGGGAGCTCCCAACAGCACCATTCCCGCTCGGAGCCTGACAGACCCTTGTCCCGGCGGGGCGCGAGCCCGAGGCTGGCGCAGTGGGAACCAGCAGGGCTACTCCGAAACGCTGGTTATGTATCGGGTTTATCTGTCACTGTCGCTCATGCTGGTATCTCGGTTTGCGTGAGAGGGATGGCAACATTCGAAGCTTTGAAGTAACCCCGCGCTTGTGGTAGTCGAATCTATAGTAGGAGCCTGGTACTTTTAGCTACTTCTACCAGCGCGACTCGTAGTATGAGTCGCTGCTACGATGCTACGGTACTGCTACGAGCGCGCATTGTACTATGGATTCGTAGCACATGCCTTCATAGTGCTTGATAGACGATCTCTTTAGCAACTATGGGCGCCTGGTACTTTGCGGAGTGCTGTCTACGTTTTTACCAGAATATCTCCCACTCCTGATGATGAAGTGACTCTTGACTATGAAATCCAATACGATGGTCTGGTCTTCTTGGCTGCCTGCTACCTAGTACCTCTTGCTACTTCTCTCCTTTGAAGAGTGGAATAAGTGTCATTTTACAGAGTCCATCTAGTGCTTCTGTAGCCAAACCTGTGATGCCTCCTATGTACTTATGGGAGCCTAGTACCTCTAGCTACTAATTACCTGATCATTGCTCTTGCAAGCGCCCACGCAAGCGCCAAACTTGACCGGCTTGGCGTCTCCCTCGGGAGCTCCCAACAGCACCATTCCCGCTCGGAGCCTGACAGCCCCTTGTCCCGGCGGGAGCGCGAGCCCGAGGCTGGCGCAGTGGGAACCAGCAAAACCACTCCGAAACGCTGGTTATGTATCGGGTCTATCTGTCACTGTCACTCATGCTACTGCGAGAGAGCGATAGAAACATTCGAAGCTTTGGAGAAACCCCGCGGTAGTTAGATCGTGCGAACTTATATACTCCTTAGCATCTATGGGAGCCTGGTACTTTTAGCTACTTCTACCAGCGCGACTCGTAGTATGAGTCGCTGCTACGAGACTACGGTACTGCTACGAGCGCGCATTGTGCTACGAATTCGTAGCACGGTTTCGTAGTATGTAGTCATTACCCCCCATATAGTGCTTGGTAGGCGATCTCTTTAGCAACTATGGGCGCCTGGTACTTTTTAGAGCGCTGTCTACGCTTTTACCAGAATATCTCCAACTTCTGATGATGAAGTGACTCCTGGCTATGAAAACCAATATGATGGTCTGGTCTTCTTGGCTGGCAGTCATCAGCTGCCTCTGTAAAACTGCTGGCTTAGCATCTATGAGAGCCTAGTACCTCTAGCTACTTCTCTCCTTTGAAAAGTGGAAGAAGTGTCACTTGGCAGTCATCTAGGGCTTCTATAGCTGAAGCTGTGAAACCTCCTATGTACCTCTGGGAGCCTAGTACCTCTCACCTGGTCATTGCTCTTGCAAGCGCCCACGCAAGCGCCAAACTTGACCGGCTTGGCGTCTCCCTCGGGAGCTCCCAACAGCACCATTCCCGCTCGCAGCCTGACAGACCCTTGTCCCGGCGGGAGCGCGAGCCCGAGGCTGGCACAATGTCCCGCTCGCACGCCACCGCAACGAGCGCGGTTGCGGTAGATTGTGCGGACTGATATCTGACGGAACTCGCCCGTTTCGAATGGACCTGGGGAAAAATAAAGAGGAATAAGTATCTTATTTGCTCTCACCAGTTGTGGAGTAAGGTCCTGTCACTTGCTAGTGTCACACACTGGTAAGTGCTGAAGCGGTGACTATAGATGACCCACGCTGAACTGTCCCACCAAAATCAATGACAGGGGGGCGCTACCATCGTTCTACTATATGGTTTCCAACATGGCAAAAATCGGAAGCAGCGATCCGGTATTGACGGTGGCGCCCCACTGTCAATGTCATGGATAGGACAGTTCATCATCATGTTGTTATAGATGACCCATGCTGAACTGTCCCGCCAAACTCAATGACAGGGGGGCGCTACCATCGTTCAACTATATGGTTTCCAACATGGCAAAAATCTGAACCAGCGATCCGGTATTGACGGTGGCGCCCCACTGTCAATGTCATCGACAGGACAGTCCAGTATTTTGGAACTATAGGATTTTGGAACACACACATCACATTTGATTTCACCAGAAAGGCGCCCTTGTAGAGAAAGGTCTTGTCACTCGCTAGTGGCGCCAACTGTGAAGGAGGAGTGGAGGACTATCCACCAGTGAATATGTATTTTATTTTAATTTATCCAACATGAAATCACTCACTTTCTGAGCAGACTTAAAGACACTTTTTGTGTTAAGTTGCTTCCACTTGACACTAGAATAACTCTATTTTCTTCTATGATGGTGTGTCGGTAACCAAGTTTGTTTGCGTGAGCGCGTTAAAATAATGTATATAGATGACCCACGCTGAACTGTCCCGCCAAACTCAATGACAGAGGGGCGCTACCATCGTTCAACTATATGGTTTCCAACATGGCAAAAATCTGAACCAGCGATCCGGTATTGACGGTGGCGCCCCACTGTCAATGTCATCGACAGGACAGTCCAGTATTTTGGAACTATATATAAACATTTTTGTTTTTGAAAGTTTCCCGCTAAGGGCGCTGTACAATCCGTCATACATTTAATGTCATTTTTTGACGGAGCGCGTTTGTAAAAAACTCACACTAGGCCCCCTGACCACCAACTACTAAGCGAGCAATCGTTTACTTTAGCGTATAAAACGCCTGTTTGGATTAGGATAGAGAAAGCCGGCAGATAAAATAATAACGAACTTTTTGTGTTAGGGAATGTTATAGTTGCACTTATGTCACTCTTCGATGCTGAGACCACGTCTCATGGACATTGGACCTGTAATGGGAATTGATGTGGGGTATAGGATATAAGATTCGATCGATCCACCAATCGATCAACGTGGAAAGCATTAGGGGAGGCCTATGTTCAGCAGTGGACGTCCTATGGCTGAAATGATGATGATGATAGGATATAAGTAGTAGTGTAAGTGTAGCGTCACTCACCGATGATGAGGCGATCGCCTTCGTACAGTTGTCCTCGCGTCATAAGTCCACCTACAACTGGCCCCGCTGTATCCCCCACGTGGAAAATCTCGTCGATTTGGAACTCGCAGCTTTCCTGAAACAACATTGTTATGCTAAATCCGAATGAATTATCCCCCAATCAGCACCGCCCAAGAGGGATACCCCTCCCCCTCCCCCCATAAAAGGTCTCTAACCCCTCCTAAGTAACCAAGTCACATGTTAGCTATCGTGTTCGTTCTCAAATATTTGCCATTTCATCGTCTCATACGTCTCGCGACCGCTAATTAGTGACCGACCGAATATTCGTTTTCGTTTTCGTTTTCGGCCATTTTCGGCCAAAAAATGGACATTCGGCCATATTTTCGTTTTCGGCCAAAAACCAGCCGAAGCTTCGGCCAAACCGAATATCAAAAATACGTGAATAAGATGGTGACGTTTATTGTTCCGATATCTTCGGGAGTGAATCTGGTGCACTCATGGTTCCAATCAGACTTGAACGGACGCGGTATTGTCACACTCTTTTGAAGTTGTGAAGTGAGGTTACGTTGTAAAGGGTGTCCAGCGACAATTTTCCAAGTTCAAAATTGAATACAATAAACTCAAAGAGTTTTCATTAAGTTTAATTGTTTCAAAATAGAGTCTTATGCGGATTTGAAATACGCCATGAGTCACTGGTTGGGAGCCTACAGAGCGTTCGCAGTTGAGCAATAAGTATTTGAAATGTATTGTCGAATGATCGATGAATGTCTTATACCACAACTGCAACTGCATCCCGGTCAACTACGTAACTCTATTTCAGCAAGAAGGTGTCTCACCACACAGGGAGAGTACCTCGATGGAGACACTGAGGACTATTTTTTTTTTCAAATAAATGATCAGCAAGTACAGGGACATACCCTAGCCGCCTCGGTCACCAGATTTCACACCATGCGACTTTTTCTTGTGGGGATATCTCAAGTCAAAAGTTTACAGCAAACAATCCTTAAATAATTCAGATTCTGTAAGAAAATATCCGCCGTGAAGTTGCAGGAAAATTATTAGCGCGATTTGCTCTCGCATAGTTGCGAATGTAATGGTCCGGCTGTGAGAGTGCCTATAGTAAAACGGGCATCATTTAAAAGACATTGCCTATAAAAAAATTAATCCACATTGTTAAACTCCAGTTTGCATTAGTAATAAAAAATCATTAATTTATTTGTATTCATTTTTGAAGTTAAAAAATTCCCACTGGACACCCTTTATTTCTTCTTCACTTCCCAATATTTCAATATACACCGGAAATAATATTCTACTAAGAATTCATGATTAATATTTTTGTGTTTTAATGCCGGTTTTCTATAATCAATCTTTGAAAATCAACTGTCAAACGTCATTATGTTTTTGGTCAAAACATTAACGATTTTCAAAGTTTTTACATAATTTCAGATTGAAATTTGAGAGTTGAAGGTCATTTTCGTTTTCGTTTTCGTTTTCGGCCGAAAATGAGACTGCAGCCGAAGCTTCGTTTTCGTTTCCGTTTTCGGCTGAAAATCCATATTCGGTCGGACACTACCGCTAATTCGTCATCCGCAGTTCGATATGTAGACAGAGAACTATCAATCGAATAGCTGTAGAATAGCATTGGTCCATTCACGTGTAAAGAGGTGTGTCTCCTTGCAAGAGAGACAGAAAAAACTTGTCAGTCCTACAACGCAAGATGTCAGCGTATACAGACATGTCAAATACTAAACCGCACCACACTGACAGGAGGGCGTCACCATCAATACTAGATTATTACTTCCGATTTTTGCTACGTGAAACAACCATAAAATATAATTATGACATTTGTAGGAGGGCGCTTCTATCAATTCTGACCCATCCCTTTCGACTTCTGCCACTTGACATTTCAGAATTCTTTGACTATACAATCATTGCTTGTGTTAACTCTCTTTGTCGACCTAAACTTAAATACAACTTACGTGTAGCGCGGTGTGCCTAGCATTCGGCGGCTGTAGCGCTAGTAGGTAAGCGTGTAGCGCATTGAGACCGCTCCCACGCACGCACGATACGGGAAACACGCACACCCTTTCTAGAGGTGATCTGTGGACAAATAACATGTTAATAAAGTAGACAAATAACTGCATTATTTAGTTATTACAATAGGACAAAAGCAGTCCACAGATATGTGACAAGATATTTGTCAACATGTTTGCAAAGCACTTTGCAAATACCCGTACACAGTTAAAATGATTGAAAAATTTTGATAAATATTTGCAAATGCACACTTATAGTTATTGTGCATCCATAAAAACTGCTGAAGAATGAAGACTAAAGAACTGAATCCTGTCGCTTATTCATATCCGGCTCGAAGGACTATTCATAACGTAATGAGGCTAATAACATAGACAAGACGCACTCCTCCTCCTTTTGCACGGGCGCCCCATCCTCCCCGTTGTCTATGGTGTCCAGTATCAAGTGCGCGCTAAGTTCTCTATTCCAATGACATAGACTATAGACAAAAAGTAATAACATAGACAAAACTCACTCCTCCTCCTTTTGCACGGGCGCCCCATCCTCCCCGTTGTCTATGGTGTCCAGTATCAAGTTCTGTGGCGCCACGCAGTTCCGCGCTAAGTTCTCATCAGTGATCAGGAATGGTTTCTGGGAAAGAGAGAGACAAATACAATAACCAAAAACTTATAGGACACGGAACACCTGGAACAGTCTGTTCTATACAGAGCCCCTATTACGTTCCTAGAACTCCTCAAGTAGTATGGAAGCCTGGTACTTTGTGCCATCCTTGGTACCTTCTCCCTAACTTCTCGACTAGTATGAGAGCCTGGTACTTTTGAGACATTAGTGCAGCGCCAGTAAGGAGCCCTAGGGCTCCACTGTTACAAGCTCACCTAGTATTGTGCCTATACAGTACGAGTATACCCTTGGTAGCTATTGACCATGTTCCTAGAATACCTCGAGTAGTATGGGAGCCTGGTACTTTTGTGGACACCTGTCACCTACTAATGTTGTGACGCGCCCTGCGACGCATCGACAGCCCTAGCACCGAGCGCGGAGATTTTGACAACCCTACGGCTGCGCGGCCGCACGCCGCACGGACCGAGTTAATATAAGAGACGGCGGCGACCGCGGGCGCCTAGCATTCGCTCGGGAGCCATCGTAACAGCCAGACGATCGCGCGCGCGTCTACGGCTAATTACGCAAGAGTCCCTAGCGAATAGCTACCCTCACTGTTCCCACTAACCTGGCTCGATAGGACTTTCGGCTCGCGCGGTTTCCGTGACACGAGCGAACCATCGTTGCCTGTATACACATTCCAATCCTTACCGAGTGCATGCTTTACTCAATCCCGACCTGCGGTAGCAATCCCGCTGCCACCCTTCCTGGATTCCTCCCCACTCGCCACGTAGGTCCCAAGCCTTTTTACCTTTGGTACTCGAACCCCCACTTCGTTGACCTCGGTTACCGATTTGGTGAGCGGACCATCCTACCCCCCTAGTTTATAAGTATCCAAACTAACACTTGCTAAACCTCGCACAGGGCGCCGCCCCTCTCGCGGATACGTAAACTAGTCTCGGGACGCGAACCGGGCGCGTCGCTATCCCTCTTGTTTGTGACGCGCCCTGCGACGCATCGACAGCCCTAGCACCGAGCGCGGAGATTTTGACAACCCTACGGCTGCGCGGCCGCACGCCGCACGGACCGAGTTAATATAAGAGACGGCGGCGACCGCGGGCGCCTAGCATTCGCTCGGGAGCCATCGTAACAGCCAGACGATCGCGCGCGCGTCTACGGCTAATTACGCAAGAGTCCCTAGCGAATAGCTACCCTCACTGTTCCCACTAACCTGGCTCGATAGGACTTTCGGCTCGCGCGGTTTCCGTGACACGAGCGAACCATCGTTGCCTGTATACACATTCCAATCCTTACCGAGTGCATGCTTTACTCAATCCCGACCTGCGGTAGCAATCCCGCTGCCACCCTTCCTGGATTCCTCCCCACTCGCCACGTAGGTCCCAAGCCTTTTTACCTTTGGTACTCGAACCCCCACTTCGTTGACCTCGGTTACCGATTTGGTGAGCGGACCATCCTACCCCCCTAGTTTATAAGTATCCAAACTAACACTTGCTAAACCTCGCACAGGGCGCCGCCCCTCTCGCGGATACGTAAACTAGTCTCGGGACGCGAACCGGGCGCGTCGCTATCCCTCTTGTCATAGTAGATTTGCAATTGTGGAATAACTTGTTCATTATTTAAATAATAGTAATTTAGAGTCAGTGAAACTAGAATAAGTAAACTATTGTGGAACCTGAGTGCCATTGTGTTATTGATTGTGCGTTTCCTTGGTCAAATATCCCTGTACACATCCCTCATCGCAGAAGGCGAACTGGGACTTAGTACTAAACAGCGGGGTGTCAGACTGAGCTAGCTAAGACGCCCCGTTGCAATGTCAAGCACCAGAAGGAGCCCTAGGGCTCCTGTGTGATCAGAGTGACGCCGGCTGGTCTTTCAGCAGATCAAGGAAAGACACCAGAGTTCTTCCAAAGAACTCCTCGAGTAGTATGGGAGCCTGGTACTTCTGATACATTCAAGTGATAGTAGGAGCCCTAGGGCTCCTCTGTTACAAAGGTAACACCGGCTGATCTGTCTTTTTGTCTCTCTCGTGTCTTTTTGGGTCTGCCCCCCCCCCCCCTTTTTTATCTGCTCCACCGCAATAAACCCCCTTAACCAATCCCTTTTTTTTACCTTGCCATGTGGTCTGAGCAGCTCGGCCAATCGTCGCAGCGCGGGCTGCACGCCGGCCGCGGCGATGTCGCACTTGGAGACGACCGCGAAGAAAGGCAGGTCCAGCGCGAGCAGGAGCCCTAGGTGCTCCTCTGTTATGCGGGTGACAGCCTATACTGTACTGCACAGAATTCTTACTAGATTTTGAGAACTCCTCGAGTAGTATGGGAGCCTAGTACTTATGTGACTTACAGTATACCCTTGGTAGCTTTTAAGTAAGATTCCGAGAACTCCTTGTGTAGTATGGGAGCCTGGTACTTCTGACACATTAGTCAGTGTCAGTAGGAGCCCTAGGGCTCCTCTGTGACCAGAGTGACGCCGGCTGGTCTTTCAGCAGATCTTGATCTGCTGAAAGACTCAGATGTCTTTCCTTGGAAAGACATCTGAGTTCTTCAAAAGAACTCCTTGTGTAGTATGGGAGCCTGGTACTTTTGAGATATTAGTCAAGCGCCAGAAGGAGCCCTAGGGCTCCTCTGATACAAGGGTGACGCCGACTGGTCTGTCAGCAGATCAAGGAAAGACAACTGAGTTCTTCCAAAGAACTCCTCGAGAATATGAGAGCCTGGTACTTCTGATACATTACTCAAGTGATAGTAGGAGCCCTAGGGCTCCTAGGTGACACCGGCTGATCTGTCTTTTTTTGTCTCTCGTGTCTTTTTGGGTCTGCCCCCCTCAAATAACCCCCCTTTTTACCTTCCCGTGTGGTCTGAGCAGCTCGGCCAACCGTCGCAGCGCGGGCTGCACGCCGGCCGCGGCGATGTCGCACTTGGAGACGACGGCGAAGAAAGGCAGGTCCAGCGCTAGCAGGAGCCCTAGGTGCTCCTCTGTTATGCGGGTGATACCGGCTGTGGCTGATATCTGGAACAATTTCAAAGGCTAATTAATTCCATCACCGTTGGACCAGGCGCAGGTGATTTAGGTCATAGGCAGGCCGACATTATCGACATTCCACCAGCTCGCACTAAGGTGGGTTGCTCTATTTTACTTTAACTTTAACAAACGTCAAAAGTATGTCAAACTCCATACAAAAAACACCGGTTATATTATAGTCACGGTCAAAATAAGATAGTACAACTCGGCCTAAGTGTGTCACTAACTATAAACAAAATACCTGCCTTGTTATGCAGAAAATAAAATCGTTGTCAAACTTCAATGAGGGCTATCGTTTTTATAGCCTGACCAGGAACATAAAAACCCTGGCATAGAGGCGCGTCAATTGCATTTGATAGTGCAACACTGAGTACAGTCGTACCTGTGTTAAATTAATAGGCTAACTTTATGTATCAAGATTCAGGATTACGGGCTAATTTGATATTTTCATAAATTAACGAAAAAATATTATTATAGGTAACCTGGTTTAAATAAATTAAATGAAACCTTCAATCGAGCTAGTAGGATTTATTTTATTATTCATCAATAATCAAATTCAGAACTTGAATATTCAACTGCAATGTCTGCTCATGAACGCTTCAAACTCGGTACTTCTTTCCCAATTCCATAAAATTCAACACTTAGAAAGTGATAAAAATCTTCAAAATAGGTAGTTGAAACAAACCACAGCTAATTTTCATAGTGGACTGTACTATACGATAAACATGTCAGTCAATTTGACAACCTTTGTCGGAAACATTATTCAATGAAAATATTGTCCGAACTCTTAGTATTTCTCTTCGACAAATACATACTTTAACACATTGTGAACCACTTTTCTTTCACGACTATAAAAAGATTTTAGCAATTTAATTCACAAAATCAATTGCGCACATTTAAAATAAAGTTTGTTTACACTTTGACAGCAATAGACTGACATGCAAGGTGACATGTCAATGAAGTTTTCAGTTACTGTTGCCATTAAAAGAAATTAGTACCATTAGTTTTCCGCAACATGGCGAGGGTTTTTATGTTCCTGGTCGGGCTATAACAGTTGGCACCCCTGGCGATTGACAGGACCTTACTCTACAGTGGCGCCATCTTGATGAGTGCAAATGCGATAGTCCTCCTACCACTTAGCGCTCACCAGTTGGTGCCACTGTCATCGCTACTAGCAAGTGACAGGACCTTACTCTACAGTGGCGCTAACTGGTGAGCGCTAAAACGATAGCCCTCATTGGCAGTGGGCGGGGCACATGACTAGTAGCTACCACGGAGGAGAAAACGCAATGCAAGCTTCTCTCGGTGGACCGACGATTTAGTTAAGACCACGGGAAGCGCCCGAATGAGGCAGCACAGGAGAACTCTGAGTGAGGCCTTTGTCCAGCACAGTTACATTATTGGACCCGGATTTGCGTGAGAGCTTAACCTCTTCGAGGCTTATGGACGACTGGTACTTTCATACCGTTATTAGACACTTTAGGACCTAGAATTCTAGTCTAGACTTACCAGCAGCATTGCCCAATGTGGACAGTACCCAGACAGGCCGTGTGTGTAGTGTCGTCCGCTGGTACTTGCTGTGTCCTGCTAAATCCAGGAAAGACACCAGCTTGGCAGATCTCTCACTACTTTACCCAGAATTCCTCTAGTCTTATGATCGCCTGGTACTTATCTAACATTATTTAATGTATTGGATCTGGATTTGCGTGTCTCTTGTGTTTAAACTCTTCCAAGCTTATGGACGCCTGGTACTGTCGTCCCCTTATAAGACACTTAGGACCTAGATTGCCTGTTTTTTTACCTAGATTCTTTGCCTAGACTTACCAGCAGCATGGCCCAGTGAGGACAGTATCCAGACAGGCCGTGTAGCGTCATCCGCTGTTACTTTAAACTCTCCTAGGCTTAGTATTGCCTGTTTTTGGACCTAGATTCGTTGTCTAGACTTACCAGCAGCATGGCCCAATGTGGACAGTACCCAGACAGCCCGTGTAGCGTAGTCCGCTGATACTTGCTGTGTCCCGCTAGATCCAAGAAAGACACCAGCTTAGCTGATCTCTCACTACTTTATTCAGAACTCCTATAAGTGTTATGGGCGCCTGGTACTTACCCAACATTAACTAATGTATTGCACCTGTAGCGTAGTCCGCTGATATTTGCTGTGTCCCGCTAGATCCAGGAAAGAAACCAACTCCTTTACTCTAGAACTCCTCTAGTCTTATGGGAGCCTGGTACTTTTGAAACATCAGTTGTGATTTGCGCGTCTCTTGTGTTTCACTCTTCCAAGCTTATGGACGCCTAGTACTTTCATCCCCTTATAAGACACTTTGGACCTAGGTTGCCTGTTTTTTTACCTAGATTCTGTGTCTAGACTTACCAGCAGTATGGCCCAGTGGGGACAGTACCCAGACAGGCCGTGTAGCGTCGTCCGCTGATATTTGCTGTGTCCTGCTAGATCCAGGAAAGAAACCAACTCCTTTGCTCTAGAACTCCTCTAGCCTTATGGGCGCCTGGTACTTATCTAACATTAGTTAATGTTTAAACTCTTCCAGGCTTATGGACGCCTGGTACTGTCATACCCTTAGGACCTAGATTTTTTGCCTAGACTATTTGTCTAGACTTACCAGCAGCATGGCCCAGTATCCAGACAAACCGTGTAGCGTCGTCCGCTGTTACTTTAAACTCTCCTAGGCTTATGGACGCCTGGTGCTTTCGTCCCCTTATGGACCTAGGTTGCCTGTTTTTTTACCTAGATTCTGTGTCTAGACTTACCAGCAGCATGGCCCAATGTGGACAGTACCCAGACAGGCCGTGTAGCGTAGTCCGCTGATATTTGCTGTGTCCCGCTAGATCCAGGAAACACCAGCTCCTTTACTCTAGAACTCCTCTAGTCTTATGGGCGCCTGGTACATACCCAACATTAGTTAATGAATTGGACCTGGATTTGCAAGTCTCTTGTGTTTAAACTCTTCCAGGCTTATGAGCGCCTGGTACTTCCATAACCTTAGGACCTATATTGCCTGTTTTTTACCTAGATTCTGTGTCTAGACTTACCAGCAGGCCGTGTAGCGTCGTCCGCTGGTACTTGCTGTATCCCACTAGATCCAGGAAACACCAGCTCCTTTACTCTAGAACTCCTCTAGTCTTATGGGCGCCTGGTACTTATCTAACATTAGTTAGTATCTGGATTTGCGTGTCTCTTGTTTTAAACTCTTCCAGTCTTATGGGCGCCTGGTACTTCCATAACCTTAGGACCTAGATTGCCTGTTTTTACCTAGATTTTGTGTCTAGACTTACCAGCAGCATGGCCCAATGTGGACAGTACCCAGACAGCCCGTGTAGCGTAGTCCGCTGATACTTGCTGTGTCCTGCTAGATCCAGGAAAGACACCAGCTTGGCAGATCTCTCGCCAATACGCTCCGCTGTCATCAGTTCCGAACATCCGTAGTTCACCACGTTACCCTGTTATTGAGAAAAAACTTTTAAAAAGTGTAACCCAACTGAAAAAGAACTAAAGGTAGGTAGTTTAATTTAAAAACCCCAACGCAAAAAGATCTACGAAAGTTTAAAAAGCAGAGAATAAGGTTGCTATAGGTCTAGCGCTTAACTTAGTCAGTGCTTGCGATAGGGGAGCGGCATGGGAGGGTGTTTCAGGGTCGTCAAACGTCAGCGAGACTTCAGAATTGTATGCTTTGTCACGTCATAATATGTCAATGTCAACCCTCCCGTGCCGCTCCCATACTTTAACTCGGGCACTGACTGTGTTAAACGCTAGACCTATAGCAAACCTTAGTTTTTCTTTTAATTTTTTTTTTGCAAAAGGTTGATAATTAAACTTGACCTTCACTGGTTGCGTTATTGGCGGTCAAGCTGTAGATCCTGGCTACACAGGAGTTGCAGGTAAGAATCATCATCATCATCTTCATTTCAGCCACAGGACGTCCACTGCTGAACATAGGCCTCCCCCAATGCTTCCCATATTGCCGGTTGGTAGCGGCCTGCGTCCAGCGCCTTCCTGCTACCTTAGCAGGTGGGAACGAGAGGTGGGAATAGTACCGTTTGTTGTCTCACCTGAGCATCGAAGCCGAGTATCTCGTGGCTAAGTGAAGAAGTGCGACCGCTCTTAACTTCATGCAAGTGCCGGAACATGTTCAGACGAGCACTGCCTCGGCCGTTGTCCAATTCACCTGATTAAGAAGAAATAATTACATAAAACAAGTTCAAAATTAGGCTAGTTACTAGTCTGGTCTGCGAGCACGTAGAATTTTGTCCAATGAACCCAAGCTACCCATCCTTATCGCTCGCACGTACTAATTATGTTGCTATCGCGCTCGCACACTCACTGCGGGCGCCCGTCGCACAGTCGCGACAGCAATATAATTCCGCGCGAGCGATAAGGATGGGTAGCTTGGGGGGATTACTAATGTTTGGCCAAAAAACGTTTCCCAAATTATCACATCGCAAACAACGTTTCGCAAATTTTCATTTGGCAAAACAACTTATTGCAAACTTTTAATTCGCAAATGTCGTTTTTGGCATATTATTGTTTAGCAAATTATTGTTTGGCAAAGTATGTTTTGCCAAATGTTTCATTTGGCAAAAATACTTCACGATAAACTATTTACAAAACAATTTGATTGGTGCATAGAATGGAATACAAATTAGCTTGTGGTTATTATTTTGTTTAGTGGGTAGTTAATATAATTTTTTTTCTAAATAAATTTTCACATTTCATTCTTTTTATCGAAATTTCCAAATGATTCATTAACAATAGAGATGATTCTAGCGCTCGGCGGCCGCTGCCGCGGCACGCTTCGCTCGCCTTCGCGCATTAAGGGTCACTGTTCTAACCTAACCTAACCTACTATTTTCTACAATACCTACTTTTTGCAACCATACTATTTTCTGCAATCTCTCTGTTTTACATAAAATTATTGTGAAAACCATGACCACGTGCCTTATGCTTTGATTTGTAGGTAACGGTGGGTACTCGTAAGTATGTGAAGTGTCAATTTGACCAAGCAAATTATTTGGGATATAATATTTGGCAAAATAAAACATTTGCTATATAAACATTTGCCAAGTAAAATTTGGCCAAATGTTAATTTGACCAAATGAATTAGTTGCGAAAAGTACAGTTGCTAAAAGTTTATTTGGGAAATGAAACTTTGGCGATAAGTTGTTTGCGAAGTGAAATTTGGCGAAAAGTAATTTGGCCAAACGGAAGGATACCAGCTTGGGGTCATTGGACAAAATTCTACGTGCTTACAGACCGGGCTAGCATGACACAAAAGAAAACATCGAAAAGGCGCACGTATCTAAGATTTTTTTAGCAGCCCTGAAAACCCTGAAAAGCAGAAAAAATAGCAAAATTTTGGTACTTAATACACACAATTTATAATTTGCTCTAATTTTGAAGCTGAAGTGGCAATGGGCAGGGCATATAGTACGCAGAACTGACGGCCGATGGGGCAGCAAGGTTCTGGAGTAGAGGCCACTTGCTTGCAAGGACGTTTACCCCAAAAATGCACAATTGACCTCATAAAGATAGCAGGAAAACGCTGGATGCAGGCCGCTACCAACTGGTCATTATGGAAATCATTGGGGGAGGCCTATGTTCAGCAGTGGACGTCCTGTGGCTGAAATGATGATGATGATGATGATTAGCTCACCCTGAGTTAGCACTCCTACGAGGGTGGACTTGCCGGCTTCGTTCGCTCCCATTACTGCTACTCTTAGTTCCACGCTTTGTTGTGTGTCCGCTAGCTGCAATAAACATTCATTTATTTATTTATTTTTTTATTTATCTTTATTAAAGAAACATACAGCCTTGTTTGACACATGCAGCTTAAAATTAAGTGGGTTTATACATTGGCCTTTAAAGTTTCTAAAGCTAGGTTGTACAGTCAAAGTTGAAAAGGAGACAGATGTGTAGCATAATTTATGCATGCAAAAGAAAATATTAACATTAAAACATTATAAAAAATTAACATGGATACGCTAAAGATCAAGTAGATTGAAGGAGACGACGAAACTTCACAATTCGTTCATGAAAGATGTCTAAATGACAAAATGCTGTATTATATTTGTTAGTGTCATAATATTATTGACATCTTTTTTTTATTGGTTACAACTTCTTGTTGCTGGAATTGCTAGTATAAATTTTAATACAAAAACCGAGAAGCGGAGAAGTGGAGCATTGAAGCGGAGCGTCCAAAAAAACTCGTGGGCCAGCTCTGAGAAACATAGTTCACAACTCTGCTCCACATATCTTCTCCGCTTCCTAGATCCGCCACCTGTCTCCGCTCCGGCACCCACCTCCGTTCCGCTAACCTCCGCTCCACTCCGCTAGTCTCCGTTCCATTACTGTCACGACTCCGGCACCCGCCTCCGTTCCGCTTTGTAACCTAGCTACTTTCTCCACTCCGCTCCACCACCTGTCTCCGCTCCGCTACCTAGCTACTGTCTCCGCTCCACCACCGGTCTCGTCTCAGTTATTGTTGCCACTCCGTTTGTTTTTCGCTTCACTGCTATCTCCGCTCCGCTACCTGTCTCCGCTCCGCTATCTAGCTACTTTCTCCGCTCCACCACCTGTCTCCGATCCGCTATCTAGTTACTTTCTCCGCTCCGCCACCAGTCTGCACTCCGCTATCTAGTAACTTTCTCCGCTCCGCTCCTATCTCCGCCACCAGTCTCCACTCCGCTACCTAGCTACTGTCTCCGCTCCGCTACCTATCTACTGTCTCCGCTCCGCTATATAGCTACTTTCTCCGCTCCACTCCGCTACCTAGCTACTCCCTCCACTCCACTATCTAGTTACTTCTCCACTCCGTCACCCGTCTCCGTTCCGCAACTTAGCTACTCTCTCCACTCTGCTACCTGTCTCTACTCCGCATTCTAGTTACTGTCTCCGCTCCACTCCTATCTCCGCCACCTCTCTCCGCTCCGCTATCTCGTTACTTTCTTCACTCCGCTCCTGTCTCCGCCCCGCAATTTAATTACTCTCTCCGCTCCGTTACCTAGCTACTGTCTCCGCTCCGCTATCTAGTTACTTTCTCCACTCCGCCCCTATCTCCGCCACCTGTCTCCGCTCCGCTCAAGTGTCTCCGCTCCGCTACCTAGCTCCTGTCTCCGCTCCGCTAGCCTCCGCTGCACTCTAGTATTTCCACTCCGCTCTAGTGTCTCCACTCCGCCACCAGTCTCCGTTCCGCTATCTAGTAACTTTCTCCGCTCCGCTATCTCCGCTCTGCTCAAGTGTCTCCGCCACGCTACCTAGCCACTGTCTCCGCTCCGCTAGCCTCCGCTCCACTCTAGTATTTCCGCTCCGCTCTAGTGTCTCCGCTCCGCTCTAGTGTCTCCGCTCCGCTCCGCTCTAGTGTCTCCACTCCGCCACTTGTCTCCGCTCCGCTACCTAGCTACTGTCTCCGCTCCGCTCAAATGTCTCCGCTCCGCTACCTAGCTACTGTCTCCACTCGTCTCCGCTCCACTCAACTGTCTCCGCTATCTAGCTACTTTCTCCGCTCCGCTACTTAGCTACTGTCTCCGCTCCGCTACCTAGCTACTGTCTCCACTCGTCTCCGCTATCTAGCGACTGTCTCCGCTCCGCCACCACTCTCCGCTACGCTACCTAGGTACTGTCTCCGCTCCGCTCGAGTGTCTCCGCTCCGCTCGAGTGTCTCCGCTCCACTCAAGTGTCTCCGCTCCGCTATCTAGCTACTGTCTCCGCTCCGCTAGTCTCTGCTCCGCTCTAGTGTCTCCGCTCCGCCACCGGTCTCCGCTCCGCTACCTAGCCACTCTCTCCGCTCCGCTCCGCTATTCTCCGCTCCGCTCACCTTCCTGACGTAGACCTCGGCGACGGCGCGGTGCGGCGCCACGCGTCTCGCCGTCACGTGCGTCAGAGTCGCGTCCAGTGTGGCCGCCATCTTGCGGAGAGAGTGCAGCGAGGCCCTGAGGGCTCTCGCTCGGAGTCCTCGAAGCGCTCCGCAATCGCGGACGCCTAACACGTAGACTGCGCTACCGCCGCCGGAGCGGAGACGCCATTTTAGCTGCAAGAAAGAAAAAAATGATATGTTAAAAAATACTGTGAAGTAGTCAAAATCCGTTAAGTTTTATCGTAAAAGAGCAAACACTCACAAACGTTCACATTTATAACATTAACTAACGGCCGCTCGCGACTTCGTACGCGTGGATCCCGTTTTACCCCCTTAGCGGTGAATCCTTTCTTAGCGGATGCCTACGTCATAACATCTACCTGCATGCCTTTCAGCCCGATCCGTCCAGTGGTTTGGGCTGTGCGTTGATAGATCACTATGTCAGCTGTCAGTCAGTCACTTTTGAGTTATATAAATTTTCGGGTACAAACATAGGCGAAGTAGACCGTTCAGATCATAGTATCGACATTATAAGACTAGTCATCATCATCATCATTTTAGCCACATATTTAGAAGATGGGAATAGCTTATTTATTATCTAATTTTCTAGGACCAATGAAAATAGTCGCTCGGCTTAATACAGGGTGTAATTTTTATACTCGATCAAAAAGGATCAAAGACAATAACTTTCTTAAAGCGAATTCTACAGGAAACATAGGTACATGAAAGTTGGAAGACCTCTCGGTCGAAACTCCCTTTCAAATCATTTTCTCGATCGATTATCACGCATGATAACGTTTTCTCGAACCAAAACCAATTTGACGGTACCGCTTCTCGATTTAAACTCGCTCACAAATCGTTTCCTCGAACCAAAAAACCATCGATGGTACCGTATCTCGATCCGTATCCGCTACCGTAGGCGCTGGATGCAGGCCGCTACCAACCGGGCGATGTGGATGTCATTGGGGGAGGCCTATGTTATATGTTAACCGCCTCTGTGGTCAGGTAAGACCACCTGCTTCAGACGCAGAGGTCCCGGGTTCGATTCCCAGTGTGGGCAGAATTTTCTGTTCGGTTTGGTTGGTGGTAGGGTTTGTTCTAAGTCCGCCTGGCTAGCTACCACCATCTTACCCAAGTCTGTCGCCATAACAACAATGTAAACAGCATTGTTGTGTTCCGGCAGTTAGAGGTAAGATAGCCAGTTGAGGATTCCGGGTGAAGCTCGCTTCCACCTTCGGCCTGATCATCACTTACCATCAGGTGAGATACATGCCAAGAGCTTCCTCGTTGTGGATAAAAAAAATGTTCAGCAGTGGACATCCTGTGGCTGAAATGATGATGATGAACTCGCGTACCTGTGTCACCAAATGCTGGAATCTTCTCTCGCACGGCGCTACGAGCTGTAGTTTGTACTCCACGTTCCCGAAGCGAGGCTCTGGTGGTAGACTGCCGTACACTTCCTCGCTTGAATCGTCAGGTTCTGACGACCTGAGGAGATAAACGTGAATAGAATACAGGGTGTCCCAAATTTTGTATATTCAAATTCCAATTAAAATTAAAATGATGTATGTCACACTGACACTAGCTCGGACTGACGCATCGAACAGGCCTAAAATATCTACAGAAAAGTATCATAGCTTTTGAGATATTATGACAAATTTTAGTTAATAGTGACTGAGTTTTTTGCGCTGCTTCTTCTCAGCACTGGCCCATTTTTGTTCCGAAGCAGTGGTACTGGTAGGGTTAATACTGGAACGTGTAAAAGTGCTTTAAGCCTAATTGTAATAATAAATTGAGTTTTGTGAGTGTCTAGTTATTAATGTCGATAATAGATAAGTTTCATTTTCGAAATATTATGACCGATATTATATTTAGTTTTAGCGCATATTGAGATATGCCCGATATGTAAGTGCCTGAGGTATGGGAATGTTTTTTGTTACGTCAAATGTCAGCGAGATTTCAGGTTTGTATACTCTGTCATTTCATTATATTTCAATGTCACCCCACCCATGCCGCTCCTATATCTCAGGCACTGTCTCTGTTACAACGCTAGGACTATAGTCCGGGCGCCGAGCACGTAGAATTTCGTCCAAAGACCCCAAGCTACCCATCATTATCACTCGCGCGTAATTATATTGCTGTCGCGCTCGCACACTCACTGCAGCCGCCCATCGAACAGTCGCGAAAGAAGAAGACGAAATTCTACGTGCTCGGCAACCGGGATTTAGACCTATAATATTCTTTAAAAAAAAAATGCACTCACGTGTCATCAAAAGAGTCCTCCAAATCATCAGAACTATAAAAGAAGTCATTCTCCAACTCCTCCGTATTGAAATCTCCCGCCAAATACATGTCATCTTTTAGCCCCACTTTTTCTAACTTATCTATCACCTTATAGACAGTTTTGTCGTAGTCTTCTTTCTTATTACTTTTGTCAGTTAGATCGTTGACGTTTTTTCCGATATTTTCGTCGCAAATTTTAGATACTGAGGACTGGTTGTTCCAGCTAGTAGGGTTTGGGTCTTCGGTCCAAGCTTGTGATGAAGGTAAGTCTTTTGCTGGAGATATTTTGTTCTTTTTCCGTCGATTCTTGCGGCCGGAGTTGCGCCTTTTGGGCTTCTTGTCGTCTTTGTCTGGAAAGAGCGGGTTTTGATGAGTATTCTATACGAGTACAGTAGTTTAGGAATATCTCTAAAGTGGTAAAGGTATTAAGACAAAAAAATGTAGGAAAAGTAAAATAGACAAAAATGGACAGGAAAAAAATTAAGAAAAAGAAAATAAACAAATATGGAAATAGAGTAAAAAGGGAATAACAGAAATTACAGTGAAATAAGTAAGTACTAAAAAGAAACCAGGGAAAAAATGGAAATAGAAATAAAACAGGTGAAGAAGGAAAAATTAAAATAAGATTGAAACAGAAAAAACAGTAACACGACTTGACACGACATGACAACGTATACTTGTGAGGTACAAAACTCTAATACCGCGATGCAGGTTTGTAGGCGCGGTAGCGTATGCCAGTCATTGTATGTATCACAGCGCCATCTATTAGGCGATGATGACGCCACAAACTACGCTACTTGGTGGACCGACGACCTAGCGGGAAGCACCTAGATGCGGGCAGCGCAGGACCATTCTGGGAGGGTCTCGTTCTTGTGACTTCTGCGGCCTAGGTGGACCGACGACCTTGAGGCCTCGATGGACCGACGACCTGGCGGGAAGCACCTGGATACGGGCAGCGTAGGACCAGTCGTTATGGGGAGGATTTTGTCCAGCAGTGGACAGCACTAGCTTGAAACGAGTGTGCCAATTGATGCCATCTTGGTTTTCCTTATATACTTTTCAGGGAAAAAAACTCTGACACCGCGATGCAGGTTTGTAGGCGCGGCAGCGTATTCCATAGTAACTCACGAGTCAGCGCCATCTATTAGGTGACTATAGAGCTATCTCCTACCTTCGTCCTTCTTGTTGACCTCGATGTAGCTCTCGATATAGCTGCCGTCCTTCACGAGCAGATCAGTGCTGAGCTCAGGCTCGCAGAGGAAAGACGATTCTTCTGGGAGCCTTTCGTTCTTGTGGCTTATGCGGCCTAGGTGGACTGACGACCTTGCAGCCTCGACGGACCGACGACCTTGCGGCCTCGATGGACCGACAACCTGGCGGTAAGTACCTGAATGCGGGCAGCGCAGGACCATTCTGGGAGGGGGTCTTGCGTTCTTGTGACTTCTGCGGCCTACTAGGTGGACCGACAACCATGCGGCGTCGATGGACCGACGACCTTGCAAGCCTTGGTGGACCGACGACCTGGCTAAGCACCTGGATGCGGGCAGCGCAGGACCATTCTGGGAGGGTCTCGCGTTCTTGTGACTTCTGCGGCCTAGGTGGACCGACGACCTTGCGGAGGCCTTTGTCCAGTAGTGGACAGCACTAGCTTGAAACGAATATGCCAATTGATTTTTTTTTTTTTGAAGGGTCGCGCGCTGGTAGCTTGAGGAGCTTTTCCAGCTTCACCGGGCAGAGTGGCGAGTACAGAAGGTACTCTAGCCGTTTGGCGATCGTCGGTGCGCGTGCCGACGTGGCCGAGTGTGGGCTTCGCGAAGCGAAGCCCAGGCTCGTCCGCGTCGGTCGCAGACCGACGTTCGCGATCGGGCCGTATCGAGCGCATAAGGCGCCCGATCAGTGGCGAACCCAACTAGAGGGTTGCCCACCGCGGTGTTGGACCAAAGTCCAGCCTACGGCGGGCTCACTCTAGTGGGCCCGATCGAGGGGGGACTACGGACGCGGCCTGAGGGCGCCACGGTAGGCTCGGACCTCGGCTCAGGCCGTGTCCGGGGGACGGATTGGGGTGCCAATTGATACCATCTTGGTTTTCCTTATATACTTTTCAGGGTAAAAAACTTTGATACCGCGATGCAGGTTTGTAGGCGCGGTAGCTTATTCCATAGTAACTCATGAGTCAGCGCCATCTATTAGGTGACTATAGAGCTATCTCCTACCTTCATCCTTCTTGTTGACCTCGATGTAGCTCTCGATATAGCTGCCATCCTTCACCAGCAGATCAGTGCTGAGCTCAGGCTCGCAGAGGAAAGACGATTCCTCTGGGAGCGTCTCGTTCTTGTGGCTAATGCGGCCTAGGTGGACTGACGACCTTGCGGCCCCGATTGACTGACGACCTTGCGGCGTCGATGGACCGACGACCTTGCGGTCTCGGTGGATCGACGGCCTTGCGGCGTCAGTGGACCGAAGACCTTGCGGTCTAGGTGGACCGACGACCTTGCGGCCTCGGTGGACAGACGACCTTACGCGGCGTCGGTGGACCGACGACCTTAACGGCCTCGGTGGACTGACGACCTTGCGGGCTCGATGGATTGACGACCCAAGACGATTCCTCTGGGAAGGCCTCGTTCTTGTTGCTAATGCGGCCTAGATGGACAGATGACCTTGCGGCCTCGGTGGACCGACGACCTAGCGGGAAGTACCTGAATGCAGGTCCATTCTGAGAAGGTCTCGCGTTCTTGTGACTTCTGCGGCCTAGGTGGATCGACGACCTTGCTAGCCTTGGTGGACCGACGACCTGGCGGAAAGTACCTGAATGCGGGCAACGCAGAACCATTCTGGGAGGGCCTCGCGTTCTTGTGTCTTCTGCGGCCTAAGTGGACCGACGACCTGGCGGGAGGCACCTGGATGCGGGCAGCGCAGGACCGGTAGTTATGGGGAGGCCTTTGTCCAGCAGTGGACAGCACTAGCTTGAAACGAGTGTGCCAATTGATACCATCTTGGTTTTCCTTATATACTTTTCAGGATAAAAAACTTTGATACCGCGATGCAGGTTTGTAGGCGCGGCAGCGTATTCCATAGTAACTCATGAGTCAGCGCCATCTATTAGGTGACTATAGAGCTATCTCCTACCTTCATCCTTCTTGTTGACCTCGATGTAGCTCTCGATATAGCTGCCGTCCTTCACCAGCAGATCAGTGCTGAGCTCAGGCTCGCAGAGGAACGACGATTCCTCTGGGAGGGTTTCGTTCTTATGGCTGCGGCGGCCTCGGCGTCTGCCTGTTGAGAAAGCAACACATTTAGGATTTTTGTATTTAATATGAAAAAACTTGGAATAAAAATATTGCTTTTGTGCAAGGCGGCGGTTCACTTTAAAGGTTCGGACAAACCAACGCGTGCAGCGATGGCGATGGCGATGGCGACCACTGCGCGTGCAAAAGTTGTTTCACACTGCCGCGACCGCGATGGCGATCACTGCGCGTGCAGGTTGTCACTGTCACCACAACTGTCACGCATATTGTCAATCACGCCTATTCGGCAAAATTGAAACTGAATTAAATGATTTGTTTGGAGCTTTTGATGCAATTGAGACAGTGGAAACACTTTTTCACTCTAGTTTATTCAGGCGGCCATATATTTTATAATGAGACAGGATTACATGCGGTATAGGTAGTAGGTATTGTTTACTCATAACCAAGCTATAGTCCCTAGAGCCCTAACAATACCTTTTGATTAGATTTAAAGAAAGGTTTGATAGGAAGGAGGACTGCACTAAGGCTTTCTTGGCCTCAGTGGGAGAAATGAAACACAAAGCGGACGGTTGATATCTGGTTTATTACTGTTATGCTATTGCTATATACAAGATTTACATAATGTACACAATTCAATGTGTCCAGTCCAATGTGCCGTCGGTGTAGAGTGCCTACGGTGCACGTTCGTTCAGGGTTCATGGGCCAGTCGGCTAGCATGTTGTAGGTCGCGGTCGATGCTGATGTGCTCGTACAGTATCCTTATGGGCAAGTAAGATTATAACCAATTCATCTTTTTCCTTGAGGGAAAAAAATTGCCCCCATTACCTTTTACCATTGTCGTTCTTATCGTTAAATCGCACAAAACTACATATAACTCAACACAACATCTATCAAAATCAATTTTCATTTTCATTTTTGGTGCAACAGTCATCTTGACATTTACTTTTTTTAAGGCAAATGAAATTACATTATGCACCCAAACCACAGAGTACATAATAGTCCAAATATCTTTTTTGTCTTCAATAATAACCCAAAAATACAAAAAGACATCAGTTTTGATCAACTAGGTGTTTCTAGTGGCACTAAATTAACGACTGAGACGTTTGATGACTTTAATTAGGTTTTTATTTATGGCATAGGTACTTAGAATTGCTCTAGGGCCTTTGAGAAAGCTGCAGACATGTACATTCTCAATTATTTTGTTCTGCAGATAATATCCCAATTTTATTTATGAAGTTGAAGAAGCAGGTTCTCGAGAAAACTAGAATAATTTGTTTATTTCCAAAAAATAAATTCTGATATTGATACTTTATTCTGAAACCTTTTTATTATTCAAGTAGGTCAGACTAGTGGTATGTTATGAATAATTCATTTTTATTGTGTAAAAACTTTTTAACAGATCCTACTTACTATTTATTACATCGATTTTAAAAAACAGAAACGTCACAGTGACAAATGTCGCGATGGTCGCTGATCGCTGCGTGCAGACGCTGCATAGATCGCCGCGACCAATGACAGGACGCGTTGATGTGAACACATCGCTACAAATTCATACACGCTGTCTGGTCGCCATCGCCATCGTCATCGTGCACGCCGGCTGCACGCGTTGGTCTGGTCTAACCTTAACTGATCTGAACATTGATCGTAGATTTTTCAGATAATCTATAGTCTGGTCGCCGAGCACGTAAAATTTGTCGCGCTCGCACACTCACTGCGGGCGCCAGTCGCACAGTCGCGTAAGGATGGGTAGCTTGGGGTCATTGGACAAAATTCTACGTGCTCAGAGACCGGGCTTTAGATAAAATTAAATTACAATTAAGTGCCATCCCACATAAATCAAGCATTTTTCCGGGATAAAGGTAATCTACATACATACTTATAGAATTCTCGAACCCCTTTACTACTTTTTCTAACTTATCTACCACGCATGTGCTACTACTGTGCAAAAATCATGTCAGTATCTTTCTCTATGGAAATAAAAACAAATATATCCCACAGGAATCGTACGTTTTTTTGTTATTCCAAACAATGGTCTATTAGATTTTACATTCGGCTTCGCCCACGTACGGACAGAACATATACTATGTTCTTCAGAGATCAAATGTAGGATTTAAATGGTGGAAGAATTTAATTAATATCATCCAGATCCGTTCTGCCGTTCCGACGTGATTCACTAACAAACATCTATCCAAATCTTGCATTAATTTTACCTTTAGGCGGCGCGTGCGCGTCAGCTTTCTTCTTGACGTTGTCCTGCTCTGTGCGGTGTTTCTTCCTGCTCTGGCCCTTGTTGGCTCCGTCCGAAGGGTCGAACAGGCTGAAGAAGGAATCCATGGCTCTGGAACAATCATCATCATCATCATTATCAGATCATGTAGTATCCATTGGAGGAGCACGAATCATCATTTAGTCTTCACTGCAGAAGCGTAACCTCTCTAACCCTTTTATACGGCAGTGGGAATATGGTTCCCACATATTGAACTTCCAAAATCTTTGACTCGTTACGCCCGTTAAAGAATTAATGAACAGTCAGCGTCAAATACAAGCAAATAAATCGCACCACCCGCGACAAGCACTTTCAAACGTATGCATCCCCACTTCACACCAATATTGGTACCATTCAAAAGCCTAGTTCTAAACTTCATTTCATTATAGGAAAGGTTTTTACCCCAAAAATGTTTCTTTAGAAGGATCCAGAGTCACTTCTTCAAAAAATAGATAGTTACGCTTGAGCCAACTTTTATGGCTATAAAACTGTTAAGTTGGGATTAATCGCCATCCATCTGTTAAAGAGGACACGTGTGATCATTATTTGGTTTTATAACCATAAAATTTGGTCTAATTGATCCCAGAGGTGAGCCCAAATTGAGGTCTATTTTCAAGTCACATTTATGGTATATGTTAATCATTTATTTAGAAATAAAATGTATTTTTCTTTAAGGATATTTATTGGGCTTTCACCAATATTGTTGGGGTACCATAATTGTGTCAGAAGAAAATCTTTAAAGTTCGCGTCGCGGAAGGTGCGGTTTATTTGATGTTGAGTGTATTTGGAACCAACTATACCAGATGCAAACGAAGAATGTGATTTATTAAATTCCTATCCTCTCCTTGGATTGTCTGCAAGAGATGGCTTCCTAGCGATAACACCGCCTAAATTATGCCATTTCGATTTGGTATTTTTTTATGTCTATTTTGTGTGGTGTACAATAAATTATAAAATATTTTATCTTTCTGTTCCTTTAACTGTCTATTTACTAAAATAATTCCCTTATATGAAAAAATCATTTCAATAACAACATTTCATTTATTCAAGTTGTTTATAAAAAAAAACATTTAATTTAGCGAAAACAACACAAAACAATACCTCTTCTTTGTTATAAACAATAATATTATGCTGTTTACCATTTATACACAATAAAACTAAAAACAGTTTTTTCACAAATCACTTTTCACACAAAAACAATAATGACTAACTTCAATCCGCATAAGTCAACTAGTCACTAACTTAAATCCAAACAAGTGTTATATTTATCAGATTTAATAATGATTTATCATAAATGATATTCTATTTATAACAATTAATTAATTATCAATTACACCATATCTAAAACTTATTGGAGATCTTCTGATAGCAAAATATCAATCCAAACTGATGCAATAAATGAATTAGTCAGAGATCGAGAACAAGCTCGCACGTAGGTATTTCCCGTTATGACAAAATTGATAATGTTGCGTCATAATTTTTAACTAGGGCATACGTTTTTGGGATTTTTGTTTTGAACTAAAAAAGGATTTAAAATTGAGTCATCATCATCATCATTTCAGCCATAGGACGTCCACTGCTGAACATAGACCTCCCCCAATGATTTCCTTAATGACCGGTTGGTAGCGGCCTGCATCCAGCGCTTTCCTGCTACCTTTAAGAGGTCGTCGGTAAAATTGAAGTGTCATTTTTTTAATAAAAAATAACTAACAGTCCCGTTAACCCCTCATGGTAAGCTAAATATGCTTATGTTAAGAGTGGGTATTTACATAATACAATAGTCAAGCGGCGCGGCGGCGATCGAACCCGCGTTCCTCGGATCCTAGCTCGACAACAGCATTGGGTTATTGTCTCTTTACACCATGATTGCGCCATGACTTTATGGCTTTAACACCGATAATTTCTCATAGATCTATCCAATTTTAAGAGTCCTGGGTTGGATTGTAAGGATATGGATCAACATTATTGTTAAATCACTTCACCCTGGAAAGGGCATAAGTACTTTGTACTGAATAAAAGCTTTGTTCCTAGTTTGGTTAGGGCATTAATTGCTGTCGCGGAAGTCTACGACACCCCCACACGGGCGATGACGGAACGCCGCGGAGGTTTTAGTGGGTATACCCCGTCCTTTTCAGGACGGAGCAGCGCCCTTTTCAGGGCGCCGGGAGTCCCATAACCACCCTGTCCTCCGGCAGTGGTGACGGTGCGCAAAGCATTTCCTCCGCAACAAAAAAGAGCATTTAATTGCTAACACAAAATACAAGATGAGAAATTAATATGATGTAAACAGCAAAGAGTGAACGACCTCTCAACAGCGAATTATTTTTATCAGCCTCGAGTAAATTTAGATAATCGCACTGAGGATAAAGTTTGGCAGCGTCCTAGCTCAAGGTTGCAAACAATGTAATGTAGCGTTGTTATAGTTTTCCCGCCAAATGACAATGTTTTATTAGTTTAGCCGACTAAAAATCCGAAGAACGCTGCTGGTTCGAAATCCGCCGGTGCTGGACTATTGTGGTAATTTAGCTTACCAGGAGGGGTTAACGGGGCTGTTGTCTTTTCTTTCAAGGTAATTTAGCTTACCAGGAGGGGTTAACGGGACTGTTGTCTTTTCTTTCAAGGTAATTTAGCTTACCAGGAGGGGTTAACGGGGCTGTTGTCTTTTCTTTCAAGGTAATTTAGCTTACCAGGAGGGGTTAACGGGGCTGTTGTCTTTTCTTTCAAGGTAATTTAGCTTACCAGGAGGGGTTAACGGGGCTGTTGTCTTTTCTTTCAAGGTAATTTAGCTTACCAGGAGGGGTTAACGGGGCTGTTGTCTTTTCTTTCAAGGTAATTTAGCTTACCAGGAGGGGTTAACGGGGCTGTTGTCTTTTCTTTCAAGGTAATTTAGCTTACCAGGAGGGGTTAACGGGGCTGTTGTCTTTTCTTTCAAGGTAATTTAGCTTACCAGGAGGGGTTAACGGGGCTGTTGTCTTTTCTTTCAAGGTAATTTAGCTTACCAGGAGGGGTTAACGGGGCTGTTGTCTTTTCTTTCAAGGTAATTTAGCTTACCAGGAGGGGTTAACGGGGCTGTTGTCTTTTCTTTCAAGGTAATTTAGCTTACCAGGAGGGGTTAACGGGGCTGTTGTCTTTTCTTTCAAGGTAATTTAGCTTACCAGGAGGGGTTAACGGGGCTGTTGTCTTTTCTTTCAAGGTAATTTAGCTTACCAGGAGGGGTTAACGGGGCTGTTGTCTTTTCTTTCAAGGTAATTTAGCTTACCAGGAGGGGTTAACGGGGCTGTTGTCTTTTCTTTCAAGGTAATTTAGCTTACCAGGAGGGGTTAACGGGGCTGTTGTCTTTTCTTTCAAGGTAATTTAGCTTACCAGGAGGGGTTAACGGGGCTGTTGTCTTTTCTTTCAAGGTAATTTAGCTTACCACGAGGGGTTAACGGGACTGTTCTTTTCTTTCAAGGTAATTTAGCTTACCACAAGGGGTTAACGGGGCTGTTGTCGTTTCTTTCAAGGTAATTTAGCTTACCAGGAGGGGTTAACGGGGCTGTTGTCTTTTCTTTCAAGGTAATTTAGCTTACCACGAGGGGTTAACGGGACTGTTGTCTTTCCTTTCAAGTTACTTCAAGTTCTTCTTCACTTGAAACTTGTAAAGGTGGCGGTTCGAATCACGACTGAGACATGCAACGAGATAAGAGACCGAGGCGGGAAGACAGCAACCGTTTCATTTGTTTTTTAAAGAATATAGTAATTTCTATTGCACAAATTACTGATAGTTTTAGATACTCGTGGTAAACTAAATATGCTAGTGTTACGAGTGGGTTCACCACAAGTCTACCGGAGGGGTTCGCACCCGCTGCGTTCGTTGGATTGGTGGTGTTCCCGAGCCATTGGGCTAAATATTGTCGCTTCTTTTGTCGCCTCAACTTATAAAAAAACTGTAGACTCTTACGAAAAAGTTTCATACAAATATCTACTCATATCAGGCCGCATGTTGCAAAAAACAAAAAAAACTTGCGTAAAATGTAATAGGTATGTGCGTCAGAGAAACACTGTTTACCAAATGTAATGAGTCACAGATTTACAAGTTATCGGTGACGATTACTGTTATGTAAAAAGAGAAATAACACTTCAGCAAGTCTAAAAACATAACAAAATCTGTTTCCATGTGAACGGACGTCAGAAAAACATGGACTGCGCGTGCGACGATGTATGTCAGTCAGCGTCAAATAGTTGGTGACACCTAAAGTAGCCAAAAAGTTAAGATTGGAATAAGGTTGTCTTGTCTACTTTAGGCCACTTTGGGTGTGACGAATTATTTGACGCTGACTTATTCAATATCAATGAGGGCTATCGTTTTAGCGCTCACCAGTTAGCGCCACTGTAGAGTAAGGTCCTGTCACTTGCTAGTAGCGAAGACAGTGGCACCAACTGGTGAGCGCGAAAGTGGTAGGAGGACTATCGCATTTGCACTCATCAAGATGGCGCCACTGTAGAGTAAGGTCCTGTCAATCGCCAGGGGTGCCAACTGTTAAGTATAAAAACGATAGCCCTCATTACGAACTTGTTAATTCTTTTTATAATTAAATCAAAAACAAATTCAAGGTGATACACCAGACTGCGCCATCACTTGTCAGTATTTTAAATAATTATTATACCATAATTTGGCATGAGACTAGACGCTAAGTTATTTTGGCAATGTCTACGTTAGAACGTTTCGTTACGTCAAACGTTTTTTCGTTAGAAAGCACATTTAATCGTCTAGCTGATGCCAATTGTTTATGTAACATTACAACTGGTGTTAGTAAATAACAAAATTAAAATAAATAGGTTACAACAATCATACAAAACATTGGGGATTACAAAAAAAAAATATGGAGTCCAGCTGAAAAACACAATTTATACATTTACTAACTGAATTTTGTACTGCTTACGGGTCATTCCACAAAAATATGTCAACTCTTAGTGTTAAAAGTCGCACTTCTGGCTGATCTAATTTGCACTTAGCACTAATACTATAGGTGTGTAAATAAAACCACCGTAGTACTTGGGCTATTGAACTATATTGATCTATAGATTGATCTACAAACATAATACACGGGTTAGACCTTATAGGAACAGTAAAATACTTTAATACCGCGTTCTAAAGTACTACAACGCCATCTATTGAGAATCTTAATAACTACATTACAAACGTATGCGTCCTTGTAGACTCAGAAAAATACTTCATCATCGCGATGTAAAGTAGTACAGCGCCATCTAGTGACGTTGTTTTGAACTTAATATTATAAATGTATCATAATAAAGTATAAACGTTAACATTTCCGCCCACCAAGGACATTTAGTGAGAAATGTACTTCAACAAACAAATAAAATTTAGGAAATCCGCCCACCGTGACCTACAGTTTGGTTCACGGTGACAAAACTTAACAATAAAATATTAACAAACTAAACTTAACAATGAACTTAACATTAATCACCATCAGTGGGTAGTACACACAACTTAGATGTGGGTCTTTTAATTGTAGAAGACTTAACTTTAATAGTGACTACACGGGTTACATTATCACTACCCTTGTGCTTTTCCACTATTCTGCCCATTAACCAACGACTCGGTGGCAAATCATCCTCCTTGATAAGGACAACATCTCCTATATTAGGTTCTGGAATCATGTTGTTCCATTTATATCTATTTATCAAGTTTGATAAATACTCTTTTGACCAACGACTCCAAAAACATTGTAGCATTCTTTGAACAACTTGCCAACGGGTTAGTGAATTAACATTTGACTCTACAAAGTTACTTGCATCGGGTACCGCTAGCAGTGGTCCCCCAACCAGAAAGTGACCCGGGGTTAAAGGTCTTGGATCATTTGGATCTGAACTATCTACAGTAAGTGGTCGCGAGTTCAGGCAAGCTTCCACTTGTGTTAAGAAGGTACACATTTCCTCAAATGTGAGGGTTGTGTCCCCCACTACGCGTCTCAAATGGTATTTAGTGGATTTAACACCACTCTCCCATAACCCACCGAAGTTAGGTGCGTGGGGCGGTATAAATTTCCACTCTGTCCCATGGCCTTCTAAGTGTTCCACANATTCCATAATTTCCCCTTGAATACTATTCAATTCCGCTAACTCTTTCGAAGCCCCAACAAATGTAGTGCCATTATCGCTCCATAATTGAGCACAGTGTCCACGCCGAGACACAAACCGTCTAAACGCTGCTATAAAGGCTTGCGTACTCATGTCACTCACGACTTCTAAATGTATGGCTCGAGTGGCCATACAAATAAATAAACATATATAGCCTTTATAGGAGCGATTGCCACGTCCCTTGGTTGTTCTAACCTTTATAGGGCCAGCATAATCCACTCCGCTATGTAGGAATGCTCTGGCTGGTGTACATCGCACTGTTGGGAGAGACCCCATGAATTGGGTTTGAACTCTAGCATTCTGTCGAACACATGTAACACATTTACGGATGTGTTGTTTAACGAGGCTTTTAACACCTATTATCCAATATGCCTCCCTTAAGTAGCTTATCATCAACTGGGCTCCTCCATGCAGGGTATTTTTATGTGCATCAGCTACTAGGAGCTTTGTGAAATGTGAAGTGTGCGGTAATATAATAGGGTGTTTGGTGTTTTCTGGTAACTGCGACTTCTGCAATCTACCGCTCACTCTCATTATTCCGTTTTCATCGAGATATGGACATAAAGATTTGAGTATTGAACTTTTTGATTGTAAACATCCTTTGGCCTGCAAATGTAAATACTCTTCATTAAATTCTTCCTTTTGCACTTTTTTGATACAGCAAACTAATGCATTTTCGATTTCTTTCTTAGACAAGTAATTGTAACGTATCTCTCCGCGGTTATAAAACCGTCTACAATAAGCTATTACTCTAAGTAATCTGTTTAAAGTAGAGAAGCGTTGCAATAATGTATCTTCAGTCATCGTGTTCAAATGTACTTTCACAGCTTCTTCCAGAGTTGGTTTCAAATTCTTTGGTCTATTATATGGTATGTTGCGTTCATGAAGAAACTTTGGACCGGAAAACCATAGTTCATTATTTGCCAGGGCGTCGGGCGAAACACCTCTGGAGGCGCAATCGGCAGGGTTTTCTTTTGTCGGCACGTGATACCATTGTGATGAATCCAAAGTCGTCAAAATGTCAGACACTCTATTCGCTACAAAAGTCTTCCATTTACTTGGGTGGCTATTTAGCCATGCCAATACCACTGTTGAATCCGTCCAGGCCTTAATGTTGCTCTTAGGAATGTTTATAACCTCGCTGATTTCAGACAAAAGTCGTGCTAAAAGTGTAGAACCACACAACTCTAATCGCGGGATGCTTACTTGCTTTATGGGAGAGACTCTAGTCTTAGCTGCCAACAAAGAGACGTGTACATTGCCTTTGGCGTCTACAACCCGCAAGTAAATAACTGCTGCGTAAGCTAACTTGGATGCGTCAGAAAATCCGTGCAGCTCACGCATGTCTTCTCTACCGGAAGTGCCCAGCCACCGAGGAACTCGAACAGATGTGAGTTTAATCAACAAATCCCGGTAAGTATACCATTCACGTTTCATTTCATCGCTGATTGGTTCGTCCCAAGTTTATATGCCAGCTAGCCATAATTTTTGGATGAACATCTTTGCTATAATTATGCTAGGGGCTAACCAACCCAGCGGATCATATAATCGTGCTATTTCTGATAATATTGATCTTTTTGTTTCAGGTCCAGGCGACGCCGTAGGGAGACTCACCGAGTACCGGAAATGATCTTCGCTTCTATCCCAGGTAATACCCAGAATCTTAGTTATATTATCAGCTTTCATATCAATCTCTTTGTTCTTTTCATTTTTTGTATTATCTTGTTCTAACTTTGTTTTTGTGTCCTGCTGTTCTGTTTTATTTGTACTTTGATTTTCAATTTTAAATATTTCTGAAAGTAGTTGTTTATTGTTGCTATTCCATTTTTGTAATTGAAAACCACCTCGTAACAATAGCTCTCTCATCTCTTTGTACAATGCTACTCCTTCCGCAACATCACTGCATCCTGTCATCAAATCATCCATATAAAATGATTTAACTACCCTTGGTGCTGCCAGCGGTAAACTTTTGGCCTCATCAAAACTGACTTGATGCAATGCTCGTACTGCTAAATATGGAGCAGAAGCAGTTCCAAAAGTAACAGTCATTAACTCGAAGTCTTGTATTTCAGATTCAGAGTCGTCACGCCACACAATACGCTGAAAAATAGCGTCTTCTTCTGCTATCCTGACCTGCCGATACATCTTAACGACATCAGCCACGAGTACTATAGGGTGCTCTCTCCAGCGCAACACCAAATGACGTAGATCTGCCTGAAGCTTGGGTCCCACCATCAATGTGTCGTTTAGCGATATTCCGAAACTATTTTTACCAGACGCATTAAAAACGACTCTTACTTTTGTTGTAGTTTTATCATTTCTAATAATAACTACAGCGTGGTGCGGTAAGTAGACAGCTTCCTCCTTTTTTGAGTCATTCTTTTTTACAGGTCTCATGTGTCCTAGCTGCAAGTACTCGTTTATCACTTCGATATAACTCTTTTTCAGATCTGAATCTTTCGATAGCCTCTTCTCTAGTGATTTGAACTTTCTTACAGCGATATCGCGTGAATTACCACCCTTACAGCCAGGTTGACTCTCACGAAAAGGTAACTTCACGATATAGCGTCCTTCAGGTGTTCTATTTATTGTACTGGCGAAAATTTCTTCGCATTTTTGCTCTTCCTCTGTCCACATATTCTTAGTAGAATGTGGTTGCTCTTCTATTTCCCAGAATCGTTTCAATGCATCGTCTTCATTAATTTGCGCATGCATTACTGATATTTTGGGATTTTCATGACCTATTCTTGATGATTTCCTATACTCTTTAACTATCCCCGACACGATCCATCCCAATGACGTATTTTGCGCGATAAGCAAACCATCTGGACTTTTTTGCACTCCCTCTTTTAGTATTTGACTAAAAGCATTAGCCCCTAACAATAAATCTATTTTATTGGGCATATTGAACTGTGGGTCTGCTAGTTGTAAATTGCCTAAACCCACCCAATTTAGTGACTCTATTTTTTGCTCTGGTAAATGTGAAATTATGAGATTTCTCATGACGTAAGCTCTAATTTTGACCTGAAACTGTTTATCAATCCTAGACCGGAGAGTTATTGTGACTACATGTTTGAATGTCGTCGATCCTTTGTCTCCTAATCCAGTCACTGTTCCCCTTATGGACTCCTTTTTGAGTTTAAGTAATTGAACTGCAGCTTCTGTAATGAAACAAGCTTGAGAGCCTTGATCTATTAAAGCTGTTACTGCTTGCTGTCCACAAACTTCAGACTCTATGTTGACTAAAGCAGTGGCTAGCAAAACTTGTTCGTATTTAGGTGCCTTATGAGTTGACGTACACGAAACTATTGGTGAAGGGCCTGCCTCAGAGTCGTTACTCTCTGTTGCGTCTCTCACCACAGCTCTGGCGGCTTCTGGATGTAGCAGTGAATGGTGACGCTTTTTACAAAGTCTACAAGTCGTCATTTTCTTGCATTCATAGCTACAGTGGTTGCTACCTAAACAATTGAAACAGATCTTGTTTTTCAATACAAAATTACGTCTCTGATCAGTATCTAGCTTTGAAAATTGTTTGCAAAAACATAGTTTATGCCCTTCAGAACAAAATTCGCATCTCATACAATTAGTGTTTGTAGATAATAAGACCTTTGGTTTGGCATGAGGACCACTGCTATGGTGCTGCATAGGTCTTTTTTGATCTACAAATTCCAAAGCTCGGAAACGATTTTCCATGAAAGTTTTAAATTGATCTAACGTTGGCAATTCATTCGAACTTGTTTCAGAATTATGCAACTCCCAATGCTTACGTGTTTCAGGATCTAATTTAAACGCGACGATATGGATAATGATAACGTCCCATGTACTCACGTCGATATCAATATTTTTTAACGCATTCATACAATCCATGGTGGTGTCTAATAGCTCTTTTAAACCTGTAGCCGACTCGATTTGTACTCTTTTTTGTGCAAAAAAACGCTTTAAAATAGAATTAGCTAAAAACTTTTTATTGTTGTAACGTTTTTCAAGAAGAGACCAACATTGACTGTAATTTGCGTCTGATATAGGAGTATACCTAATCAGTTGCTCTGCTTCACCAGACAAATGTGTTTTCAAATAATGTAACTTTTGAACATTATCTAAAGATTCATTTTTATGCACTAGAGATATAAATAAATCACGAAAAGTGGTCCATTCAGAGTAAGCACCCGAAAATGTAGGAATAGTAATTTTCGGTAGCCTTAAAATTTGATTTGACGCGTCACCACAACCTTTATTTTGTACTTGTGGTTCGCGCATTGCTAATTTATTGAGAACTGATTTCATTAAGGATTTGTAAATAAAATATTCTTCTTCTGTGTTTTCATAACAATTATTTGATACATAAATTGATTTAGCTAATCGTTCTGGCTCTGATATCTCACATAATTTACTATTATTGGACCTAAATGATGACCAATCCTTTTCTAAATTTTCAAGTCTGGCCTCCACATACTCTTTAGATATCCTATCTTTAGGACTTTTCTTAAAATTAGACAAACCCTTTTGGATTGAACTTTGTAAATCAGCTTGAACTTTAAGTAATTGTTCCATAGTAAAATCTTTCAACTAAAAGTAACTTAGAAAATTTCTAACTTCAAACTACTGCTAACAAATTTTATGCAAATTATTCTAAGTGTTTGACACTTCTATACAAAATTGGGCATAGGTTCCCCGTTCCCCCGTTTTTGAGATCTTATTCTAAGTCCTTAACTAGCATGCAAATTATTCTAAGTCAATGTCCAATTCACGAAAATATTACAAGTCCAAATTATTTCTTCCAAACTATCTTGACTGTCTTCGTAATCACTAAGTTTTTAAACGCGATGAAATAGAGTTCAAAATCTCTTGGCAAAGTTTTAATAAAAGTTTACTCACTTGAACACTTCACTGAACTGAACCTGATTTCCTGGTGTGACGTATTGTCCTTTCCGGCTTGAGTGCGCACACGTCACTCACTGCGCCGGCTGCTACTCCGCCTCCAAGATGGCCGCAAGTCCGCCTCCCAGGTTGCCTCAATTCCGCCTGGCTCCACCCAGCGCCTCCTCCAACTTCAGCAGCTTCAGCCAGCGCTTTACAGCAAAAACGCTTTCCGCTTGCCGCTTGTGGCTGGGACCGCACCTTATCCGCAGTAATCCACTGCGAGCGCGGGGTTGTGGTCTCAATGACCACTGCTCAAAAATGACCTCTATGCAATCCGGCTCGAAGGAACTTGTTAAAAGTCGCACTTCTGGCTGATCTAATTTGCACTTAGCACTAATACTATAGGTGTGTAAATAAAACCACCGTAGTACTTGGGCTATTGAAGTATATTGATCTATAGATTGATCTACAAACATAATACACGGGTTAGACCTTATAGGAACAGTAAAATACTTTAATACCGCGTTCTAAAGTACTACAACGCCATCTATTGAGAATCTTAATAACTACATTACAAACGTATGCGTCCTTGTAGACTCAGAAAAATACTTCATCATCGCGATGTAAAGTAGTACAGCGCCATCTAGTGACGTTGTTTTGAACTTAATATTATAAATGTATCATAATAAAGTATAAACGTTAACACTTAGTCCGCGCCACATTTCACATGGAATATTTGCTAATATTTTATTCCAAAATTGTTAAATAACAGCTCGCAATGTGTTTTATTCATCACCCATTTATATTTTTTAAAACTATTTTTAAAACATCTTAAATTCCTTTTCAATGACCCAAAACGTCATTCCCTAGACATGTCCGTACTCCAAAAGTTAGGGTTTTGGAACCCATATTTATAGAAACATCAATTTGATCCTTTGTTTTAATTAACGAATAATCTATTTAAATGTATATTACACCAAATTCTATTAATATTTTGCGGTTTCAATAAACAATAATTTGATTTTCTGTACTTGAAAAAGAGTCCTCAGCTTTTAGCGTCATTCCCTCGCCACGCACTGGTTTTATAATTTTGCGCTTCAATATATTCGCACGTTCATAATCAAACCGTCACTATACAAAAAAGTCGATTTTTCAGGAAAAGCATTTGAAATACTCAAATTTTAAAACCTTTGCAAAGTGTGCAAAATGTTCTTAAATGTTTTGTTTTTTGTTGAATACCAGTAGTGGCTTGTTTGGCTTTTACGGGAATATAATTATCTTTCAAATTATCATAATGGTTTATTTAATATTTAATTTTTTCCCTAAAAATAGTGACACTTTTCCACTAAAATTGAGACAGTGACAGTTTTCAATTGAAAACATGTTAATGTTGTATTATTAATTCCGGTAGAAATGACACTATTTNAAACCTAACCAAAAACCGGTTAGGTTGCAAAAACCGGAAACCGGAAGTTCCTGAAAAATTACGGTTAGGTTCCTGAGGACATTCTGGAACACGGTTAGGTTCCTGAGGACATTCTGGAACCCGGTTAGGTTCGTATAGAACCTAACCGCGCGCGAGCGCGAGCGCGTGCGCAGCACGCGCGAGCGTTTAGGAAAAAATTTGCACTGTGTTTACAGTGCTGTAGCCCCCCGCACCCCTCCCCCGCGCTGCAGCGCACCGGGCGGTTATCGTTTGTCAATGGACCGCGACTAATTTGTAGAGGAAATCCTTATTTTTTGTCAATAATCGGATAAATAATAATTTGTTTAATTTCTTTTAGATCTAATTTAGTTTTATAATTATGCTAAGAAAGTTGTATAGGGTGCTATAGCTATATTTTTATAGCTATAGCACCCTATACAATTTATAATAGATGATATTTATAATAGACTAGTTTTTGCCCACGGCTTCACCCGCTTGAAATTTAGTTTGTCACAGATCGTCATAAATTATAGCTAATTATGTTATTCTGTGCTATAAACAATAATACTGTAAAGTTTCATCAAAATCCGTTCAGTGGTTTTTGTTTGAAAGAGTAACAAACATGTTCACATCCAGCCACCCATACAATCTTTCTTATTTATAATATTAGCAGGATACTGTAGTTTCATCAAAATCCGTTTAGTGGTTTTTGCATGAAAGAATAACAAACATGTTCACATCCAGACATGCATACAAACTTTCGCATTTATAATATTAGTAGGATACTGTAAAGTTTCATCAAAATCCGTTCAGTGGTTTTTGCGTGAAAGAGTAACAAACATGTTCACATCCAAACATCCATACAAATTTTCGCACTTTTAATTAGTGGGATACTACGAGTAGCTTTTGTTCAGACGAACATTGATCTCTGATCAGCAACAAATGTGGCCTACATCATAGTGCACTCGTTGCACATTACACGGCACGGGCGTACACTATTATAGATTTAATTAATGTACTTGTACTCGTATGTGTATGTAAATAGCGTTAGTATAAATGTTGTAAGATTGTTAATAAATCCTCTTTGACTGTTTGGACTTGGACTATATCATTTCAACCACGTGTCGTTCCACCTGGTACTATATTCCTCTCACTGTGGCCAAGACACCCTTAGCCATCAGATCCTGATCAGTCTTGTGAGTCTGCTTAACTCACAAGACTGATCAGTGAGAAAAGTGACCACACTTCTACGCACTTAAAGACATTTTCGCACTCTACATTAACATAGTCGGCAGCAGCAGCTGCACAGCTATAATATACTTGTCATCGATTCTCATGCTCATAGAATAAAAATACGCCTTAGTCTATCTAAAATAAATTTGTATAGGACCCAACAGCAAATCGCCTATAGAACGAAACAATTATCACTCATATAAAGATGTCATGAAAATTTCGTCGTCCAAGTGAGCATTTTTGCTCATAAAACAAAAACTACTTAACCAAAATTTTTATGGGACCAAATGGGCAGTCATTGCGCATCAATTAAAAAAATAATCTCGGAAATCGTATTACATGTTTATTTATTTTATTTCAATTATTTTAAATTTAGCGTAAAAAATTAGACTATTCGATAGAAGAGACCCATTCATAACAATAAAACTTTCTTCGTCTTTAAAGTCGAATAATGAAAATATGTAAGGAAAATACAATGATGAATCAATTGGTGTCGATCCTCGAGGGGCGGCGCTCGCGGACAGTTTAATTAGCGAGGTATAGATGTCACTTAGGACATGTGTAATTATGCCCGTAGTCGTTTTGGAAGTAATTACTGTTCACTGCGGACTTGGCTAGATAGGGCACAGAATAAGTACATTTACAACTTTAGGTACCTACATTTTCTGTTATAATTTTTGTCCTTAAAAATGCAAAGTATGATCTTGATCCCTTTAATAAAAAATATTACGTACAGGTTCGCCCACTCTCAGGCGTAAATGACCACCCGTTTGATGCTTCTACAATTTCATGTTTTTATATAGGTAGTCTTAAAAACCATAATTTTGACCAAAACATATTGATTTGACAGTTGACCGACGGATTTGGATTATGGATCGATTAAAGTCTTTTGGTCTTGTCATCATTGCATGCATTACTTGTTTATGTAAAGATGTGTTGTTGGTAGATCTTTGTCAATAAATAAATAAATAAAGAAATCCGGCAATGTTATTCTATAAAAATGTTTGAGATTGTATTCTGTTGTTGTACCTATAAATAAATAAATAAATAAACAAATTTAATTACCCTAGGCACCGCCCGCGAGGCGACTGTTGAGCGATAGGCAGCTCATCAAGTCGTTATAATGTAGATACAGATTAATTGCTGGTTGTCATTAGCCTATTTTATATTTGAAACAATAAATCAAAATCAGAAATCGATGCCATTAAGGTATCAGCATTTGATTTTGTTCAGTCGTGGAATGCGCTGACTAGTAAAATGTAAGTAGTGTTAGATAATACGAAACGTTGTGGTGTTATTCTTTTGGTAATTGGTATAAAATATATTTTGTGTTTGTTAATTATCAATAGTATCGTTTAAATATTTTGTCACTATTAATTTATTCCGAGCCATTCGATAACGTTTTGAATGAAATGTTTTTGGCGTTTGTGGTTCTGTTCAAGCTATCATACAGGTCACGCGTTGTATCGATGTCAGGTCTCTCGCGGGCAGCAGCATCGAGCCGCACCTGCGGGTGCTGCGGCGCGTGGGCTTCTGCCGGCTGCCGGGCGCGGGCGGGGGTGCGGCGGGCGCGGGCGGGGGGCGCCCGGTGCGCGCGCGCCTGCACGACTACTACTGCATGTTTGCGCTCAGCGTCACCTCCTGCTATGTGCTGCAGCAGGGCGTGTATGCCTATCAGGTCAGCTCGGTTGGAGTTACAAAGATTATTTATTCACCGAGACAAGGTAATACAACAAGATAGATGTTAAAATATGTAGTTACAGCGCAGCTTATCTCCCTAGCAAAGCCAGTGTGTGATATAATTTTTCTTCTTATTCGTTACGCTCTTGGCAGAGCGGTCGTGGTCACGTTGAGGCGTTGTTCACATCGGTAGAGGCGGATACAACTCTCCGCACGATCTCCCGCCATCTCTCTCTATTGGCAGACTGTCTGGTGCAGTCACATACGCCGTCTCCCACTGCCGATTTCACTTGGTCGGTCCAGCGCATTGGTGACGCGATCGGGTTCCTTCGACTTTTCCTTGGACGACCGACCAGTCGTCTATGGTCATGTCCGAAGTATTGCAGTATGCGCGACAGTACTACGGTTGATAAACGGTGAGTGACACCGAACTCCTGGAGTATGGACCCATTGGTACGGAACTCTGTCCATGATATCCCGAGCATCTTTCTCCAGCATCACATCCCTAGGGCATCTACCTTCCTTTTTTCCAAGTCGCGTACTGTCCATGTCTCTGCTGCGTAAAGAAAGATGTGATATTTTTGTTATTGATCACATTTTTGTTATTGATCCATGCTTTTGAGTGAAGTTTTTTCTTTTATTGTTTTTAATGTCACTATACCGAATGTTTCCTGCGTCTTCATGAGAATTGAAGCAAACATGTATTGTATTGGCGACGGCACAGGAGCGCGGCGACCTGGAGAAGCTGGCGCGCGTGCTGTTCGTGCTGCTGTGCCACTGCACGTGCGTGGCCAAGCAGCTCGTGTTCCACGCGCAGGCCGCGCGCGTCGACCGCATCATCGCCGGCCTCCACCGTGAGTACTGGCCGCGGCCGGACATCCGAACAAGCAATATGCTTTATTTGCATAAAATGCAAATTAAATTTAATACTGATCATCAGCTGCATCATTAAGTCGAACAAGAACTTCGGTTCTAATGTAGACGACGGCTACCCTAGGTCACCCTTATAGTTCTAACTCACAATCAAATTACTTTTCTGAAGCTTTATCGTTTTCAAAAACAGAGATCATTGTCCCTGTTACCTTGATGAGAAAATGGCTCATAAAACGAATACACTGCGCGTCCGCAGAGCCGCTGTTCGACCCGGCGACGGCGGGCGCGGGCGCGACTGCGGCGGCGGCGGCGGCGGCGCGCGCGCTGCTGCGGGCTACGGCGCGAGCCGCGGCGCGGCTGCTGCGGGCTTACTACGGCTGCGCGGTGGCCACGTGCGTGCTGTGGACGATCTTCCCCGTGGTCTACAAGCTGCGCGGCTTCCGCATTGAATTCCCCTTCTGGACGTTCCTCGATTACAACCAGCCGGTCATGTCAGTCTCACTAACGTAACCATAACAATAGTTGAAATAGAAAGGAAACATCGTTTTTAAGACATTCTGGGTAGGTCTTTAGAACCCTCTTGCCCTTATTAACCAACAGTACGAGTACGTATCAAAAAACAAGTTGTAAGGAAAATTAAATGTATTAATTAATTTCTTTCTGAAAATTCAAGTAACTATAACGTAAGTTCAATAATAAATTATGTTTATTATCTTTTTATGTAACATCTGGGGGCACGGCAGTGCCCCCGCCAAGTCGAGCGCGAAGCAAACACTGCCGTACCATCCTTTACTGGAACCATTTCGCCGCATTTTCAGGCCCCTATTTGAGAACCTCTGGATAAGACCAGAACGCTGAAATTTTCGTCATCTAGTAAGCTATATTCACATAGTTAAAATCCAAAATTTCAAGTCTTTAGGTCATTTAGTTCCGAAGTTAAGCGAAAGCAAAGTTTCGCATTTATGACACTCACTCACTGATGATCATCAAAATAGAACTAGTACTTCCCATAAACTCAGAGAGCTGAAATTTGGTACAGAGTTAGGGTTTAATGGCCACTTAAAGGGAAAACTATAAAAACTAGGAAAATCGAAGGTCTGGAGTAACACCACAATCATAATCAATACTACTAGCGCCACACCGGCACCGTGGTGTTCGCCTGTACCGCTCACCGCTAGATGGCGCTAGCACTTTGTGCGTCGATTTTCTGCACCGCGGTGTCCAGATTTTTTTTCCTTTCTAGACCCCCCGTCGATTAAGTTTAATGTTTTGTAGTAGAGGTTTGCACCGGAGCGAGATTTTAACAACCGATTGAATTCACCGGTGATCACCGGAGAATAAAGAAATTTTGTTTCTATTTTTTAATTATACATTCAAAATGATGAAATAAGAATAAGCGATTGATATACTTTATATAATCATTTATTAAGAAAAAAAAACGTTTTATATTGTTAGCAAATGCTGATTTTGATTTAAGAAACACAACATGTCAACAGCATCATAGCGTAACATGTTTCTTCTATCGTTTAGTATTTATTTATTTTTATTTTACTTATTTTATTTTATTATTTATTTATTTAATTTATTTTATTTACCTATTTTTTATTCTATTTAGATTTATTTGAAGAATATGCGCAAAGGATGACATTTTCTGACGAAGAACCAGAAGGTGATTGTGCTAGAAATATACCAAAAAAGCAACCCATAGTAATGAGCAATGAAAAAGGAATGCAAACAGAAAATTACAAAAATAATCACGAACATTGCAACAAATTATTTGGCCAGTTAGTTGCTAGTGAAATGAATCACATAAACGGACAAGACCGTTTTGAATTAATGACTGAAAAAAATAATATAATTAGAAAGAAACAAGGTTGTAAATAAGTGGCATGTTAAATAATTGTATAAAACAAAATATTGTTGAATGTGTCTTTTAATTGGGTTACTTTATTATATAAAAAAATAGATGCGACGATCACCGGAGATCAATCGGTTAAATACCGATTATTTCAATCGATTACTTTTACCGGTAAATCACCGGTTATTCTCCGGTACTCACTGCTCCGGTGCAAACCTCTATTTTGTAGTTTTTATTTCGTTGATTTCGTTTATTATATCGTGAGGTTCGCTATGGTTAAGTTATTAAACCAATCATTCTGATTTTGTCCATTTTAAAGGTCGTTGAGTTAATTTATGTTTAATATCGTAAAAAAAATGTCGATAATTTATTAAAAGACGACGACGTTAAATTATAATAAATTATGCCACTTTCTACAAAAAGAAGTGAAATCCCACCAAAAACATTCTGTAAAAAACTAGCCAAGTCTCGTTAGAGCTGCTTGTTTATCTCTAAAAAGTAATGAAATCTAGACAAAGTCGTGCCAAGTCTATGATGGTTCCTTACTGCGATTTCTTTATTATTATAGTTAATGTTGTGTGACTTGGCCGTTGAACAATCTTTATTATGATAATCATACATAAGTATTATTGAAATACGCAGCTTTATTAAGCCGTTTGGTGTAGTGGTTCGAAACGGACTACTATTCCGGAGGTAGCGGGTTCGATTCCCGCACAGTACAAACATTTGTGTGCATGAACATATTTGTTTGTATTGGACTGGGTGTTTTCTATGTATAATAAGTATGTATTTACAAAAAAAAAAGTATTTAAGTATGTTTATATCCGTTGTCTAGTACCCACAGTACAAGCTTTGCTTAGTTTGGGACTAGAAGCGCAGTGTAAAATGTCTAAGGATATTTATATTTATTTATTTATTAAGCCTACAATTGACTGGTTATTGAATCAACGTTTTCCAAGTGGCCATTTTCCATCGTCAATGGGTAGCGGTTCTGGCGACAGATTGGTGCAATGATATCATGGAGCACCTGATTTTGTACCCTTCAACGGCCAAGTCACACAACATTAACTATAATAATAAAGAAATCGCAGTAAGGAACCATCATAGACTTGGCACGACTTTGTCTAGATTTCATTACTTTTTAGAGATAAACAAGCAGCTCTAACGAGACTTGGCTAGTTTTTTACAGAATGTTTTTGGTGGGATTATTCTTTTCTGGAAACATTGAATGAATTTCAAAATAGCTTCACATTAACGACGTGTCTCGGGCGAGTCGGGGGCGTCCAACTACGCAGTCAATCGGTCCCTTGTAACTATTGTGTTTTCACAGCATTAATGTACATAAAATGTCGGTTTCAGGTTTGTAATAGTGTTATTACACTCGTTTTACGCAACAAACCTCGTGGCCGTCGGCAACACGACAATGGACGCTTTCATAGCTACAGTTATGGATCAGTGCAAAACGCAGCTACGCATATTACGGTTAGTAGACACTTCAAAGTAAGAAAATATAATTTTAAAAGACCTATCTATAGATAAATTCAAAACAATAAATTTTAGGGGTTCCCCATACTTACAACTGAAACTCAAAAAAATGTTTTTCATCAAACCCATATGTGTGGTATACCCATATTGAGGTTTCTAATATTTTTTTTGCGCGAGAGAACCCTTTCAAAGTGGTAAAATGTGTTACTTCTAAAATAAGAGAATGATAAACCAAACAAAAAATGGTTTGAACGAGATCTAGTAAGTTTTTATCAACCGACTTCTCAATTCGACCCGTATGTTTTTTTTTTTTTCTATGTTTGTTACGCGATAACTCCGCCAATTATGAACCGATTTGAACAAATCTTTTTTCTGCGTATAGGTAATACCTCAAGGGTGGTCCCATTTAAATTTAATAATACAAAAAACAATCCCCAAGGGTGGAAAATTGGGGATGAACTTTTTTATACGCAATATCTCCGCCGATTATAAATCAATTTGAACGATTATTTTTTTGTTGAATAGGTATTATCAAAAGGGTGGTTTCATGCGAATTTGAAGAAAATATTTCACCCCCAAGGGTGGAAAATTGGGAATGAACTTTTTTATAAGCAATATTTTCAATTTTTAGTTTTTTTTTTGTGTTCACGCATTTGAAGTCGGTTTTATTTTTTTAAAAAGTTAATTAATTTTTAATATTTTTTTAAATAATTTTAAAGTTACTACTCCTTTCCTCATGTAGGTGTACGCGTCGAGGTATTTAATTAAAATTGTACTAAATACTCAGGTTCATAGTGATTTNGGAAATATTGTCACTTTTTGTTTTAAGGCGTTTTTCGTATTACTTTATTGTGACTTATCTTAATGATTTGGAGTAAAAGCGTCTTTATGCTAAAAATGACGTTTTTCAACACAGAGTCCGCATAACTATCACGGCGTGCCCGTCCAGTTCCCGTCACTACTAAAAACGTGTCACTGTTACTCACAACATATGCCGGTTTCCCCATTAAACTCCATAACGACACTAGTCATAACTGCCGAACTATTTGAGTTTTAAGCGTGGGATTTTTACAGCATGCACTTTTCGCGGAGCTCTGATAGATGGCGTTGTTAACTCAATTTCTCCCAATTTCGTATAGTGACGGTTTGATTATGAACGTGCGGTATTTAGAGTGAATGACATTTAGTTGAGTTTAAAGTACGATACGAAGTCATCTTCAGACCATACTGGCTTTGCGGCAGCCGTTTTTCGAATAAGTGCAAACGTGCCTGTTGTTGCGGAAACATGTGTTCATCCAGGCACTTCGTCAGTCCCTAGTTGAGTAGCTTTATTGATTACAATAGGAAATTGTATATAATTTAATCGTATTTACGTGTGGTTTTTCGAATATTTTTGGCACATCGTATAAAGCATCTTATAATATAAAGTTAATCTGCATTTGTGTTAAGTTTTACTCCAAATCGTCAGTCCCTAGACCGTCAGGCCCTAGCTTTAAACGGCGTTAGGGACTAAATTACTAGTTAGGGAATGACGTTTTTTATATAGTGATACGTTCATCAGAAAATAATGTAGGATTCTTATGGTGAAAGATTTTAATTCATCAGTCTAGTAGTTTTGGAGCCTATTCAATTCAATATAAACAATCAAACAAAACTTTCCTAATACTAGTGTCGAAGATAGACACTCTTAAAACTCTAAAACTTGAATTTAAAATAGTAAAAAGTAACAATATACTTTTTACTAATATTATAAATTCAAAAGTACCAATTTTTTTATGTGTCTCCTACCTCTTTAAGAGTTGACCAATTTTAATAAAAAGTGGAGGCAGTTTAAGACCCAGATAAAAACATAAGATAGCTTTATTCCAGTTTAAAGCAAAGGGGATAAAGTTTTATAACATTGTTCCAACTAAAACACTGTTCTGTTTCTTCATCAAATCATAAACATTTGACACAACAAGTTTGTTTCACTATCTAAATTTTTATGAATAAAAGTTACAGTCCATGGTTATGCTCTACTGTTTTCTTGGTGAGTAAACTGAATAATTTAGTATGTAACACTGATAAAACTTGGAATTAAGGCTGATTCCTCTTCTTACTTTAACTTGTTTTTTTTTTGTGTATGGAGTTTGACAGACTTGATGTCTGTTACAGTTAAAGAATAAAAGCAAAATGTAAACCAGTGTGGTTCAAATTCGCACCATTGAAGCCATTAGACAGAATAATAATAAAGAAGTCTAAAAGTTTATTTGGGTCATTCCATAAAAATCTGTATATTTTTGACGTCATTTTGTCCGTAACTTTTTTAAGATGCTTTTGAATACTTTATTAGTGTAAATTATAGTTTATTAATTAATTATGTTATGTCTAAAAGGGCCAGTCACTTTATGCTTTATTTTAGGAGAAATTATAATTTTCAATTTTTTCATACTACATTACTCCTATTATGACTTCAAATAAAGTATAAAACTTATAACCTTAACATTTATAGATAAGTTAATATACATAATGTAGTTGTTTTGTTATCATCACCATATAAAAAACATCATTCCCTAACTAGTAATTTAGTCCCAAGTGCCGTTTAAAGCTAGGGCCTGACGCTCTAGGGACTGACGATTTGGAGTAAAACTTAACACAAATGCAGATTAACTATATATTATAAGATGCTTTATACGATGTGCCGAAAATAGCCAAAAAACCACACGTAAATACTAATTAAATTATATACAATTTCTTATTGTTATCAATAAAGCTACTCAACTAGGGACTGACGAAGTGACTGGATTAACACATGTTTCCGCAACAACTGGCACGTTTGCACTAATTAAAAAAACGCCTACCGCAAAGCCAGTATAGTCTGAGGATAACTTCGTATCGTACTTTAAACTCAATTAAATGTCATTCAATCTAAATACACATTAAAGCGCAAAATTATAAAATCAGTGCGTGGCGAGGGAATGACGCTAAAAGCTGTAGACTCTTTTTCAACTAAAAAATATCAAATTATTGTTTATTGAAACCGCGAAATATTAATAGAATTTGGCGTAATATACATTTAAATAGATTATTCGTTAATTAAAACAAAGGATAAAGTTGATGTTTTTANCAATTTTTAGTTTTTTTTTTGTGTTCACGCATTTGAAGTCGGTTTTATTTTTTTAAAAAGTTAATTAATTTTTAATATTTTTTTAAATAATTTTAAAGTTACTACTCCTTTCCTCATGTAGGTGTACGCGTCGAGGTATTTAATTAAAATTGTACTAAATACTCAGGTTCATAGTGATTTGAATTTGAATTTGAATATACCTACAGGTTTGTACGGAGCTCTTGGTGCACGAGTCCGACTTGCAATTGGCCGGTTTCTATAATTAAAATTCTTGCACGCAGTAAAATACTTTTTTTGTGTTATAGCATGAACTTCGAAACCCTACCCGAGCGAGCACGAGCTTTAACAAAGGAGTCGGTAAACGCAAACTATGAAGAGATCTTAACAAAATTACTGTTTGAGTGCATACAACATTTTCAGAAAATTGCTGAGTACGTATCTTAATGTACACACGGCCACACTGTTAACTATCCATTTCCGTTTTTGCTCTCGCTCTCATCAAATGGTGATTCTTTGCGATAGAACGAGACGACATGACAGGCAATGGATAGTTAACACTGTTACCGATGGTACATATTTTGAATTTTAGGCTAAGATTTTTTTATCGGTTGTTTTACTAAACCTTCCAAAACTTCATCGTTAACACTTCATGTATCTTTTATTAGAACAGCTGTCTGTTATGGCATAACAGTGGCGCGTGTCGTGTTGCAGCACGATGGCGCTGCTGGAGCAGGTGTTCGGGCTGGCCGTGCTGGTGCAGTTCACGGTGGGCGGCTGGATCCTGTGCATGGCGGCCTACAAGATCGTCAGCGTCAGTGTCCGCCGCTAGCCTCAGGCTTCCTATCCACTAAACATGAACAGCTAACTGCCCAGGAAGCGTTGGAATCAATTATAATCGTTACTAATCTGGGATTTACTACTTGTGAAAACCGTTACCTACACATTACAAAACAAAGATAGCGTCAGCATTGGTTTGGATAGCGGTGATAAAATGTAGTAGCCACGATTTACTACATTACATTATCGTGCTCCCGCTGGTAGGAGCCTCGTGCGGGCATTCACAGTTCACACCAGGGCTCGGGCGCGCTTTGTCACAATCTCACAATGAATATGCGCGATTTATGCTCCATGAAGTAAATAACATTTGAGTTATCTCTTCATTTCAGGTGAATGTTTTGAGCTTCGAGTTTGCGTCAACTACGCTCTTCATTGTTTGCATATTGACGGAGCTATTTCTTTACTGCTACTATGGAAACGAAGTTACAGAGGAGGTATTTTAGAATGCTCAACAATCGACTAAATTTTCATTTTTCAACTCATAGAAACAACAGAAAGATGTTTGTGAAGTTTAACTAAAAATTAGCGTTCTTGACATATCTTTTGGTTTTCTCAAGATTCGATCGGATTTCAATTACTGCAAGCCGCAGACGTGCCGTGCCGTGAATGCCGACTGAATGTAATAAAACAAAAACATTTTCTTTAGCTAACTTTTGACCTTTTGGGAACCCTAATGTTTGACGAAAGTATTAATAAAACATTTAAGATGGGTTGCACCATTTTACTTTAACTTCGATAAACGTCAAAAATCTGTCAAACTCCATACAAAAACACCGGTTATCGTTATAGTTACGGTCAAAGTTAGGTGGTGCAAACCAGCCTTAGAAAATCGTGTGTTTCAGAGCGACCGCATGGTGGAGGCGGTGTACGCCATGGAGTGGCTGCACGCGCCGCTGCGCTTCAAGCGCTCGCTGGTGCTGGTGATGGAGCGCGCCAAGCGGCCGCTGCGCCCCGCCGCCGGACACCTCATACCGCTCTCACTTGACACCTTTGTTACTGTATGATGATTCATTACAAGTTTTCCAATATTTTGACTTGAATAAGTGACTTATCATGAGTCATAATTTATGGACGTACCTACTTACTCCCTATATTACTATCGAACGACGTACTTGTTTATGTTACATGGGTTTTACTAATTTTACATGGGTACATACGCGCTATACGGTCCCGTAGCATTTTTCTCTTAATCTTTTTCTCCTTAATTAGTAGACTATAACTTAATTGATAGGGCTGACTTTACCATCGTCGGATAACTGAAGAATAAACTTGTCATTTTGACATATCTCCCATACTGAAACTGTCAATGTGCCAAAATTATTCTTCTGTTAAAAGTCATCCGACGATGGTAAAATCAGCCCTAAATAAATAAGTATTTGTGTTTGTTTCAGATACTAAAGTCATCGTACAGCTTTTATGCCGTCCTGAGACAGACTAAATAATAGCGAATATTTTTTAATTTAAAATATTATGTATTGCACATTGTAGTATAATTCAAAATTATGTACTGCACATTGTAGTTGAGAATGAAATGAAAATACATTTTTATTCAGTGGGTTTTTTTTTTCATTTTTACTAGGTACGAGTAAGTACCACTGTTCTCTTACTCTTACATGATCAAAACAAAATAAAAGTGACTAATCCCTTAAAATAATATCTATTTCTTTCCTGTTTTGGAATTAAAATCATGGGAAGAATGCTTTTAGATAATTCAGTCGCAAACTGACCAGGAATTTTAATTATTTTCAGACCAAATTTCAGGTAAACAAACAAATTATTTAATTTGTTGTGATCATTATTCATTAAATACATTTGAAAATGATTTCTCGCTATAAATATTGTCTAGATTAAGTAATTACAGGCTGCAGCGCGAGGACAGTAATTAGAAGAGGGTACCGTGTAATTAGTAAAATGCCGACAATATTATAGCGCCTATAAATTATTCACTCCAGGCTCCACAACCCTTTGCTACCGTCTACGTAGCCCCAACTGTCCAAGTTTTTTTACTCCAGAAAATACTCGGCATAAGCTCGCTAAAACTTTGGAAATCAGCATTTTATTTTAGAAAGCTCTTTGGGTGTCGTTTTATTGTCTTACGCAGTCAAGAATATCAGGTCATAAAATGTGTATCTCCCAATAGGGTAGCCGCATAAGGTTGAAAGAAAAAACATTTATTGCCAAGCAAAGACAATAAGTACCTAGTCGGTACTTACATATAAAATATTACGGTAACATACAGAACGCCCAAATGATAGGACCTTACTTAAGATTAGAAATGTTATGGAATAAAAATCTGTGTGGGGATCAAATTGGGGATAGAAAAATCCGTATTAATTTATTTTTATTTTACTCTGTTGTAGAGTAGTTTCTACTGCGTCTTAGGCCCGGTTTCCACCAAGACCAAGCGGAGAGGAGAAATGTTTTGAATAAACAATGAGATTTTTATTCAGATTGAATGAAATTGACAGAATGAAATCTGATTAGTTATTCAAAACATTGAATTTTCTCCGCTCTGCTCCGCGTTGGTGGAAACCGGGTATTAGAGAACCAGATCACTGCGGCAGGATAACATACGAGTAAGCTAGCTACTCGTACATTAACACAACAGTATCAGTTATGAAAGAGTGAAAATGTTGGATTGAAGCAAATTCAATTAAAGTCGCAAAAGTAATTTTGTTGTGTACATGAAGCCCGGCGTCAATGAAGGGTTAAGACGGCGGCATGACATGATAATTGCCGGTTGTCACGTCAGCGACGGCAGATCACAACACTGGCCGGGCTAGCGCAGCGCTGGGCGTGGGACAGCACTACAACTACCATGTGGGTAAAAAGGTTTGTTAAGGTATAAAATATACAAACATAGGTAATATAAAGATTACGAACTAAACACGGCAAACAAAAAATGAATCGAAAAGTCTATAGGTTTTTATCGTGTTGCAAAAATTCCTGTTAACGAGTCTTACGAACTGTTCTAAGCATTAAAACGATTTAATTTACATTTCTTATCACATTTTTCTTTTTGCAATCCGGAAATTAAACGTAGATTCCGTTTATAGCCGGCATGTTTATTAATACTTAGAGAAAATGAAATATGTAATGTAAATATTAGCATTCTAATATTTTATGTAATATGGTATCAAAATCAACGAAAAAATCTGACGATTTAGTATTGTTAGCGCCATCTATGGGCGCAAGAAAACAACTCATGACGTCAAAGGCGCGGAACCAGAGTGAAGATCGCAGCTAACTTCGCGCCGCTCCGCCCTCCTGTCAACTTAAATCGAACGTTTCTAACACTCGACAATTTGATCTCGTTGCATACAGTCTGTAAACCTATCACTTTAAATAACGTTAAAACCGTAATTTCAATAATAATTAGTCATTGAAGAGACCCTTATTCCTACATATATTCGAAAGTCTGAGCTCGAAACATGTTCCTTCGCGCCGGATGACATGTTCCATCGCACCAGCTGACGGGATTCAAGATACCACAGAAGTCGATACCTGTTGCGTGTCAAGAGAGAAACCCTGTGAAAGAAGCAGCTCTGGAATAACGGTCAGGTTAAACCACTCCTTTCCCTTCCTATTTTAATCGATTTGTGCTAATATTGTGTCGTGTTTGCGGATTTCAGTCGATATTGCAACCGTTACAACTACCTACCTACGTTGTCGCGTTGGTGGGTGCCGGGTCTGCCTATTGCAACGAGCGTCGGGGTGATCTATACGATTGTAAGTACCTTTTGTTTCCTAAATTCTTCTCAAAATGAGCGAGGATAGCGATAGATCAAAGCTGAATGTACCAAAGTCAAGAGAGGGTAGTCATTCGCCTTCTAGAGAACTTAAATTAACCGTTTCAGACCTCAAAAAACAAAGAGGAATTCTGAAAGGTCGTGTAACTTCTTTTGAAAGCTATATTTTAAAATTTCAGAATTTGGTTATTACAAAATGTCAAGCAGTTGAACTAAATTTAAGAATTTTGAAGTTGGAATCAGTTATTGATGAGTTTTACAAAATTCAAGATAAAATCGAACAGTTTTGTGATGATAATGATCTTTCAATAAATATTGAGTACCGCGAAAGCTTCGAAGAACAATATTTTCGAAGTGTTTCTGTCGCTAAAGTCATTATAGAAGACCAAAGTAATAACCAAAATTCGGTAAATACGCAGGTTTCAAGTGACAAAAATGCATCGTTACAAATTAAATTACCTGACATCAAATTACCCTCTTTTAGTGGTTCGTATGATGACTGGCTCGAATTCAAAAATTCGTATTTAACGATGATACACGGACGGGCAGATTTAAATGCGATTCATAAATTTCACTACTTGCGGTCATCACTTAGCGGTGGTGCTTTACAGGTTATAAGTGCGTTAGAGTTCACAGCAGAAAATTATACCCACGCATGGGAATTGTTACACAATAGATTTCAAAATGATCGACTTTTGGTGCACAACCATGTCAAAGCCTTATTTTCTATACCTAATATAAATAAGGAATCTCCTTTGCTCATTAGAAAACTCATAGATTCTATTTTGCGAAATTTACGTTCATTGAAATCGTTGGGCGAGCCCACAGAATCATGGGATACACTAATTATATACTTAATTGTCTGCAAACTTGATTCTTCGACCGAACGCGAATGGGAAACTTATAAGGGAACACTTATTTCTGGTTTTCAAGGCCAAGAAATTAAACGTAAATTAATATTAAACGATTTGTTAACATTCCTGAGAAATAGAGCTGATTTGTTGGAAATGGTGAACGTTAATAGTAACGCAAATAGTGCTCATAGTTTTCACAAGCCCCCTAATACTCATTACAATAAATATCACAGTAAACAATTTCATGATTCGAAACCGCAGGTAGCACAAACACACACTCAGAGTTATGTAGCTACAAATAACGGGAAAACGACTAAACGTAACCGTTGTTGTGAGATGTGTCGCGGAAATCATGCTTTATATATGTGTAGTATGTTTTTGAATTTATCAATCGAGGATAGGTACAAATTAGTAAATGAAAAGAAACTTTGCCATAATTGTCTGCGCGGTGGCCATTCTATAACTAACTGTTATTTCGGGCCGTGCCAACAGTGTAAATGTAAACACAATAGCTTGTTACATAAAGAATTAAAAGAAAATACAATTGGCAATGTTAACTCTGAGTCAAGCACATCTCAAATAAAGTCGACCGTAATGCATTCATCTTTAGGTTCGCATTGTCACGATAATTTAAACACCGCTCAGCTGACTACTCGAACAGAACAAGTTTTGTTACCTACCGCGCTAGTTGAAGTGATCGACGAAAACAATATGCGACACACAGCCCGCGCGCTTTTAGATAGCGGTAGTCAGCATTGTTTTGTATCAGAAGCGTTTTGTAAACGAATAAATTACACGAATTATATACAGTCCATTGTTCAAATTTCTGGAGTGGGACAGTCGGTCACACAATCCAATAAATTATGCGATTTAACTATACGATCAAAATTAAACGATTTTTATACGCTTATTCGGTGTTATGTTTTGCCATGTAATATAACATCATTCTTGCCAACAATGAATATTAACGTAGAATCAATACGAATACCGACAAAAATGCATCGTTACAAATTAAATTACCTGACATCAAATTACCCTCTTTTAGTGGTTCGTATGATGACTGGCTCGAATTCAAAAATTCGTATTTAACGATGATACACGGACGGGCAGATTTAAATGCGATTCATAAATTTCACTACTTGCGGTCATCACTTAGCGGTAGTGCTTTACAGGTTATAAGTGCATTAGAGTTCACAGCAGAAAATTATACCCACGCATGGGAATTGTTACACAATAGATTTCAAAATGATCGACTTTTGGTGCACAACCATGTCAAAGCCTTATTTTCTATACCTAATATAAATAAGGAATCTCCTTTGCTCATTAGAAAACTCATAGATTCTATTTTGCGAAATTTACGTTCATTGAAATCGTTGGGCGAGCCCACAGAATCATGGGATACACTAATTATATACTTAATTGTCTGCAAACTTGATTCTTCGACCGAACGCGAATGGGAAACTTATAAGGGAACACTTATTTCTGGTTTTCAAGGCCAAGAAATTAAACGAAAATTAATATTAAACGACTTGTTAACATTCCTGAGAAATAGAGCTGATTTGTTAGAAATGGTGAACGTTAGTAGTAACGTAAATAGTGCTCATAGTTTTCACAAGCCCCCTAATTCTCATTACAATAAATATCACAGTAAACAATTTCATGATTCGAAACCGCAGGTAGTACAGACACACACCCAGAGTTATGTAGCTACAAATAACGGGAAAACGACCAAACGTAACCGTTGTTGTGAGATGTGTCGCGGAAATCATCTATATATATAAAAATGAAACCCGTTTCGCGTTGTCACGGCATCACGTGTGAACGGCTGAACCGATTTCGATAATTCTTTTTTTTAAATGTTTGTGGAAGTCCAAGGATGGTTCTTA